TGGAGAATAAAATGGTTCATCCATTGTGGAAAACACTGTGGCAGTTCCTCAAAGCATTAAATATAGAGTTACTATATGGCCCAGCGATTCTACTCCTAGGTACACACCCAAGAGAAACAAAAACACATGCCCACAGAAAACTCGTGCACAAACATTCAAGCAGCATTATTCACAGCAGTCAAAAAGCAGACAATGCAAGTGTTCACTAACTGATGACAATGGATGAATAAAATGTCGTATATAAAGGACTGGGGCATGGCCCAAGTGGCAGAGCACTTGCCAAGCAAGTGCAAGACAAAAAATGTAGTATGCTTATACTAATGGAGGATTCCGCTATAAAAAGGCAGGAGGTCTGATACAGGTCACAATATGGGTGAATCTTGAAAACATTATGCTAAGTGAAAGAGCCAGGTACAAAAGAAAACACTGTATGATTCTATTTATATGAAGTAATCCCAAATAGCCAAATCTATAGAGGAGAAAAAATAGATTAGCAGGTGGCAGGGGCAAGGGGAGAAGGGGAAACAGGAAGGTGACATCTAGGGGGTGTGGGTTTCTTTTGGGGTAATGATAATCTGGAGGCAGATAGTGTTGTTGATGGATTGCACAACACTATGAATGTACTAAATGTCTCTAATGGTAAAATTTAGGTTATGTGTATTACAGCATAATAAAAAAGAAATATTCGTTTTGTGGGAATATAACATCCATTCTGGAAGTACACAGATCTTAGATGCACACATTCAATTAACTCTCACAATGCAAAAGACTGCATCTTTTAACCTCCTTTTTAGACAACTCAAGGTCGTAAGATTTTTTTCAATAAATACAATAAACTGGATTTGGTAACAGAAAAAAAAATCAATTAACTTTCACACAGTGGCTATACAAAGTGTATAATGAGCACCCAGATCAAGGATGTCCCTAGGCCCCCAAAATACTCCTCTCTGTGATCCCACTAGTCTCTATCCACCAGAAAGACTTTAAGAAATACAACTGCTGGGCTGGGAATGTAGCTTGCCTAGCACATGGAGAAGCTCTGGGTTCAATCCCCAGCACTGCAGAAAAGAACAAGAATTGCTTCCCTCCCTTCTTGCCATTGACCTTTTTCCTTTTCTGAGAGGTCCGGTTCTGTTTTCCAAACTTACCTACTCATTTGCATCTCTTTAGGAAGAATGAGAACTTTCCAACACAGTCATTGCCCCCTTTCTACTCCCTACTTCCACACAACATATTTTAGCTGTTTCTCTTTACGATGAAGTTGCCCTGCTTCTGCTGTCTACCCGTCTAATTCGATATTCCATCTTGTAACGAAGACTCAGGAAGGAGGACTTCAGGAAGACTGCCTCTTCCTGAATATTTCAAAAGGCTGACTATCAAAAAGTGAGTATACAGTATTAATACACCCTGGTACCCTTACACAATGAGATAGTGCTTAACAGGAAAAGAAAGCAGTGTCCAGGGCTGAGCATGGAGCTCAGTGGTACGTGTGGTACAGGGGTTTTAATTTAGGGCTTCGTGCTTGCTAGGGAGGTGCTCTACTTCTTAAACCAAACCTCCAGCCCAGTGGTTAGGTTTTAAGTGATGTAGTCTTTGTGGAAAACTTTGGCAGTTCCTCAAACTGATAGAGCACTTGCTTAGCATGCATAAGAACCTGGGTTCAATCCCAGCATCATAAAAGCAACCAACCAAAACAAAACAATTGAAAAACAAAAATGAGGGTTTGCGTATAATACATACAGAATGAATCCCAAATGTATTAAGTTGAATTAAAAAAAAAAGCAAAAAAACAGACCAGCTGGAAGTGTGGTTCAAGTGGTAGAATGCCTGCCTTGCAAACACAAAGCCCTGAGTTTAAATCCCAGTACCAAAACAAACAAACAAACAAAAGAGTCATGAGACTATGTACTGCTGGGGCTGGGATGTAGCTCCATGGCACAGCGCTTGCCTAGCATGCGCGAAGCCCTGGGTTCGATCCCAGCACCAAAAAAGACAAAAAAAAAGAAAGAAAGACTACATACTTCTAATCCACTTATATGACCTTCTGTAAAGGGCAAAATTATAGGTCAGAACATAGATGAGTGGTTGATGAGGGTGGGAATTGAGGAGGAAGGGAGTGCAAAGGTGGGTGAGTACATTTTGGGGTCACGGAATTGTTGCTATCTTGACTGAGGTGATAGTTACACAACTATGTTTTCAAAGTTCACAGAGCTGCACACTGAAAGGAACACCTTTCTGCTGGGGGTGTGGCTTAAGTGATAGAGCACTTGGCCCTAGCAAGCACAAAGCCCTGAGTTCAAAGCCCTACTGCTGTCAAAAAAAAGGAAACTTCAATCTATGTAAATTATACTTTAATTAGCATGAGCCACCCCCCCAAGCCATATTTACAAAATTGTAAATCATGTAAATTATGATGAAAATCATGGAAATATGATTTGGTGCAGAAGCAGGAAAGGCAATTAGATGTGCTGAGAAAGAAACAAACTCTCAAGTCGCTAGGCCTGGGATGCTGGAAAAAACAGATGATTCCAAATGGCAAAGCTGAATGGAGTCTTTATTTAAACTCCATCAAGTAGCTGAGAATTGCTGGCATACTCTGCACTATGGAAAATTCAAATCAACTGCAAGAGCAAAATTAAAACCATCCGTAAACAGTGGGTTGTTTTTTTTTTAAACACAAATGGTAACTTGTCACATATTCTGTTCTGCACCTTTAAAAAAAAAAAGACAAAATATCTTGGAACTCTTTCTCTATCACTACATGGAAAGTTTCTTTTTCTTCCTTTTTTTTTTTTTTTTTCAGTGCTGGTGATGCTGGGGATTTTACATTCTAGGCAAGTGCTCTACTACTGTGCTATACCCCCAGTCCTGCACTGAGAATGGTAGGAACCTTCCTGAAACCCAGTTCCTGGATGCCAACCTAGGCCCAACTTGCACCCTAAGGTGTGTTATGGGAACTCTTTTCTACGCCCTGGGACCTGATATAGGAGGGGCCCATCTGAATAGGGGGCTCCTTGAACAAAGCCTCTGGAACCCACTTCCTAGCAGAGGCTGTGCACAAAGAGCAGCAATGGTCATATACAGCCACTGCTAACCCCTTTTCTTTCTTTTTTTTTTTAATGGGACTGGAATTTGAACTCAGGGCTTCATGCTTTCAAAGCAAGCACTCTACCACTTAAGCCACACCTCCATAACCACTGCTAATGTGTAACCCAAATGAGCCCAGCCTGAGCAGGTGGCATCAGGGAGGGACCACACTACAGGGTCTGGGCTCTGCAGGCCCTGTCCACAGACGGAAGTGGACCCTTCCATCTCAGTCCAGAATGTAAGTGAGACCCACGATGTTTCTAGAAGCAAAGTCCAGAGGAGAGGAGGGACAAAGTCACCACCCCTGCCCAAGTGAACTGGACACCTAGCACTCCAGCCTTCGGACCTCCAAGCTGCTAATGACATGATTGCTGGATTCAGTAAACATTCACCAGGATATAAACCAGGCCAGGCTTCAGGAGTGGGGGTTTGAGCTGACCACGGCAAGCAAGGGACAAGATGTTCCTGTTTGGCCTGGGGGATGGGTGGACTGTACCTAGCCCTTCTCACCCAATGGAACCTTCTGAGCCTTTGACACAATCCAGTCCTCTCAGGTGGAAACAAAACTCAGACTGCTGAGGCACACCATGGTGGGGAAGACCAGAGAGCCATTCAGAAAGGGCAGAATGAAGAGGTGGGACCACCTAGCCAGAATCATCTGGTAAATAGAAGGGAGGTATCTAGATGAATGGGGAAGATCCAACTTCAGAATCAAATAGGTTAGAATTTGGATCTCTGCTCCCACCAGCTCTGAGACCTGAGGGACAGGTATCCACCTTTCCGGGCCTCAGTATCTCCCACAGGTCTGCAGGTATATCAATATTCCCCACTTGTACAGAGGGAAATACAGCAATTTAGTGTTGCACCTAGAGTTAGAAAAGCCTGGCTCACATTTCCAGTTCTACTCTGCCACTCGCCAATGGCATGGCCTGGGGAACTTTCTGTCCTGAGCCCTCATCCTACCGTTGCTGAACACTGCCAATGCAGTGAAAAGAGTTTCTCAGGAGTGATGTGGAGCCAGAACCAGGGGGCAGCCCTGGAGCCCTCAGTAAAGGCCAGCAGTCACCACTCCATCTGGAGGAAAGCAAGACCTGAGGATTTGGGTAGAGAATGCCAAGGAGAACCCTGGGCCTTCATCCCCCAAAGCCACCAGCTCTACTTTCCCAGTGCTCTGTAGGTACTGGGCCTTGGGACAGAGGCAAAATCATAACCTCTGTTTTAATATTCAGGCTATAACAATACCAAGGCTGCCAAGTCTCCACCAGAGCCCCCCAAGTCCTCAGAAAACATAGTAAGTCATACCCAGCAGTAGCAGAAACCATACTGTGTGCTGCCCCTCCCCCCAAGATGTATGCATTATCTCGTGGAATTTCCCACCATACTATCACTGTCCTCTTACACATGGGGAAACTGAGACTCAGGGGGCTGCTGGCTTTCTCTACTCACGGTGTGTAGCACAGTCAGGATGCAAACTCCTGCACCCACACCTCTAACCACTATGGAACACAATCTTTTTATCTTAAATTTGATCTACATTTGTTCTTCAAACAGGGTTCCAAGACCAGCCCTCAATTACCCCACAAATTCACTTCACTAAGAATGCCACAGTTACCACTGTGCTTACACTGACCTGGATGGCAAAGATCACAGTATAAGCCATGGTCCTGGAGAGAATGTGCCCTTGGTTTCTTCCCCTGGCTCTGTCCTCACTGGCTGGTGGACCAGGGCAAGTCATTCCCCCTCTCTGGGCCTAGCAGTATTGGTCTGTCCTAAGAGGCCACAGTTGGCTCAGAGTCTCCCAGGCCTAGGACCTGTCAGGGTTAGCTCAGCTCAGCTCCCCTCCCCCAGGAAGGCCAGGTCAGGGGCAGGCCCCGCCCAGCCTAGTGGTAAATACTTCTGTCCAGCACTCCCCAGGCCTCTTGTCCAGTCTTCCTGGCAAGAAGTTTGACCAAGATCAACCATGGTAAGGGTCTACCCGGGGCCATGGTGGTCTCCCCTAAGTGTGCCAATCTGTGGTAAGAATTCCAGAAGTGCTTTGTGTCAGAGCCTCTCACTGTCCTTTTCTTTCTCCTTAGACGACTTACAGTGACAAAGGACAAAAGGTAAGGAGGGGAAATGTGGGGCCTGGGTCTGGAAGGGTCAAGGAGCAGGAAGACTGGGATGTCAATAGAGCAGAAGATGAATAAGGACTGGGTGTGCAATGTCCATGTATATACCCACAGGTTCTCCCCTACTCTTCCAGACTGAGCTGAACTCAACTTCACCCTCCTGAGAAACTCTGTCCTCTTAAATACCTGCTGATCTCTTAATCCTGCCTGGAAGTTCTTTCTGAGGTCTACCTTAAATCCATGCTGCTCCAGCATATGGCTATTTTCCTTCTGTGAAACCCAAGCAGACCTCCTGCAGGGACTTCCCAATCCTGAACCCCAAAAGGGCTCAGTTTCTACAACGAGAAACATCTTGTGAAGCTAGACAAGTCTGTGTGGGATTCAGCTTCTCCTAGTTTCTGGGGCAAAGGCTGGGACGAGAGGTGGCAAGAGGACACAGGTCTACTTGCACTTTTCTAGACCTACTTCCAGGGTCTCAACCTCACCCCTCCTCCCTCCTGCAGCCCGAGAAAGGCCGTTTCCTCCACTTCCACTCTGTGACATTCTGGGTTGGCAACGCCAAGCAGGTAGAAGAGTGAGGTGCTGGATGGGCAAGGGACAAGCCAGCGGGCCTCCTGGATGAGGCCAGGCCCCAGCAGGTTCTGGGATTGGCTTCCTGGAGGGGAGGGTCAGGGCCATTTTGGAACCAGACACTCTGGATTACATAACCAGGGCCATAGACCCTAGCGGGAAATCTGAGGGCAGAATGTGCCCAAGAGCAGCCTGCTCTCCCAGGAGGATTTCTGCACCTGGGGCTCCCTTCTAAGATCCCCCAGGCCAGGTTCTTTACCTTCCTGAATCCTACTGCCACTATGTCATTCAGGCTGCCTCATTCTACTGCAGCAAGATGGGCTTTGAACCACTTGCCTACAAGGGCCTGGAGACGGGTTCCCGGGAGGTGGTCAGCCATGTGATCAAGCAGGGGAAGGTGAGTCTCCCCTCCCTCCGAAAACTCCCTGGGTCTTGGTTCATCTGGCCCCTCATGTGCTGAACTCTGGTTTTAGGATGGCTAGGCCTAGCCAGTTCTAGGATGCATTTATTGTTCAATGGTATCAAGATGCCCTGTTGGCCCATGCACCAGGCATCTTGATACCACTAAGCAGCAGGGACTTTCCTAGCTCTGATCTTTTTCAGTCTGGCCCAATGCAGGCCAGAATGAAGGTCACCTGGGACTTCAGAGCAGGGAGTTTAACCAGTGCCCTGGTCCACAGGGTCCCCAGAGTACTCTTCTCAGGACCTAGGGTTGGGTAGACACAGGAAAAAGCCCTCAGCACCAGTGGAGAAAGCTAAGACAGAGAAGGTGCTAGAATGCATGGTCCAGTAGTCTTGCATGGCAGGGACCTTGTGCTCCATCGGGGTGTTAGGATGGGCAGGACAGGGAGGACAGGAGGAGTGCACCTCTCCATGCTCCACTGAGCCATCAGCTACAGTCCCTTCTCTACATTTTAGATCGTGTTTGTCCTCTCCTCTGCACTCAATCCCTGGAACAAAGGTGAGGGGCCCAGGGGGTGGCAACAAGGCTTTTCAAGTAGGGTCAGGGTTCAGGGTGAGGGTGGAAATGATGCATAAGAGGGGCTGAGCCCAGAAGGAGCTGGGAACCCAGAAAGCTCAGAGCCAGCATCCCCCTCCCGGTCATAGAGATGGGCGATCACTTGGTGAAACATGGTGATGGAGTGAAGGATATCGCATTTGAGGTAGAAGATTGTGACTACATCGTGCAGGTGAGAACACACGGGAACAGATGCAGTAAGTCTCTGCCACAGGGATCCCATTGGTCACGGTTGGATATTGGTGTACACACACCTGAGTTCCAGTGACAGGTGCCTCACCCCATACTAACGGTGTGTCCTCACTTTGAGCCTTAGGTTTCCATATCTATGAAATGGGGATAATCACAGCACCTGCCTCATGGAGTGGTTGTAAAAGGAAATGAACTGCATAATATTTTGGAACACAACAGAGCCGAATACCGTCCTCGAGGTGTTTTAGGGGCTGGGGGTGGGGCTCAGTAGTAGAGCACTTGCCTACAAAGAGGGAAACCCTGGATTAGTTGCCCAGCACTAAGGGAAAAAAAAAGGTATTTTTAGAGGTTCAGAGAGTGGATTTAGAGCCAGACTGACTAGGTCTGAATCTTATGCTCTGTGACTAAGAAAGATTTAACTTCTCGGTGCTTGAGTTTCCTCACCTATAGATGATAGTTAGTACCTTCTGTACAATGGTGCTGTGAGGACTGAAGAGGTTAATCCCTCAGACAGTGCCTAGCATGTGATATAAACATTGGTGTGCAGTAAGGTTTTGCTAAATAAATGCATGAACCCAGCATTCAAAGCACTTGGCACAGGGTCTGATACACAGTAGACACTCAGCGTCAACTCATATTCTTCTTATCTAGCCACTCTTTTTATAGAGAGGGAAACTGAGGACTGGACAGGGGATGGGCCACAGAGTGAATTAGCAGAGGCATGACAGTCCCCTGCCCCCACCTGGTTTGTTTCCCCATAGCCCAGCTCTGAGCCTGGGTCTGTTTCACTACCTGCCAAATGGGCACGAGGCTTGGGTATGGGAGGTGGGGGAACAGTGAAGCTGGCTGGGATTCCTGCTTAAGTCAGAGCCATACAGAAGGCCATCCAGCAGGAGCAGCAGGCAAGGGCTCCAGGAGGCTCCACCCCTCACTACTTCCCCCACCCCATGTCCTTTTCAGAAAGCTCGAGAACGGGGTGCCAAAATCGTGCAGGAGCCCTGGGTGGAGCAAGACAAGTTTGGGAAGGTGAAGTTTGCTGTGCTGCAGACGGTGAGTTAACTTTAGTGCTCCCACTCCTGCTGTCAGGAGCCACTGAGATGCCAGGACCCCAAACTCAGCCCATTATACCATCCCACCCATGTGCCTCAGAGCGTAGACTTCCTCCTTCAAGTCCAACCTCCTCTAATGCTTGGACAGTGTGAAGGAACTTCCGGGAGCTACCGGTCATTCCTCCGGGGGTTCTCTTTCTCCCAATAGAAGATGACAGCAGAGAGGTGTAAGCTTTGTTCAGGGGCTTTGACAAAAGGACAAACGGACAGGGTGGGGTTAGGAAAAGACATATCCTACACTAGCTCTGTGTCTTTGGGCAAACCACATGCCATCTCTGTGGCTCTGCTGAAATGAGCAAGGACCAGAACTGGACTATCTGTGTGACCTGGAACACACTATGAAACCTGTCTGTGCCTGTTTCTTCAGCTAGAGCCCCTTCTAGGGCAGTTATGAGGATCATTCCTGTACAACACTTAGAAGAGCAGCACATGTCATACTCCAGTACACACTGAGCAAAGATGACTAATTCTGCAGAGCACCTGTGTTACCGAAAGATTGAGACAATCTTAGGTCCTACCTCCAAGATTAAATAAAATGTAAAGATTTTTGCTAAAACAGCTGGGCACTGGTGGCTCATGCCTGTAATCCTAGGTACTCAGGAGGCAGAGGTCAGGAGGATTGTTTGAAGCCAGCTTTGGGCAAATAGTTCACAAGACCCCATTCCAAAAAACTTATCATAAAAAAGGCCTCGTGGAGTAGCTCAAGTACTAAGAATGCCTGTAAGTAAATGTGAGGCCCTGAGTTCAAACCCCAATCCCACCAAAAAGAAAAAAAATAAAATAAGATTGCTAAGACAGTTAAAAGAGTCTTTCAATATAATTTGATCCAATGTCTTCACCTATTTTTCATTTGGTCAACACAGGTTTGTTTGTTTGTTTTTCTTTTTTTATTATTGCCTTTTTATTTATATTTTTTGGTGGTACTAGAATTTAAACTCAGGAATTTGCACTTGCTGGGCAGGCACTCTACCACTTGGTCACATCTCCAGCCCTTTATGCTCTGGTTATTTTGGAGATAGGGTCTTGCTTCTTTTTGCCCAAGCCAACCTGGACCCCAGATCCTCCTATTTACACTTCCAGCATTGCTAGGATGACAGGCGTGGACTCTCAAACTTTTTCACCCAGACTGGCCTGGAACCACAATCCTCCCAACCTCAGTCTTCCACAAAGCTTGGGATGACATTGGGATGACAGGTGCACACCACTGCACCCAGCTATTGGTTGAAATAGGATTTCATGAACTCCTCACACACTGACCTCAAACCATGATCCTCTGAATCTCAGCACCCCAAGTAGCTAAGATTTAAGAGGTGAGCCACCAGTGCCTTGCTTTGTTTTGTTTTTTTGAGACAGGGTCTTGCTATATAACCCAGGCTTGCCTTGAACTTGTGATCCTCTTGTCTCAGTCTCCTGAGTGCTGAGACATGCATGCCGTGTCTGGCTAGTCAACACAAGTTTATTGAGCACATACTATGTGCCAGGCACTGCAACAGATTCCAGGAATACCATGATGAGCAAAACAGCATCCCTGGGACTGGGAATGTGGCTCAAGTGGTATAGCAGTTGCCTAGCCAAGACCCTGAGTTCAATTTCCAATACAAAAACAAACAAATGAACAAACAAACAAAAAAACCAAGCGTCCTTGCCCTCAAAGAGCTGCTGGCCCTGTGCAGACACTCCTGGCAGAGTGGCTTAAGTAGAAGAGCTCCTGCCTAGTAAGCATGAGGCCCTGAGTTCAACCCCAGTATCACCATAAATAAATTAATAAATAAGTAAGTAGGTAAAAAATAAATAAATGGGAAGTTGACTGGCCCAGGATCACACACAAGTTAGGGTCAGACTGGCGTTGGAACCCAGGGCTGTATAGGCACCATGAAAGAGCCCAAACTCGGTGGGATGGGTGCTCAGGAGCTGAGCCAAGTTGCTTCCCACTCGCAGTATGGGGACACCACACACACCCTCGTGGAGAAGATGAACTACACCGGCCGGTTCTTACCTGGATTTGAGGCCCCAACATTCAAGGACCCTCTCCTTTCCAAGCTGTGAGTGTCCCTCTGTACAGGAGAGGGGTGGAAAGCCATGTCCACTCTCCTCCACGTAGACTGGTCTCATCTAGTGGGGTGGAGCATCTGGAGGCTGCTTGCGTGCACCCAGAGGGGGCTTCAAAGAGGTGACACTAAGAGGTAGCAAACAGTTGAGCTGCCTGGGTTCACAACCCAGCTCGATCACTTTGTAGCCACTTAATCTTGGACAGGCCACTCCATTTCTTTTTGCTATTTCTTCATCTGTAAAACGAGGCTCCTAACTGAGCTAACAAAATAAATGGACTGACGCACATGAAGAGCTACAGAAGTCTGAGCTATTATTATTATTGGAGGGTGAGGGGGAAGGGAGAGATTTGAGGGCCAGCCTTCTTCTCACCCCCAGCCCCTTTTCTTTTCCTAGGCCCAATTGCAACCTTGAGATTATCGATCACATCGTGGGAAATCAGCCTGATCAGGAGATGGTGTCTGCCTCGGAATGGTGAGCCCATTTCTCCCACAGTCTATCTTTCTGTCACCGCAGGGGGCAGATCCACCCCCTTGATTCACTTATTCACTGAAAAACTGTCACCATGAAGACTAGAGATTTTGAGGCTGAATTTCCTCTGAGGAAACGTGAGGGTGTCACAGTGCAGCCAGCCTTGAAGGAAGTCTAGCTCTACCTGCCTTTGCCTTTCTTCCCCACAATACAACAGCAGAGAGATGGGTTAGAATAGGGCCAAACTCACTTTTATAATAAACCAACTCTCGCGTGAACTAGCTTAGTCCCGCGAGAACCAATCCATTTTGAGGCGTGGCTTGGTGACGTAATCCTAGCACTCAAGGGACTGAGGCAGGAGGATGGCAAGTTCAAGGTTATCCTGGGCTACACAGCCAGACCGGCTCCAAAGAAACTCCCAACAAACAAATAAACAAACCCAAACAACAACAACAAAACACCATAATAACAATTCATTCATGGGGGCAGAGCTTTCCTGAATTCATTACCTCTTAAGGGTCCCCCCTCTCTTTTTTTGGTAGTACTGGAGTTTGAACTCAGGGCCTCATGCTTAGCCAGGCAGGTGCTCTACCACTTGAACCACTCTACCAGCGTTTTTTTGCATAGGGTATTTTTGAGATAGAGTCTCAATAACGATTTGCCCGGGGCTGGCTTCGAACCTAGATCCTCCTGACCTCTACCTCCTGAGTAGTTAGGATTACAGGTGTGGGCCATGGATGCCCAGCTGTAAGGGTCTCCTCTCTTAATGGCATCATAGTGGCAATTAAATGTCAACTGATGAGAGCATATTCAAGCTGCAGCACTGCGCATTCCTTCCTGAAAGCACTTCACTTCTTTTGTTACAAGACACGTTCCTTCCACCTGGAGCAAAATTGTCATAATAAAGGTACTGATGGCACATATGAATAAAATAAAATAAAACAAAATAAAATAAGAAATAAAGGTACTGATGTGTGTGATGTGATCGCTGTCTCCTGTGTGGCACACATGCTGGAAGGAGGATGTGGAATGATGGTAAACCAGTCCCAGGCTGGCACTCAGATCGGATGTGTCCTGTGGCCACTTGGCAGGTACCTGAAAAACCTGCAGTTCCACCGCTTCTGGTCCGTGGATGACACGCAGGTGCACACAGAATACAGCTCTCTGCGCTCCATCGTGGTGGCCAACTATGAGGAGTCCATCAAGATGCCCATTAATGAGCCAGCACCAGGCAAGAAGAAGTCCCAGATCCAGGTGAGGCCTACTCTGGCTGGGGAAGAGGGCTGATGGCTCTTACAGGGGCAGGGATGTGGGTGACAAATGACAGTGGTCTCCTTGTTTACCTCTCTCAGGAATATGTGGACTATAACGGAGGAGCTGGGGTCCAGCACATCGCTCTTAAGACCCAAGACATCATTGCAGCGGTTAGAAACCCACTCCTGGTCCTCAGCCCCCTCTCCTTCATTCAGCTCCAGGAACAGTCTCTGCAAAATGGAAGAGGGGGCCAGCGACAGTCCTGGCCCCCCTTCTCTGGCTTGGAGGGTTGACAGAGAGCCCCACACATACACTTCCTGATCCCTGCAACTCATGTGTAGGCAATTCTTACTCTACCCCAGCAGGACAGTTCAGGCTCTGCAGAATAATCAGTTTCCAGGATGTAAGAAAGCCTGAATTCTAGTCTCAGTTCTGCTGGTGCCTTGCTGTATGAATTGGAGGGATTCGGTGCCCTCTCTGGGCTAGAATTGCCTCATTTTGAGAACAAGATTATTAGGCTACAAGATTATTATGTCATTTTAGACAAATTAAATGCCCTTTGTGAATCTAACCCTGGGGGAGATTGGGTCCTACCTATTCTGTAAGGTCAAGAGCCTAGACTGTCCCATTCAATCCTGGGCAACCTGAGTTGACTGCACGACCTCCGTGAGGTCATTTATTCACTAACTCAGTGAGTGTTTATTGAGCATCTACTATGAGCTAGACACATTGGTAACAAATGGATTTTGCCCTTATGGAGACAATAAGTAAAATATGTAGGTGATGGTGAGAGTCCTGGAAGAAAATAAAGCAGGGAAGTGGGGGAGCAAGGGTGGAGGACAGAGCACATTTAAGTAGGGTTATCAAGAAAGGTCACATGGAGAAAGAGACACTTGAGAATGCAAAGGATTGGAAGGAAAATCCTATGGAAATGGGGAAAGTGCCTCAGGCATGAGGGACAGCTGAAGCAAAGAACCCAAATTAGCTGGGAGTGCATGGAAGGTTCCAGAAATAGCAAGGAAATTGGTGTGGCTGGATCAGAATGAGTGAGGGAGAGAGGTAGAAGACAGGTCAGAAGGTAGGAATGGGGGACAGATAGTGAGGGCCCTAGAGAGAACCTACAATTTGACTCCAAGATGTGGCATCGCCATGGGGTAAGCAGAGGAGTAACATGATTTGTATTTTAACAAAATCACTTTGGCTACTATGGTGAGAATACTTAATCATTTAATGCCTCAGTTTCCCCAGCTGTGAAATGGATATATAATGAGGCAATACATAGAAAGAGAGACACACAGTAAGTGTCCATAAATGAGAGCAGGGGCTCAGACAGGGGATGAAGTCACACACATCCTGGCAGTCAGGAGAGTCACTGTCTCCTCCAGACCTAGCAGCTGCACTTGGCTAGTGCTAAGCTTGGACAAAGAGGCTGACCTTGATCCTGCTCCTGGACAGATTCGCCACTTAAGAGAGAGAGGCATGGAGTTCTTGGCTGTTCCACCAACGTATTACAAGCAGCTTCGGGAGAATCTCAAGTTGGCCAAGATCCAGGTGAAGGAGAACATCGATGTGCTGGAGGTGAGACCCAGCTGGGATCCTTGGTGGGTCAACATGGGCCCTAAGTTCCATTGGTCCCCACACATACTGTCCAAGCCTACCCTGCAGCAGACATTGGGATGCAGAAGGAAACCAAACCAGGTCCCGCTTGGCATGAGGGTTGTACTCTGGAGAGGGAGGGAAGAAGAAGGGAGGGGTGAAGGGAGCAGGAGGAAGGGGTGGAGGGAGGGGAAGAGAGAGAGACAGAGAGCGATTAAGATTGATTGAGGGTATTGGTGCCACGCAGAAAGTTAAACCAGGCAAACCAATCGCAGTAGTTCACGCCTGTAATCCCAACATCCAGGTAGCTGAGACGAGAGGATTGTCAGTTCCAGTATAACCTGGACTACAGAATAAGACCCTGTCAAAAAAAAAAAAAGAGAGAGAGAGTTGATCCCAGGGTTATATTACAAAGTGATCAGGGAAGGCTTCTCTGAGAAGGTGGCTTTAATTGAAATCTATCTAACGAGAGGGACCTGACCAGGTGGAGGGCGAGAGAATGAGCATTTCTGGTAGAGGGAATGGCAAGGTGCAAAGGTCCTGAGGCAGAAGTGTGCTCAAAGTGTCTGAGGAACAGAAAGAAGGCCAGCATGGATGAAAGGTAGCATTTGACACCTGACCTAGATCAGACAGGTAGACAGGGGCTGATTCTTCTTGTGGATTATTTATGACTTTGGATATTGCTCTTCTGTGGCCAGAAACCAGTAGAGGGTTCTTTGGTTTTGTCTTAACAGCTTTATTAGCATAGAAATCACATGAAATATGTTAACCTTGGGCCTTTTGTTGTTGGTTTTTTTTTTTTTTTTTTTTCATTTTTCTTTTATTATTCATATGTGCATACAAGGCTTGGTTTATTTCTCCCCCCTGCCCCCACCCCCTCCCTTACCACCCACTCCACCCCCTCCCGCTCCCCCCCTCAATACCCAGCAGAAACTATTTTGCCCTTATCTCTAATTTTGTTGTAGAGAGAGTATAAGCAATAATAGGAAGTGTTGTTGTTTTTGAGACAGGGTATCACTATGTAGCCCAGGCTGGCCCTGATCTCATGATCCTCCTACCTCTGCCTCCCAAGTGCTGGGATTACAGGAGTGAGTCACCACGCCAATCTTATGTTAACCTTTAAAAGTATACAATTCAATGGACCTTAGCTGTTTGCTATGTTGTGCAACCAGCATCAAAATCAAGCTTAGAACATTTTCATCATCCCAAAAGAAACTTTGATCCTCTTAGCTATCATCTCCCATTCCCTACATTTCTTTCTTCCCCTCCTACCACAGCCCTAGACAATCACTGCTCTGCCTTTGGTTACAAATTTGCCTATTCTGTACATTTCACATTAGTGGAATCATACAAAACGTGGTTTGTTGTAACTTTTTTTCTCTTAGCATGATGTTTTTGAGATTCATCCATGTCATAGCATGTCAATACTTCATCCTTTTTATGGCTGACTAATATCCCATTTCATCTATTCATCAGTTGGTAGATATGTAGGTTGCTTCTATTTGTGGGCTGTTGTGAACAAGTACTTTATGAACATTTGTGTGAACATATGTTCTCATTTCTCTTGTGTATATATCTAGGAGTGGAATTGCTAGGTCACATGAAAACTTTAACTTTTTTTTTTTTGAGGTACTGGGGTTTGAACATAGGGCCTTCACCTTGAGTCACTCCACCAGCCCATTTTTGTGATGGGTATTTTTCGAGATAGGGTCTCGAGAGCTATTTGCTCTGGAACTTCGAACCTCGATTCTCCTGATCTCTGCCTCCTGAGTAGCTAGGATTACAGGCGTGAGCGCCCGGCGCCCGGCTATGTTTAACTTTTTGAGAAATTGCCAGGCTGTTTTCCAAAGCACTTTGTACATTCTCACCAGCAAGATATGAAGGCTGCGATTTCCCCTGAATGCCGTGAACGATCTGATTTGATGGCTATGGGCGGAAGCAGGGAGAAGCCTTAGTAGTGGCTTCGGCAGGAACTGTGGTACTGGGGTGGTAACAGGACGATTTGGGGATGTATTTGAAGGGGGCTTGAAACTGCTAGAAAAAAGCGTCTTGGCTTTGAGGGTACGGGGGTCCTATGAACTGTTTAAGGATCTCAAATGCCAGGCTAGAAGGGCGGGCCAGCCTCCCCCTAATGGAGTCCTAATGGAGCCCCCTGTCTCCTGACCAGGAGCTGAAAATCCTGGTGGACTACGACGAGAAAGGCTACCTCCTGCAAATCTTCACCAAACCCATGCAGGACCGGCCCACGCTCTTCCTGGAAGTCATTCAGCGCCACAATCACCAGGTACAGCCTGACTCCCGCAGGCCTAGGGGGCCTGCAGGTGGCACGATCGGCTTTCTGGGTTCCAGCTCACCTGCTCTCTCCCGCTCCAGGGCTTTGGAGCCGGAAACTTCAACTCGCTGTTCAAGGCTTTCGAGGAGGAGCAGGCCCTTCGTGGCAACCTCACCGACCTGGAGGCCAACGGGATGGTGTCTGGCATGTAGGCCCCGCCCATCTCCAGGCCACACCCCGAGGCCTGCGGCACGCCCACCTGGCCAGTCAGGAGCGTTAGCTCCTCTTCCACTGGCCACTCCATTTCGACCCCGCCCCGCTGCCACGCCCACTTTTCATGACCACGCCCCACGCCCCCTGTTCGCTCCCGCCTTCCTCACTCTGGCATTTGCTCCAGGCGAGGAGCAGTGGCGTCCCTTCGCCGCTAGGGGGAGACCAGGGCCGCGGCGCTGCCTGGAGGCGTCTGCTCCAGCGCAAGCGTTTGGCTAAGTGAGACCGACTGGTTTGGGGAGGATTTCTCGAACAGGGGGACAGGGGACTTACACTCAAAAGGTAAGAGTGTATTATCGTGTCAGAGTGGTAGATACTATTACAACTAATAAAGCAGGTGATGAGATTGAGTGGCAATGAGAGGGTCTAGTTTCGATCAATGGAAGAACCCTCTGGGAAGGTGACATTTGCGAGCTAGACATGGGACAATCCGGAGAGAGTATCCTAAGAAGAGGCAACAGCAAGAGAAAAGGTGGGACGGAACGTGGTAGCATCCTGACTGGTGGTTTGTGATCGCTAAAGATGACTCGTCCTGGCCAGGTGCCGGTGGCTCATGTCTGTAATCCTAATTACTTGGGAGGCTGATATTGGGAAGATCACAGGGAAGATCATAGTTCGAGGTCAGCCTGTGCAAATAGTTTTCGAGACTCCCATCTCCAAAATAACCAGAGCAAAAAAGGGCTGGAAGTGTGGCTCAAGTGGTAGAGTACCTGCTTTGCAAGCATGAGCCCCTGAGTTCAAGCCTCAGTCCCACAAAAAAAAAAAACCCGTCCTCAATTTTGTTACCCAGAGCCCAAACTGAAATGTGAGAGGGGAAGAGTATTGGCCAAGGGACTTTAGGACAGCATCCTTTCTGAGCAACCACAGGACATGGTTCCTGGTCTGAGCCCCTCAGCTTCCACTCTGCACCTGAGCTTGGCAGTCAGCAACCCTCCCCCACACACCACCTAATGACTCCTTTTGAAAGTGACTTGCTTGAATGACCCTTGCTAAATAAAGAATGAGGCAATTGGTAGAGGAGCTGCTGGTCCCAAAAACCTTCGAAAGAAATTATTTCTTCAAAACCAGAAAGAAGGGGCCAAGAGTGTAGCTCAGGGGTAGAGCACATGTCTAGCATGCGAGAGGACCTGGGTTCAAACATACACACACACACAGAAGAGGAGGCGGATGAGGACAAATTTGGCTTCTTTTCCTTCTGCTTTAAATACTTAATTCCCCTCCCTGAATATGAGTCCACTCAGAATTCAGGCACAGGTGAATCTCAGTGTAAGGAAAAAAAAAAAATCTGAGTTGTTATCATGAGCATTGAAGGGTTTTTCTTTTTTCAGATTAGGGGGAAAAAAATCAGGGCTTCTAGGATCATGAACTTCAGAGATCAAAAGAACACAGGAGAGAACCAAGAGGAACAGGCCCCAGGCCATGCAAAAATGTCTCCCTCTATTCTCCCATGGTTTATGCAAAGAAGGGAAATTCTATAACCCAGAAGGTTGCAAATTGGTGGTTTATGGGCCAAATCTGGTTCACAGATAGCTTTTATTTCACCTGTAGGGTTTCAAACAAACTCAAGTCAATATTTTAGAAAGTTGGGACATTTCACACACAAATTCTAGGATTCTGGTTCTTCTTAGATCAGTGGGCTGACTCTGGACTTGCCTTCTATGCAGTAGCAAGCCTCTGGTGCTAAACAGTTTGTTTTCTGGATAAAGCAATCTCCCTTCAGCTGAGCTCATACTAGAGAACCAGATTGCCTGATCACATCCAGAGCATCCACTCATTGGCTGTATGATCTTGGGCACGCTACCTGACCTCTCAGTGCCTCAGTTTCCTCATCCATTCAATAGGGATGAGAATCACCCTGTCTCCTAGCACTGTAGATGTTTAAAACAGTGGCAGGCACTCAATGCTGTGTGCATTTTTGTTTTTATTCTTGGAGAGGAGCCTGAGTGAGGGACTCTTGCCCAAATCTGCCTGGCCCCTCCCTCTCCCATCTCTGTCAAATATGCAGATATCTCAAATTGGAGCTCCCTTTTTGGCCCCTGCTGCAAAACCAACGAGGAAAGGACTCACTTAGTGGGATGGAGGAGAGGCGGAGGGAGAGGCGGATGGATTTGAAGACTGGAAGGACCAGCAGATTAGGTGGAGGAAGGATTAGGTAGTCCAAGGCAAGCCGTGGTGAGTGAGGCAGGGTACAGAAATGCCACAGAAGTGCCAGGTTGAAAAGTCTGGCAGGAGGAACAGATTCAAGGTAGATAACACTCAGATTTGAATGTGTTTCCTTCCTCCATGTGCCTTGGGTTGAACCCCTTGGTTGCTCTTATGCTGTCTTGCAAGGTCTGGTGTTATCACCACCCTGACTCCTTTCCCCAGTACCCCTCAGACTTCTGTTTTTTTCACTGTCCTCCACTCCCCACTCAGCTGCAACCATACTGTCCTCCTTGCTATTCCCCAGGCCCATCAGGCAGGCCTGTCTCAGTGCCTTTGCACTCACCATTCCTTCCAGAATGCCCTTCCTGCAGATGTCCACAAACCTCCTTTGAGCTCAGTTTAAATGTCAGTCCAGTGGACTTCCCTGAGCACATTTAAAATTTCACACAGCCCTGCTGACACTCCTTCTCTTAGCTACTTTTCTCCTTACTAGAGCGTGTGTCTGTGTTGTTGGGCTTGCCCACAAGACCATAATATCCGTGAAGACAGGGAGATTTTTTTTTTTTTCACTCCTGTACCCCATCTAGTGTCTAGAAGTATCTAACACATAGTAGATGCTCAATAAATACTGTCGAATGGGTGGGAGGCATAGCTCAAGTGGTAGAGCTCCTGCCTAGCAAGAACAAGGCCCTGAGTTCAAATCCCAGTGTCTCTCACACACACACACACACACACACACACACACACACACACACACACACAATTGGGTCACATGAATGACCAGGAGGTATCTTCTCTCTCCTGGCTCAGCCCCAAGCCCACCTTTTTCTCCACATGTCCATTTACGGTAGTGTCCTGTCCAGGTGCACAGTTCCTAATCAACCTATCACTAATGGAGAGCTCTGCCTTCATTCACTGCTGTCACCAATGTGGCTGCAAAGAACACCTTTGTATATGCTACTGTTCCCTTGGGTCTGTAAGGTTCAATTCCTGGCAGTGGAACATTTGAGTCAAGGAGTCATGTGCATTTAAAATACCTGACTGTATCTTAATTTTTCCTCCTGAAGGCTGCTGCAGTCTGTGCCACTACTGACATGAGACTCCCTACCGCCATGTCCCCTCCCCTCCTCCCGCCTCATGCTCACCAATAGTGAGGATTTTACAGCTTCTAATGTTGTGGTAGCTGGACATGGAGACGAGGGTTTGGTGTTGTGATTCACATTTTTCTGGTAAGAAGGGAGGCCCGGCATGTCTCCAGTCACATTGTTTTGTTTTTTTTGAATCATGGTCTTGCTGTGTGGCCCAGGCTGGCCTGGAAATTCATTTATCCTCCTGCTTCAGTCTTCTGAGTGCTGAGATTACAGGTGTGCACCACAACACTCGACTTGTAATGTAGCTTTTTGCTGAGGCTTGAGTTTTTTCTTCTTGGAAACCTCCCAGACATTGTGCCTAACAAACTTGCCCCTTGTCACGCCTGCACTTGGTTAGGCAGACTGAGAGCTCCTCAGGAATGCCACCATCAGTGGATATACTTAATTTTTCTCAACTTATGATATTTTATCAGCATCCTCCACCAAATGCAGACCAGAGGGATGATATCTTAAGTGTTAAACACTTTTCAAGAGCTGCCTTTTCATGTAGTTTTAATGACAGCAATAGGATGCTTGATCTTATTTCCTTAATTACAAACCATTAGGATCACTAGATTCCTGAAGTCTTAAGAAAAATATATAGATGAGAAACTAAAAGGCTGTGGAAGGTCTAGTCTGACTCTAATTTGGCCCAGTTCAGAATCCACCTACAAGCCGGGTACTAGTGTCTCACCCTGTGATCCCAGCTACTCAGGAGGCAGAGATCAGGAGGGTGGAGGTTCGAAGCCAGCCTGGGCAAATAGTTCTTGAGACCCTATCGCAAAAAAAAAAAAAACAAAAAAAAAACCCAAAAAAGGGCTGTTGAAGTGGCTCAAGGTGTAGGCCCTGAGTTCAAACCCCAGTACTAAAAAAAAAAAGGCTCAGAGTCTAATGGTCTCACAATAGCCTCCTGCTCCAAGCCCCGTCAGCCTACTGTCTTTGTGAACAGCATGCACCTCAGCAGAAAGAAAGAATGAGGAGGAGAGGAGCAAGAGAGACGGCGTATCTGTAAGAAAAGTCAGTATATTTATGGTTTGCTTTATAAAAGTTACTATAATACAATGGTACATAGTATTGAATTCACAAAAATATGAACAAATATTTACAGCAAGACACACCCACAACGGAAACACTTCTCTTCAAAACAAGTTACATATGGATGACAGAGTCTATATGCACGAACAACCCTAAAATTTATCGGTTCTCTTTGCAGAAGGAGGTAAGGAGCAAAAAAAAAAAAAAAAAAGTAAAAAGCAACACCCCCCCCACCACCCCAGACATTTCAAAAGCAGAGATTTGTTCAATTAAAAAAAAGGGTCTGAAAGAAAAATGGGCCAATACATATCTGGATTATTGCAAACCATTCCTGGGGTGGGACAGGGAAGGAAGTGGGGACCGGCCAAGGTTAACTTGGCCCCATGATGGGCGAGGTAAGGCCTGGCAGGGCCTGGGCGGGCTCCTCCCTGGTTTCCACGCCTCCTCCCCTCTTCTTTCATGGGAGACAGGAGCGGGTAGAATGAGGACAGCCCCTTGAGGCTGCACAAGTAACTTAGATCAGCTGTCTATAAACTATACATTTCCTCATGTGAAAAATAAATATTTTCTTAGTTGCACAATTAGGCAGAAAATCGCAAACGGAAGAGAAGGTTGCCACTGTGCTCAGGTACCCCCTCTGTGTCTTAATGCCACCGATTTCCTTGACCTTGAGACCAGTGGGCAGTCTCCAACACAGAGGGCCTCCGGTGATTAAAAAAAACAAAACAAAACAAAAAACACAACAAATCCACCAATGACCAAAAAAGAGAAAAATAACAATTCTTTGTACAGAATTTACATGATAACAAGCTTGACACAAGCTGAGATACCAGAGGCTCTGCCACCTGGTCCGCAGGGTGGAGCACCCCACGGCTCCCACCTGGAGGCTCTCATCTGGGTGAGGACTCCGGGTCACAACAGTCACGTTCCAAAGTATTTACATGCCTGCTCTGCTTTGGAGGGGACAGGGGACTTGCTTTTTTTGTGTGTGTCTTTTTTTTTTTTTTAGAAGTACAAAGAAATGAGCAAAAAGGCTTCCCACATGTTTCTACAAGAAACAATGTTCCCGAGAAAAAGTCCTTTATGGCAGTCTATATACAGAAGTTGGTTCTAAACATCAAAAATCTATTTTTTCCCTTCGATTTGATTTTATACACACACAAGAAAAAAAAATCCATGGAAATAAACCCTGAAGAGATGGGAATGGGGAAAAAGGTTTAAAGAAAAAAAAAAAATGTCAAAAGATTTAGATCTGAGTTTTTAAATCTCTTTCAAGATTTTCCTTTCTCGGGGAGAAATAACCTGCTCACTCCAGAAATAAGTATGCTCTGGCCTCTGGGGTGGGGCCCCTGGCTGGGTGAAGTGGTGTGGGCTGAGGCGAGCGGGTGAAGCTTATCAACAACAACAGAAAATGCCACATGCATACGGTCAGACAACCCGTAATGGCGGAGTTGGGGGACCCGCCTGCCCTGGGAGCCCCCCTCACGCCCAGGTGAGGCAGGGCAGCAGAGAGCACAGATACCCTTCCCAGCGCCCTACCGCACTGGGGGCCCCAGGAGGCTCCCTCATTGCTGGCATCCGAATGAGAAAGTAAACATTGAACCCAAGGATTTGGGGGTGGTGGGTGGGGGGTGGAGGGGAGCGCCCAGAGAGGAAGCCAAGCTTGGCTTCCCCAGGGCCTGCCTGGAGAATGGCACCCTCGGTCACTGGGGAAAGGATTGGGGTCTCCTCGGAGGCCTTTCAGGTACTTAGTGTTCTGAGGTCCAGGCCACTGGCCCAGCCCCTCCTGCAGCACCTAGCCCCCGAGTCCGTGTGGAGGGTCCCGGAACCTGGGCTGACACCCTGCTCACATGCGGTCTCAGCAGCCTACCAGGTGTCCCCCTCTGATTCTGCCTTCACATTTCAACGGTTAAAATGTCTCTTCTTAGGACAAGGAAGAAAATCAAGACGACAAAACACTGTAGTAGCATCCACGGGAAGAAGCTGAGGATGGAGACAGGCAAGAGAAAAGCCAGGAAGATGGAGAGAGGAGACAGAGATGGAGAATTACAGACACACAGAGAGAGACACAAAGACAGAGAAGTTAATGTCCAAGTTGAACAAAAGTCCTGAAAGGAGCATTTTTTAACTGAAAGAGACACAGGTGGAGAGAGACAGAGAAGCCCTTTCCCGCTGCGGGGCTGGAGCTGCGGGCGGGTCCTGGGGTAGTGTTGGCCGCTGGGGCGAGGGACAGCACCTGAAATGGGCGGGAAGTGGGGCCTGGCCCGGGGCGCAGGTTCTCAGGAGCCCTGGGCAGCTGACATCCTTCGCATTTGGCACACAGGGGCCTAGTTGAGGGTCCCCCGGCAGTTCTCCGAGCCGCAGAGGCAAGGGATCTTGACGTCCTCAATGGGGAACTTGTAGTCATATGTGATCTCCTCATTGACATTGATGTGCTGCTTCGAGTAGATGACAATCTTTTTCTGCGACTCCACTGTGATCACCTTGGCGTAGCAGTTGGGCTGCGGGAAAGATGGCAGGGTGGTGAGCCAGTAACTGAGGCCTCGCCTGGCCCCAGCAGCTCAGCTCCACAAACCCTCCCCAGTCGGACTTAAGGCCTAACTTGTGGCTTTCCCGTCCTCCTGCCCACTGGTCACTCACAATAGGCTCAGCTCCCAAATCTGGGTGACAAGGATGCCTTGCTTGTGATATTCAATAAAAATGATGATGATAGCGGTAATTATTTCCCAGGGCTTAGTCCAACTTTATATTTCTAGTCCAAGCATCATTTCTGAGCTCTAGACAAAGGGTTAACAAATGATAGCCCTCAGCTGCCCATTTTTATAAATAAAGTTTTATTAGTGCACAGTCACACCCATTCAGCCATTCATTAGCATATCATCAGTGGCTGCTTTTGTTACAAGGGCCAAGTTTAACAGTTACTACTGAGGTCATACAGAGCACAAAGCCAGGAATATTTACTCTGTGGTCCTTCACAGAAGTGGTTTGCCACCAATGCTCTAGACCCACAAACCCACTCTCTCTCCAACCCTGCCTGGGCAGCCCCAAGACTTGCTGGACTCAGTGAGTCCAGAGGTTATTTATTCGATTGATTTTGTTTGATTGATTGTTTTTTACTTTTTTGGTTCTGAGGATTAAACCCAGGGCCTGCATTTTTATTTCATTTTAATTTTTTGGGAGTACTGGGATTTGAAGTCAAGGTCTCAGCTTCCTAGGCAGACACTACCACTGGAGCCACTCCATCAGCCTCTGCCTTGGCCTTTATAGAAGGAACTTTTCAGTTCCTAAGCTCAGTTGACAAGACTGAGTGATCTGGTCATGCCCAACTGTGTCCACCCTGTCCTCTCCCCACTCCTCCATCTCTACTGTCCCCCTTGCTAGCCCTAACACAGATGTGCTCCCCACTGCCCCAGGGCCTTTGGCCATGCCTATTCCTACTCCACCCAGGCACTTCCCTCTTGTCCCTCAGATCTCACAGGACATTCCCAAGAAGGTGTTCACTTACCTTTCCAGTCCTACCATGACCAAGTTGCAATCAGAGCGAGCACTTATAGTCCTATCAGAACCCTCAAAGAGCCACACACAGTAATTTGGCTCTCCCAACAGACTACATGGAGGGACTGTTTTACAGAGTCCCTGTTTTACAAATGAGGCAGACATAATTCACTAAGTAGTGATGGCAAGCTTTGAACCCAGAATTGGGGGCATCACCCCAGAACCTGCCTGCCTCCTGTTCAAAGCTTCCAGTGCTTCTTTCAGCACAAGAGTCCCTGATAGCAATGCCTTCTCCCCTCCAGACTCACACCACCAATATGGTTGTCTCTAACCACACAGGCAATTTAATTTAAATTCATTAAAATGAAAAATTTTAAACTCAGTTCCTTGGTTGTACTGACCACATTTCAAATATGCAACACCACAAGTAGATGGTCCACATAGCTGGGCAGCACGGAAGAGGCACGACCACAGAAAGTTCTGTTGGGTGACTCTCCCCACAGTGTCAGCTGAGGGCTAAGCTTGACCAATGGAGAAGAGCTGCAGAGAGACACTGCTCCAGAGCTCTAATCAACTGAGACAATCACTTCTTGGCACCTCCAGTCCTTCCTCATTGCACTCATTTTACAGATCAGACAACTGAGGCTCCGAGGAGAAAGGTTTCTTGTGTAGACATAATGTCCTTCCCACCTTCCTGTCACCCTAGGCACCCTGAGCCTGGAGGAGGCTGCACTGACACCTACACCTGGGCTCCCAGGTCCCTGGCACAGAGGTGGAGCAGCCTCAGCCCTAAGTTGGCCACTTACGTTGCAGCTGTGGTTAATGAAGCGAGCGAAGTTGCCACACTTGGTGGCGTCAATGATGGTATCATGGTCCACTCGGAACATGTAGCTGCTACCGATGCCCTCATCCTCGTATCGCTTCTCCCTCATATCTGCGATCACCTGGCAACCAAACAGCGTAAGTCTGGCTGGCCCTGTGTCCAGCCCTTGCCCACCCTATGCCTGGTCCACTGGGTAGCACTTACCTGGCGGATGTTCTGGCCCACGTACTCGATGACCATCTCATCAGCTGCGATGGGCTCCATGGCGAACAGGCCCCAGTCATGAATGTGGCTCTTACAGAATTTGAGCTTTTTCTTCCGGAACTGAGGGAGAAAAGGAAGAGGGATGAGCCCTGGTTTCAAGTCCAGCTGCCACCCTGGTGCTCTGGGGACAGGGGCTCTCACCTTGAGCTGGTTAAACTTGAGTAGGTCACTGTCACAGCTGCCAGTAAAGGAGGATAACAGGCGGCGCTGCTCTGAACGCCGCTCGGAGCCTGCCCGAGTAGAAGCATGGGGCTGTGCCGGGATGCTCATGCCCTGCCAGCACAACACAAGGTTAGAGGAGGACATGCTGCTGGGAGCTTAGCAGACTGATCCCACGCAGGGACCTAGCCCCATGATACCCTCAGGAGTTCCACTCTAAGCTCTAGGCTTCTGGGTCGCCACCTCCCTGGGTTCCTGGTTCTGGGCTTCTCATCCCTTAAGTGGCCCAGCTTCCCTGCATCCTCCTTCACCATCAGCCTCTGAATGTGCTCAAGCCCCTCCTGTCCTGAACACAGCAGCACAGCCTTACCTTTGCTGTCAGTTTCTGGTCTCAGCTAAACATTTTGAAATGCCTTTCAAAATGCTGTCTTGGTCTACCCAAGTCCCTGCAGAGCTCACGAAGGCCCCGACTTTGGCAAGCAGAGCAAATCACGGCTTCTTCCTCAACACTCACATCCTTTTCCTCTGTTGGCCTCCTCACCTCTTCTCTATCTCTATCTCTTAATCACTCCTCCCTGCTGTGGCTTCCAATCACCATCTCCATTGTGATGACACCTAAGTTTAGATCCCCAGACCAGAAGGCCTGTTCCTAAGCTCTACCATACCTATATGTCTAACTGCTTGCCAGATCTCTCTTCTTGGTGTGCCACAAACTCCAAACTCAGGCTGTCCCAAAGGGAAGGTGCCATCTGCCTGCCACCACAGAGCTTGGCATCCAGCCCAGGTTGCAAGCCAGACCCTGTGCCTCCCTTCCCTCACCTCCCATTCCCAACCCAGCCCCAGTCCTGTACATTTGGCTTTCTAATACCCTTTCAAACACATCCACTTTCCCCTCATGGCCTGGAAACTGCAGGAACTGCATCAGTCTCTATGCACCCCTGAATTCTACACAGGGGCCAGTGGAAGCTTCCAAAATCACACGCTGTAAGACACCACCCACCCCTTCTCTCAAAACCCTCCCTCAGCTTGCCACCAAATGCAGAACAGAGCTCTAACCTTGTCACTCCAGTACTCCAGCCCACTGTCCTCTCCCTCTCTGGTCATGGCTGACCTCTCCTTCCCTTTCTCACACCACTGAGCTCTTCCCTGCCTCAGAATCGTTGCTTATACTACATGCCTACTGGGTTTGGCGAGTCCCTGCCCTACCCTAACTTTCTAACAACGTCCTTTTCTATTTCACTGTGGTCTCTCCTTGTCATCCATGTGGCTTATTCCTTCACCTCATTTAGGTCTGGCTCAAATGAGACTTCTCAGACCCCTTCCAACCTGCCAATCCCTCCCACTTTCTCTGTAGTGACGACCCCCACACACCAAAGTATAAGTTCCATAAGGAAAAGGACTTTGCTTTGTTTACTGCTGTCCCCCCAAGAAATGCCTGGTACATAGCAGGCACTCAATAGATACTTGTGAGATTAAAAAAGGAACAAGTGGTCCTCTGGAAATGCAGCTCTGATAATGCCCTCCATCAAAATCCTTCAGGGCACCACACTGACCATGATAAGCAGCTTTGGCGCTGGGTCCTCAACCCTGCCTACTCTTGCTCAGCCCTATGTTCAGCACAGGGCTGGTGTGTGCAGCCCTGATGACAGTACCTGGGTGTCCGCGGGGGGCTCGTCGGTGCTGGTGCGGCTGCTGTTGAGGTATCTGAGCTTGTCCTTCTTGTCGATGGTGTAGAAGCCCTCACTGCGAGCACAGCCTGTCACATGCTCACGGATGCCATCATCCCGTTTCTTTTTTTTAGCTGAAGAGAGGCTGGTGGGTGGGTGTGTGTCAAGGGCCACATGAACATATTCAGAGAGCCCCTCCTGGTCCCCAAAGGGACCTGTCCTACCAGGCCTGGCCTCCCCACCCTCAGACCAATTTCTAGAGTTACGATGCCCCTCCACAAGGCTTCCTGCTGGCCAATGCCACTGATGTTCGGTACCTAGGTATGTGACTCTGGGTGTGTTTATGTTGTCACTTGTAAACAGGGGTACAAGTGATGCCTCTATGAATGATTAAACACACTTAGAATACTTAGAGTTCCTGAGGCAGAGCAAATGCTTAATACGCTGGTTTGGTACAATGCAGATCACGACAGTTCCAACCTAATAGGCCAGTTTTCTGGGTTTTTTCTTTTGGTGGTACTGGGGGTTGAACTCAGGATCTCGCCCTTGCTAGGCAAGGCAAGACATACCCTCAACCCCTGAAGAGCCCAGGGTCTAAAACCAGATTTGCCTGAGTTCAAATCCCAGCTCTGCCTCTTTGGGTGAGTCACTTAGACCCCTCTGAGTCTCAGTTTCTTCATATGTAAAATGAGAATACTAACTGCCCCCACTCACTGGGCTATTGGGAAGATTAAATTAGAACCAGTGAGCTCGCTTGCAGTGTCTCTGCTGCTGTTGGTAAGTTCTACAACCCTGTCATTACTTTAGAGCCTGAGACCTGCTACCTCTGCGGATGAGATGGGCCTGACACTGAGGATGTGCCAATGACCATTCAGTTTAGAGCCTTGCATGATGCCAGCACAAACACTGCTGGTAGGTGAGAGTAACTGCTATTGCCTTCCTGGGTACCATGACTGCTACAAAGGGATGGAGACCAGTGGCTAGGTGAGGACCTCCTGCAATGTGGGGGTATGGGGGGGGGGTTGGACCTGAGTCCAGCAGGATATAGGGATGGTAGACCCAGAGTGTGTCGTTGAGCCAGTCCATGCCGTTATCCTGCTGCAGCAGCCGCTCATAGGTGACACACAGGAAGCGAATGTCCTCCTCATCGATGCCACCATTCCAGATGTCATACAGGATGGTCATTTCTTCAAATTCCGAGCGGGGCCGGAAAAGGGGCTGGGGTGGTGAGAGCTCAGGAGAGGCCGAGGTGGCCACCAAGTCCTCATGGCGCTTCTTAGGTGGCCGGCGCCATGGCCCCCGTGCCTTGGCCAGCTCCATGTATTCCTCGGTGACATCATCGCGCCCACGAGGGCCTGGGGGAATGGCCTCAGAGGGCCACTGGTTGTCCAGTTCCTTAAAGGGCAGCTTGGTAGGCTCAACAGGTGGTGGAGGTGGGGGTGGAGGGGGTTGGGGTGGGAGGGGCGGTGGGGGGGCTGGGATCCCTGTGTTCCGGAAGTCCAGGGTAACAGCCCGGGGATCATGGGTGCTGGGGAAGATGGGGGTCTGTGGCTGGCCTGGCAGAAGCAGGAGGTCCCTCCCAAGGGCAGCCCCTGCTGGTGGCCGGACCAAGGGCCCATCCAAGGACAGCATAGATGGAGGGGATCGCCGGGGCCGGCCCGGCTTTCTCTTGATGGGGGGTGGGCAGGGAGCCAGGGGTGCAGGCAGCAGGGGTGGCAGTTGGGCAGGTGCCCGAGCCTGGGCCCTCAGGACAGGGACAGGCAATGCCAGGGGCAGGGGCAGGGGTAGGGGCAGTGGGAGAGGTAGGCCCGTCTCCAGGAGCACAGGGGAGGCCAGGGGCCAGAGCGTTCATCACGCCTACCAGCCGGGAGGGGACAGACAGGTAGAAGCAGGGGTCCACTGGGCTCAGGGAAGGTGGGTGTGAAGCTGAAGTCCCGGCCAGGTGTCCGAGGGAGGCCCCCGCTGCTCAAGCCAGGGGACTGGGATGGGTAGGAGAAGGGGCTGCCGGGCACCTGTGGGGAGCTCAGTGATAGGCCACTGCTGCCTCCTGATAGTGGAGGCTCCCCACCTGGGGTAGCCGGCACTGTCTCTGTGCTCTGCGACTTGGCCAGGCTGCCACAGAGGCCTGGAGTACGTGGGGGCTGGTCTTCAGGGGGAGGCTCCGAGGTCTCAGGCTCGGGTGGTGGGCTGGGTGGCCGGGGTGGCCGGGGTGGTGGCAATGGTGGCTGCAGAGGCAAGGAGAGCATCGGAGGGGGTTCGGGCTCCTCTTCCAGGTCTTCCTCTGCAGACAGGTGAGTGAAAACCAGAGCATTGGTATTTGGTTCAAACATTTCTTAGTGTCCTATTACTGCTGCCCTACTCCCTTTTTTGTGATGGGTGTTTTCAAGGTAGAGGCTCTTGAACAATTTGCTTGGGGCTGGCTTTGAACCTCGGTCCTCCTGATCTCTGCCTCCTGAGTAGCTAGGATTATAGGCGTGAGCCACCCTGGCTCCTACTCTATGCTTTATACTTGAGTCCCCCAAGTCTGTGTGCACAGACACTACCCAGTTAAAGCACTCAGAGACTGCTCAGCACCCAGCACAGTCTCATGCACACAGGAAGTGCTTCCTAAATGCTGGTAGGACAAATCAAAGACATAGGAGACATGGTCAGCCTTTTACTGTTTCTCCAGGACCATATTCTTGGGGCTGGGGTAGCTCAGTGATACCCCAGTGCTTACGTAGTATGCATGAGACCCTGGGTTTGAACTCCAGCAATGCAAAAAAACAAAAATAAAACAAAACAAATAAGCAACAACGAAATCCCATGTTTCTGGGGCCCAAAAACACTTGGCCTATGGAACAAAATTCAGTGAGTCTCTTTTCTACAGTACTTGTCAGAGCCTTCAAGGATTTCTCCTAGCATTTATTTCATTGTCATAGAATGCATGATCTAATTTAATATCTGCTGTCACCTTTCACCTTGCCCTAAAATACAAGCTCCATGAAAACAGATGTGTTGCCAGGTGCCAGTGGCTCATGTCTGTAATCCTAGCTATTCAGAAGGCAGAGATCAGGAGGATTGTGGTTTGAAGCCAGCCCAGGCAAATAATTTGCAAGACCCTATCTCGAAAATACTCAACACAAAACAGGGTTGGTGGGGTGGCTCGAGTGGTAGAGGCCCTGAGTTCAAACTCCAGAACTGCAAAAAAAAGAAAATGAAAACAGACATGTTTGTTTGTTTGGTCCATATAAGTTCCTAAAATAGTACTAGGACCAGTAGAACCTGAATATTGAGTCACTATTCAATGAACTATGGTTTGTGGGCAAATAAATAAAACAAAATGCAAGTTTTCTGTCCTGAAGGATTAGGAAAGGTATATACTAACCACAGTGGCTACATACAGTTAAAATTAAACAGCACTATAAATTTGTTTCCAAAGTGGTTCTGGCTGTGTATCAGCAGCACAGTAGCAACACTGTGTCCAGCAGCTAGTACTGGACAGCACAGAAAGAGAACATGTTTGTCACTGCAGAAAGTTCTATCAGCTGGCATGATCAGAGTTTTTCACATGCATTGTGCAGCTCCATGAAGAAGACAGAGGGGGTTAGAGCCTGAAGCCTTTCTCACCCAGCCTAGTACCCCAAGGCTACCCCACTCACCTGTCACTAAAATACCATGGACACTGCTCCCCCTTTTTGACAGTGTCTCATGGAACCAATGCTCCAAAGACTAAACCACAAGGGAAATCCTGGCATTGAGAAATGAGACCAGCGATAATCCCTGCTGGGCTCATCTTCCATGTGCCAGGCTCAAGGGACATATATCACCTTGCCCCATCCCCACTGTGACTCACAGGAGGTATGCCATCAGATGGAAGAGGTCATGAGAAACAGGCTTGGGCAGGAGCCTGGCTGGTTCCTGCAGTGAGGACAACTTGCCTGACTCCCCACAGCCCTCCCAGGAGGCTGCAAGGATTACCTGGAACATGTTCAGGGGATGATGGGGGCTGAGCTTCTGTCTCCCTGGCAGGGGGTTCTGGAGACAGCATCATGGCCCCTTCCTGGCTCGGGCTTGGCTCTTCAGGGGGCTCCTTGCACCCCTCTAGCTCTTCAACACCCACAGGCAAAGGGGGTTCTTCCAGGATGGAGGTTTGCTCCTCAGGGGCTTCCTCCTCAACTTCAATGTCTACCTCCTCCTCTGTGCCCAAGGACTCAACTGCAGGTGCCCCTGGGGCCAGAGGCACTTCTGCATCATCTTGCTCAAGGTCCTTGGCGCCTGCAGGAGGCATGCTCTCATCTGTCACTGCTGCCACTGCCTCTTCTTCCTCCTCCTCCTCTTCCTCCTCTTCTTCTGCTGCCATCTCATCTTCATCCTCTGAGGATGAGGACTCAGATTCCGACTCAGAGCTTGACTCAAACTCAGAAGACTCAGAACTCTCACTGGATGACTCGGCCACAGCCTTGGAGGTGGCGATGCTCACTGTCTCTTCTGAGTGTGGGGACAAAGACAGGGATCTCATGATTTGTGGTATTCCAGCCTCATGCCAGACGTTTTCCCAAAGGCCTCACACTGGGGGCACCCGGCTGAACAGAGCCCTCAAATTAGGTGTGCATAGGGGGAGTAACTAGTCATCATTATTAAAACTGATTTGAAACTAACATAAAACTAATTGTGGGTTTTTTTTTATTTTATTTTATTTTTTTTAGCGGGACTTGGCTTTGAACTTGAGGCTTCAAGCTTGCAAAGCAGGCATTCTACCACTTGAGCCACACCTCTAGTCCATTTTACTCAGGTTATTTTGGAGATGGGTGCTCACCAACTATTTGCCCAGGCTGTCCTCAAACCTGATCTTAGGTTCCCAAGTAATCTTAGGATTACAGGCATGAGCCACTGGCACCCGTCTCTAATTGCTCATTTTAAAGTAAACACTACTCCATCCATTTCCAGAACATTTTCATTAGTTCAGTAGGAAGCTACAATCCTTAGTAACTCCTCTGGCTCACCATTCAGCCCTAATTACCCACTAGTCTGCTTTCTGTGTCCATGGACTCCCAACTCTAGCCATGCTATATAAATGGAATTATAAAATATGTTGTGCATGTTCTAATGAGAAAATGTTTTAAAAACACAAAAATTTGCCCCCAGAGTATTGGTGACTATTGCCTGCTTCTACCTCTGCAGAGTGGGCTCTGGGCTGGGTCAGGCTGCCCCAGCCCCCTGCTCACCTCCATCTGACTCTCCGTCATCTTTCTCACTCGCCCCTGATAAGACTGCGTCTTGGCCATCGTTCTCAGACTCATCCTGCTCATCACTGTCTTCATCGTCATCCTAGGAGATAGGGACAGACGGGGACAGGTGAGCTGAAGGCCCACGGCCCTCCACCTGGCCCAGCACCCCGTGCTTCCCCACTGATTTGAACCTTATCTGATGTGGACGAGGTCGAGGAGGAGGAGACCTGACTCCTGGGGCCTTCCTCCTCTTCCTCCTCCTCCTCTTCCTCTGCTTCTTCCTCTTCAGTGCTTTCACGCTCCTCCTCTTTGTCTGAGGCTGAGGATGAAGGTGAGGTGGTGGAGGATCCCGAGGATGAGGATGACGAGGACGAAGACACAGATAAGGACTCCTTCTCATCTTCTTCTCCCCCACTGTCCAGTTCTAGGGGCCGAGCAGGCCTCCGTCGCACGCCCACGCCCTTGGAGTCCCGCTTGGCAAGCTCGCAGGGGGCGTCTGCCATGTCCCGGTCCCGCTCCCGCTCAGACTCTGTGGGAAGAGAGGGGAGTCCAAGAGGGGCTTGGGATATGGAGAAGGGGAACCTCAGCAGTCAGTGAGAGGTTAGAGGGCACAAACCTTCGTCTTCCTCATCCACAGATGTTGAAGGCCGCAGACGTTTTTGGTCACCAGAAGAAGCCGTGTCTGGTGGCTCCTTCCTCTTGACCTTGAAGGAGGGCAGGCGGATGGCCCCACGCAGGCCGATGCCCAAGCCCAGCCCTTCATAGCCCAAACCCTCGCCCTTGCCCCATGACTCCAGCAGGCAGGAGGCAATGCGGTCCTTGGGCTTTGGCCTGTCTTCATCCTTGTGCTCGCCTGACTTTACAGGGGTCAGTGATGCCTGGGACAGGAGAAGAGGGGACAGTTAGCACAGTGACTGCTTCTGACCCCTGCAGGCAGCACTCCCTGAGCAGCAGTAAAGTACCTGGCCACACACCTGGCCACACTGCACACCCTTCTTTAATGGGCTCCAGAGCCCTGCTTTGCCCACTGACCACTATGTCGTGGCCTCAACATGGGTACTCTACCACAGCCACCGTCCTCAGAGCAATGGCCTCTGCACTTTGGAGATGGGAATCTAGAAGCAACCTGTTGTAAGTACACACCTGTATCACACAAACATGAGTTCACAAATGAGATTTACACTGTCCTATTTTTCTGCTCTATGATGCGAACAGTCTCCACGGACTTTATCTCACTGTGCACTAAGAGGTCACACTGAAATTCTGAATCACTCTGCTTTTGAGGCGTATTCTAGGAGCTGGCCAAAATGAAGCCAGGTGCAGGTGGCCCCTGCAATCCTACCTACTCAGGAGGCAGAGAGCAGGAGGATCACAATTTGAAGCCAGCCCAGGCAAATAGTTCACGAGACCTTATCTTGAAAATACCCAACACAAAAAAGTGCTGGTGAAGTGGCTCAAATGGTAGAGAACCTGCCTAGCAAGTGTGAGTTCAAATTCTAGTACTACACACACACACACACACACAAAACAAAAGAATTGACCAAAATGAGCCATGTTGAGAGCATGGGACTCTATTAAAACTATTAATGGGATAACTTAGTTGTTACTGTTACTCATCTGGTAGGGCCAACACAATTAGGCTGAACCATAAAGACTCATGAATCAGTGGTGTCAGATGATTCATTCTGATTATACTGTCCCATAATACAGATGAGGAACAGGCCTTGACAGGTGTCACTTACCTAAACCATAGAGAGCAAGCTCTTAGTCACAATAATGTTTCCTAAAGCATGCTGGGGGTAGGGGCAGACAGCAAAACTGATAATCCTGGTCACCTCTAGGTAGGAAGGAGCAGAGGGGGCTGGGACTAAGGGTATGACTGGTATGGTGGCACTTGCCTGTCATCCCAGCTACCTGGAAGGTTGAGGCAGAAGCATAACTTGAACCCAGGAGTTTCAGGCCAGTTTGAGCAACAAGACAAGACTCCACCTCTTAAAGAAAACAACTAAAGAAAATGTTCTCTCTTACACAGGAAGTGCTTACAGCCTATTTATAAGATTAGGAAAAAACAAATACTATGCAAAAAAGGAAAAAGAGAGGTCCTGCCAAGACAGGATACTATGCCAAAGAAGGCAGGAGAGAAGGGCAGGCAGCTAAGTCAGAGAGGCACCTCAGCTGTGGTCATGTGTAGCCACTGAGCACTCAAAACTCAGTGAGGCAGAGTGAGGAACCAACTTTGTGCTCTTTGCTGGTTTTTGCAGTACTATTTTGTGAAGGGTTTTTCGAGATAGGGTCGAAACCCCAACCCCCGGGCTGGCTTTATTACTAGTGCCATGTTTTAGGAGATTAGGAAAAGGAGAGCCTGGCTGGTCCTGCCCCACCCCCACTGGCCACCCTGGGTGCTTCACACCATGGCCCCACCTACCTTGGCCATCCGCTCCTTCTTGTCCCACCACTCATCGAAGGCACGGAAGGCCACCACCTCCACCATCTTGCGGTTCAGGTCACGCTTCATGATGGCCTTGAGCTCCTTGAGCACTACCAGCAGGACGCCATCTACTGTGGCCTTGTGTGGGTCCTCCTGACGTGGCACATAGCCTGGTGGCGGCACTGAGGGGTCAAACTTGGGCAAAGGTGGCCAGGGTTGCCCACGGCTTGGGCCACTGTTGCTCAAGGAGAAGGGGCCCCGGTAGGGCGGTAGGTTGACAAACTGCAGCCCAGCTGAAGCGGCCGCAGCTGCGGCAGCCATGAAGGGTGGGTATGGGCAAGCGCCCTGGCCTGTCATTAGCCGGCTTAGCATCTGTGTTTGCATCTGGAAGGACATGGGCATGCCACCCCACTGGCCGCCCAGCACGTGGCTCATGTCCACCTGCATCACGGGAAATAGTCCTGGCGGGAAGGGTGGCAATGGTGGCAGGATGGGTGGAGGTGGGACGCCAGGTGGTGCTGGCAGGGGTGGTGGGGGCACTGTCACAGCAGGGTGGGATGGTGGGGGTGGGGGCGGTGGTGGGGGCAAAGGTGGGGGCATGGGGAAGCCAGGCTGGGGTGGGGGTGGAGGCGGGGGCGGGGGCAGCGGTGGGAAGCCGGGTGGTGGGGGTAGGGGCAGAGTTGGCGCCAACACATTAGGGGCTGCCCCTGACCCTGGGGTCACCACCATGGGCTTGGGGCAGTCGGCGCTGGTGATGGGAGCTGAGGGCATCTCATCATCCGAGATCTCCATGTCCTCGCCTGAGGACTGGTGGCCCTGGAAGAAAAGCAGGGAGGGTGAGGCTGCATGGCCAAGGGCCCCTGAGTCTCTTCTGAACATCAGAAAATCAGGATCATGGATTCCCAGCTGCTTGACTTGTGCAAGTCGATCAATCTCTCCAAGGCTCAGTTTCTCCATTTGCATAAAGGGCATCAAAAAAACAGCCATTCATTCATTCAATAAACATGTCCTCAGCACTTGTGTGCCAGGCTCAGGTCTGTTCAGGGACATGGAAGTGACTAAAATAGACACAAATCTTGCTCTTGTGGAGCTTCGACTTCTAGATAGAGGAGGCTAAGAATAACCAGAATGAAATACACATCGTGGAAAAAGAAAAGGGGGAAAGGAAAGGGAGGACAGAGTGCGGTGGATTGTTTCAATTTAAGAGACTGTGCTTCAATGTGTATCGAAGGAGGTAATACTAAGAAGGTGGCATTTGTATCGATACTTTCTATGTGCTAGGCAGTCTTACACAAGTTAGAACAACCCTGTAAAATAGGTATGTTATTTCCATGTTTACCAATGAGGAAATTGAGACACAGAGAGTTTAAGTAACTTCCTCGAGCTACACAGCCAATCAGAGACAGCCAGGATTTGAATCAGGAAGTGGCTCGCAGCCTATGTTCAATCAGCCTGTTGTCCTCACTCTGTGGCCAGAAGAGCCTGGTGCAGAAAGTGACATTTGAGCAGGGGGGTTAGCAGCATTAAGGGCTCTTAAGTAAGAGCTATAATGGTGTTTTTTGTTTTTGCAAGGCTGGGGGGTTGAACCCAGGGCCTTGTGCATACTAGGCAAGCCCTCTACCCTGAGCCACATCCCCAGCACTACAGGTGTGCTTCTATTTTCCTTTTATCACTCTTTTCACCTGCATCATGGGAAACAGTCCTGGCGGGAAGGGTAGCAGTCTCCTGCAGCACTTAGTTGGGCCAGCAAGGGCCTGAGATCTGCAGACAGATATGGTTTCATTTCTTATCTGCAGGAGAACCTCACAAGGTGGGGCTCCACTATGATCCTTTGTGACAGGGAAGAAAGATCAGAGCCACAGTTGTCCATCAGAAATAGGGCTGGAGCCAGGCACCAGTGGCTCATGCCTGTAATCCTAGCTGTTCAGGAGGCAGAGATCAGGAGGATCATGGCTCAAAGCCAGCCCAGGCAAACAGTTCGAGACCCTATCCTGGAAAAACCTATCGCAAAAAAAGGGCTGCTGGAGTGGCCCAAGGTGTAGACCCTGAGTTCTAGTCCCAGTACCACCAAAAAAAAAAAAAAGAAGAAGAAGAAGAAGAAGAAGAACTGGGGCTGGAACACATACTTAGGACACCTGCCCATGAGGGGCCGTTGTTGGAATGCAGGGATGTGGTAAGGGGTGGATGGGGAGGGACAGGATAACCTGGACTCCACAATGACTGCCTTTTACTTTGGGATCCAGAGCATTGGGAGCTGGACGCAGAGACCTGGAACTGGAGGGAGACACTGAGTTCCCATGGTTTAGGTGGAACTGGGAGCTGGAGGAGGGGGTAAGAAGGATGGATCCTAGTCCTGGCTCTGTGTGGCTCAGGCTCTGTGGGGGACAAACAGGTAGAGAAGGAAATGGAAGTTTTGAAGGAGTACTTGGAAGTCAAAGGAGGCAGTATCTATGCAGGTCAGAGATGAGACCTACAGGTGAGGGAAACCCCAAAGTAAACGGGATGGGGGAAGAAGAGGAATATCAAACCTGTAGAAGGAGCAGGAAGCTCCAGATTTTACTAGGTCCCACAGACACACACACACACACACACCCTCTCAAGGTACTCTTGCACACGACAGAAGGCAGGCAAGTTGGGGCGGACACTCGGAGAGAAGTCCCCAGTACATCAGCCCTGGACAGCGCCCAGGCCAGAGCAGCACACAGAGGGTTAACCCCGGCCACAGCAGCCAACCAATCACAGGCGCCACAGGCAAGCTCCAGCCCTGCTCCCGCCCCCTCCCTGAGCGCAGCGGGGTGGGAACCAAAGGCAGCAATGGAGCACTCAGGCCGACTGAGCCTGCACAGCCCAGGCATCACTAGGCTTAAGCTGAGACAGTGAAGCAGGCACGCTCACTGATCCATTCAACAGGTGATGAAACTGAGCCGGGGACAGGAAAAACGCCTTCCCCGACACCACATTATCTTGAGTGACAACGCTAAAGCTCCTAGACTGAAGTCTGCACTTTTAGCCACCAGCCTCTGAGAAGGGAACCTTCTTTCCCCCTCTCACCGTTTTCCCCTGCGCTGCTCCCTCGCCTAGGCCTCAGCCTAGGCTGCAACTGTGGGTACAAAGCTCTCACATGTATCACCAGCCCTTGAGGAGCCCAAGTGCTGTTCTCACGACCACCAGCAGGGGCCTCCCGAGGCTGACCTGGCGCTCAGCGGTACTCAGTAGGTTCCTTGGGTTTCTGCCCTGGGGCGCCCCAAGTTCCAGCTCTCTTGTCTCAGTTTCCCTTTCTCTACAGCAGCCCTCAGGCTCCTCTGGGCTTCTCATTCCTGGACTAGCTTGTCAGCATGGTGAACATCCCCCAACCTCCAGCAGCCCAGAGGGAGAAGGGCCAATAGTTCCTACTCCCTGCACACCTGTCACCTACCCCAGCTTGGACCCTTGATGCCAGAAACCACTTCCCCAGAACTGCCTGGAGGCCCCCTGGAGCCTCAGCCACCTGTGGTCCCCTCCTGGGCAGGCCAAGTTCTTCTCTGTTCCTCCCTGAGGCAGCCAAATGGGCCTAATCAAAGGGCCAGGGAGGAGGGACCGCCCACAGAGGCACAGAGCTCTGTCTGAGCCCCTGGCTGCTCATGCCTACTGGGCCCATGAGCTTAAGGCAGGACTCCAGGAGGGCCAGGGAACAGGCCTGGTCAAGGCAGAGGAGGGGGTGAAACCCAGGAAGGTGACCTAACCTTCTCCCAAGGGAATGTGGGAGGCAGCACCCTCACTCTGGCACCTCACCTCTGCCACCCGCCCCCCAACTTCCTGAGCCTGAAGGTTTGGGCAATGAGGAAGAGGTGAGGACCGGGTGGGAGGCAGTCAATTTTGCCTGCTTGTAATTACACCCTCTCCCCCACTACACAAAAGCTAGCCCTTAACTCCTTCCCCCTGGAACCAGTGAGAGAGGAAAAGAAAACTTCAATGCCCTGCCTGTCTGTCATGCTTTCCCTTCTTTTCAGAGTGCACCATGCTTTAAGAGACAGTACTCCACAACTCTGGCTGACCTAGCCCATCCCAGCACCCTGGCCAATCCTCTCTGCCAATCCACCTGAGTGTCAGGTCCAGCCCTGAATACTCCTAAGCCATCTAACCAACAAGGGAGCCTGGAATCATCACTACAGCCCATAGTCTGCAAATGCCAGCAAAGATGCTCAAAGTTAGAATTTATCTCTAGGAAAAGTCTTGACTCCTCTTACAAGGAGAGCAACAGAACTCCACTATGTTTTCCTATTCTCCATGGCTACTAGGGAGCTCAGAGGCAAACCAGCTGCTCAGTCACAACCCCTGGTGCCTTTTGGATCCTCCTTTTAGTCTCCAAATTCAATCTGTTCTATTGGCTTCCCTAACTCTGTTGCTAGGGAACTAGCCTTAGCTAGTTATCCTAAATGTTTCAAGGGAAAAGGAGGAGGATACAGACAGACAAAATTAATCCCAGACTGATGGACAGACATCATGGTACCTCATCCATCTTCTCTGAGGTTGGGGTCCTGTCTCCAGCCAGGTCCAAGGCCACATCAGTTGCCTGGCCTAGAAGACTGATAGGATCCGGGGGACCTGGCTCAGGTGGGGGCCGAGGCCCCAGGCACAGGTCCAGCTCATCGTCCTCGTCAGAGTCAGGCAGTGGCGTTGGACTGATGTCCTCCAGGCCTGTGCTGGAGGGGCGTGAGGAGGGTGGCGAGGGACCACGGAAGCCAGGCTGGGAATTGGTGCCAAAGGGGGCAAGTGGGGAGAGCTGGGAGGAAGAGGAGGAGATGGGGCTCCCTTCCATTTGCAGCTCGGTGTCCGAGTCCTGCTCCCGTAGGAAGGGTAGCTTGGTGCGCTGCTCCTTAAGCAGCATTTCAATACGTGAATCCAGGCTGTCGTGGGGCTTCTCTGGCCCTGCAGGCGAGGACTCCAATGTAGGTGTACCTGGGCTGTCACAGGGTTCAGGACTCCAGCCAAAGGTGGGCCGGCCACCCAGCTCCATGCTGTTGGTGTCAGGGGGTGGCGGGCCAGGGGGCGTTCCGGGCTTCTCCTTGGCCAAGGGCTCAGTGGGTGGCAGGGGTGGGGGTGCAGGCGCCCTCCGGAACTCCCCGCTGTCACGAGCCCCAAAGGTGGCTGTGGCAGTTGGCTCCTCTGGGGGTGGAGGAAAGGGGGGTACTGGGGTCTGGTATGGAGAGAAAGCGGACTTGAATCCGGGAGCAGGGGCTGCTTGGGCAGGTGGTGGAGTGTGGGCAAATGTGGCCGAATCCTGTGGTTGAGACTTGAAGGGAGGGCCACTGCTGCCCCCACTGCTGCCAGCTGTTCCAAATGGGAGGTCTGAGGAGCTGCGGAAGGTGGCTGTGGCCGCTGGCACTGCTGCAGCTGCAGAGTTGTGGACATAGTGGTGCTCATGGCGGCGGTTGTAGGCGTCCGTGAACTTGCTCTCATGCCGCCGAGTCTTGAAGGTTGCCGTGGGGTCCTGGCTAAAGAGGTAGGAGGGCGTGGGCTGTCGGCTAGAGTAGCTGGAGTCCTGTGAGAAGGGGGTGCCCAGGCGTGGTGTGAGTGGGGTGCCCTGTCCGTAGGAGTTCGGTGTGTCCAGGCGGCAGCTGGAGTAAGCCGTGTCCTGGGAGAACGGTGTCCCACCACTATTGGGGGTGACAGAGGAGGAGCCAGAGCCACAGCCTGCAGACAGGCTGCCATCCTTGAGGCGCTTCAGGGCATCTGACAGCTAGAGAGAGAGAGAGAGAGAGAGAGAGAGAGAGAGAGAGAGAGAGAGATGTGAGATGGGAGGCAGGGAAACAGACTTGTGCATGGGGATAGAGCTGTTTTCCCTTCTCTGCCAGCTGGGGAGCTCAGAGCCCATTACTTTGCAGAACAAGGAAGTGGAGTGTCAAAATGGTCTTAATTTTTCTGCTCTTGGTAGTAGCCAACAATCCTCAGAAAACTGTGAGGATTTTCCTAATCCTAAAAACAGAGAAGAAAGAAGACCCTGACATCTTGGTAAAGGCTAGAATTTCCTACCTGCCTCAAGCTATCAGACAACCAAGACCTCTCAAGCAGAGGTATGACCAAGGACTATGGTTCTGAGATTGAACCAGAGCCAAGGGCTTTGTTCTGCCTTGTCTCAGTCTTAGGATTTAAATAGTGTGACATGGGGAAAGTGCCTAATGAACAATCTGGCTGATCAGCAGGTAAATACCAACTCCACTCCTGAGGGTGCCTGGCTGGTGCAGGAGGAGGAGCTGGGATGAAGCTCCCTGTGTGGGGGCTGTCTGTCAAATGAGAGTTCAGGGAGGTGGTGGTCTGAGAAGGAGTCAGTCTTTGCTCTGAACTCCGCTTTCTGGTGGCAGAGGTAAAGGAGTGCCCGGGATACTAGACACTAGGATCCCAGATAGAGCAATGTTTCCACACTCAAGTGAAAGAGCAGCCCTGGATCTGTGGGATTCCCAGCCTGTGCTGGAGGAGGGCTGGAGGGAGGGGCTGAAAGTCACTGGGGACAAGACCAATCCCAGGGGAGGCTCACTGGTAGAGCTTGGGAAAACAGAGCTTTTAGATCAGCTCTGAACCTGAGGTGGGTGTGGCCAAGCTCAGTTCCCTCCTAGACCTTGGTCTCCAAAGCCAGAGATGGTGAAGTAGGGGCAGGGGTGGGAATCTGACCAGGGAGTTGATAATACTTTCCAGAGGTGGGGAGCACAGGAAGGAGCTGATAATAGGGGAGGAGGGCTGACAATGGTAAACTCACCTGTAGGGTCTCATTCACTATTGGAGAAACAGCATCCAGCTCACCCACTGGGAGGGTCTGGGGGGTGTATCGACCAGTGACCAACAGTTCGTAGAAGCGCATTCGAGTTTCCCCTGTGATGGGTAGGAGAGGGGCACTCAGTGAGGCTCCAACATGGGGCAGTCCCCAGGGGCTCCAACCTACTTGGCATCCTTGGACTCCTGTGCCTAAGACCCAGGTCTAGGGAACCTGTGTGACCCCTGACCAAGTTCCTACCCACTCTTGCACTTCATTCAGGATTTCCATCTGTTCGTGGAAACTGCAAAACTACCTAATCTTTTTCATCCTGAGAGTCACAATTTAATGCCTGTGGGGCTGAGACTCTCCCAAGTCTAGAACTGCCAACCCTAGCAACAAAGTCCCTTCCCATTTCCTGGACCCAAACTAAGAGTCAGCTCACTCCCCCACCCCCCCACCTCACCCTCCAGCCCACCACCATTCTTACACCATCTGTGGTCAGGTGATTAGCAGAGTTTGCAAAACACACATACTGTTATAGCTTATTATTATTATTATTATTAATCATCATTATTTTGGTACTACCGGGGTTTGAACTCAGGGTCTCACATTGCTAGGCAGACACTCTGCCACTTGAGCCACTCCACCAGCCCTCTCATAGCATATTACTGTGAACTCCACATAGCCTTCTACTAGCTGAGGACTCAGGAGGCCCCCAAATGTGTCTGGGGACTGCCCGGGCCTGGTGGGTCCAACTGAGCCCTGTGCAGAAGCCTCCACCCTCAGTAGGGAGAGGTCTTTACAGACCTGGGCCCCAGATTACTGATATTTATAGAGCCTCAGAGGCAGCTGCTTACATATGCAAAAGAGACACATTCCTTGAGCTACACTTTACACTTTGCTGGTCTCTTGCTAGAAATACAAACTTAAGTGGCAGTCTCCCAGGGCTTTTTTTTTCCCCCCCAGAAATGACATTGTGATGAGACCTGCCTGTTCCTTAAGATGTAGGAAGGTGATGAGGGAAGGGAGTGCGAGCTGGAGTCTGGGGGGGGGGGGGCAATCAGACTACAGCCACTACAGGGGTCGGTTGATTTAAAAGTGTGCATTCCCTCTCTCTCCCCAGAGACTGAGGGAAAGGAGGGGTGGGGCTGTGGATTGGACAGAAACCTTAGGCTTGTGCCCTGTGGAGACACACATAAGGTCCAGGCTCTGCCATTGTAGGTGGGATAAAAAGGACCAGAGCAACCCTTTACAACATCCAGAATGGTCTTAGAGACTCACTCAACATGTATGAATTATTAAAAGCAAAAGAAAACAGAAGTTTAGATTTCTCTCTTGGGTTTGGTGTACATAGATGCCCCCAAACCTTGTGCTCACAAAAACCCCCCGGGGCTGCATCCAAGTCCTCCCAGGCAGGGTTCCCAGGTGGCCCGGTGAGCTCTGGACCCAACAGTGGCTGCCCATAGGGCTGCCTGGTCCCAGAGCAACAGGCACCTTCTTTCAGATTGGTGGGAACCTCTCAGAGAAGCCATATATACACTTGGGGGGGGGGGGGAATGACAGTCCCTCCTGCTATCATCCTGGGGAGTCTCAGCAGACCCGGAAGGTGGGAGGAGTGGCTCCCCAGCCTGGCTGTATACAGAGAGGGAGGAGGGACTCAGTGCGGTGGAGGTGCTGCGGTCTCTTTAAGAGAGAGGAGGGAAGACAGTGTCAACCCTTGAGCACCCAGAGCAGCCCGCCCCTTGGCACTATCGGGAACATTATCAATGAAACAACCGCCAGGCCCAGGCTGCCTCAGGGGAAGGGGCAGCAGGGGTGGGGGCACACCCCAGATCCTTAAAGAAGTCTCTTTTCAGTAGAAGAAATTTCTCTTTATTTAAAGGCACCCTCTGTCCCCAACAGACAAGCTCTACCTCCTCCCTTAACAGGCAGCAACACCGGGGATGTCTAAACCCATGCCACCAGGGCTCTGAGAGGAGCCCCACAGGGGTGCCATTGGTGGGGAAGCTTCTGGGTGGTCCCCAAGGGTGCAGTGGCCAAGGACAGGCACATTTGGTAAATTATGGCCTGTCTCCTAGCAACAGACAACACATTTAGCTCCATGTGACGCTACCCTCAGGAGGGGGGCAAAAAATAAGTAAGGTGTGTGGGGGAAACCCAGGGAAAAGTGAGGGGTCTCCCAACCCTGTGGGGGAGCCTGGGAGGGAGAGGAGCCATGCTGACAGCCCGCCTGGGCTCCCCCCTGGGCTCCCCGAGCGGGCCTCCACTAACCTTTGGTGTCCAGCTCCACGTGGATGATGTTACCCATAACGGAAGTGCTGTGCAAGTGCTGGACGGCTTCCTTGGCTCCCCTGACCGTGGCGAAGACCACCTTGGCAATGCCCAGGTGCTTCTTGGTCTTGGGGTTGTACAAAATCTCCACCTCCTCCACCTCCCCATACTTCTTGCACATGTCCCTCAGGAAGTTTTCGCGGATGTTATCATTCAGCTTGGCAAATGTCACCTGCTTTGGAGGCACTGGGCCCACATAGAACTCATCGATCTGGCAGGGGCCAAGGGAGAAGGGAGTTTGGAAAACATTGAAACCAAAGGGAAAACAACATTCCTCACTCGCCCAGCCATTAAAAACAATAAAGAGTAAAAAAAAAAAGAAAATTAATTTTTTTTTTTTTTTGGGAAAATGAACGCAGGCGGGCCCGGGAAGCAGAGGATTAAATTGTTTGGAACGTGGAAGTCTTCTAGGTTCGGAAGGAAAGGGGAAAAAGAAACAGTTTCTCTTTCCCTACCTCCTCATTCTGCCTTCTGTCCTTGCTGTAGGGTCAGGGGAGATCCCTTGAATTAGGAAATCGTCCCTTTAGAGCCAGCAGGCTGCGAAGGGGGGCGGGTCCCGGACCAGGCCCCTGGGTGGGCAGGAGCCTGGTGGGGACCTAGAGCCCCCAGCTGGGCGGGCGGGACACTGTATCAAGTGCCCTGATTACAGTTTCTCCGAGTGTTATTTTGTTTACAGTGGCCGGGAGGGGACACTTCTCTCCCCCTCCCCGCCAAAACTTCCCGGCCCTGGACGGCGGGAACTCAGAATCCGGCTGGGCTTGGTCTGGACTGGCGTTATTTTCGAACTCGGTGGGGGGGGGGGGCGGAGAGGGGCCGCGGAGCGGGAGGGGGAGGGGTCCTACCTTGAATTTGGGCACCGACAGCTCCAGCTCCTTGTTTTTGGTCCAGATCCCGACGACCCGCGGATCTTCGACAATTTCCACCGGGCGGTTGCTGGACATCTGGGGGGAAGGAACGGGGGGGGGGGAGGTGCGGAATGGGAGAGCTGGTTTCCCTCCCCAGGGGTAGCGGCAGCCCCCTTTCTCCAGGCACTAGTCAAACTCCAGGATGGGGCCCCGCTGACAGTTGGCCGGGTGGTGGGGAGGGGGTCCCCTCCACTCGCCCCTCTCCCGAGCCCCGCGGGGGACGGGTGGGGGTGGCGGGGAGGCGCGCCGGCTACTCACCGCCAGACTGAAATGCTGCCCATCGTAGCGGTACAGTTTATGATGCCCCTTTTTCAGAGCTGGGTCAATCATCAACTTGTAACTTCTCCAATGGTGGTTCCTCCTCTCGCCCGAAGGGCCGGGCTGTGGCGGGGGCTGCTGGTGGTGGTGGTGGTGGGGGGGTGACTGTTCTCCATGCCGTTAACCCAACCTGAAAACCAGCAAGTTGTTGTCGTCTCCGCCGCGGCGGCGGCCGCTTTCTACACACACGCGAAAGAATCAAATCGGCCAGCCCCCACCCCCTCCCACCTTACCAGCGCGCCCCGAAAGGAGCTGTCTCGCAGGCTCCCCCCAAAATAAGAATGGAGAGAGAGAATAACCCTTCCGGGAGAATTACGCGCCCGCCCGCTCAGCCACCGTCTCCGGGAGGCAGCGAGGGGCTCCCGGGAGCCCCCGGTGCGGGCTGGCGGGGCCCGGGGCGCCCGGAGGACGCGGTCTCCGGCCCATGGTGCCGCCCGGCGTGGCGCTCGCCCGCTCGCTCGGCCCGGCTCGGGCGCGGGGCTCGCGGCAGGCCTGGCGCCGCCCGCCGGCCCGCTCGCCCGCCCGCCCGCCCGCCTGTCCGTCCGTCCGTCCGTCCGTCCGCCCGGGGCCGGGGTCGGGGCCGTGGCCTCTCCCACCCCAGCCGCGCTTACATCCCCGCCGGGCGCCGGCCTCCCTGCGCCGCCAGCCAGTACATGGTGTCCCCCGCGGGAGCCGAGGCCGGGGCGGCCGGACCGGGGGCCGGGAGGGGGGGGCGCTGCCGCCGCCGCGGCTGCCGGGCCCGGAGCTGCTGCTGTTGCCGCCGCCGCCGCCGCCGCTGCCGCTGCTGCTGCTGCTGCTGCTGCTGCTGCCCGGGAGGCGGCTGGCGGCGGAGGCTCGGCTCCCAGTAGCCGCACATCCCACAATACACCGCTAAGGAGCCCGACCCGAGCGCTCACCCTCCTCCTCTTCCTCCTCCTCCTCCTCTTCCTCCTCCCCTCTCCTTCCTCGCCGCTTCCCCAGGCACTCTCCCGGCGGCGGCAGCTGCGCCGCCAAAGCCCCGGGCCCCAGCGGCCCCCCACCCCTCACTCGCGCGCTCCCACACTGCCTCCCCCTCCCCGGGGGAAGGCCTTTTAATTTATTTATTCTGCTGGGACTGAGGTGGGGGGCTTGGCTGGCGGGGGAGGGGGGTCTCCCCGGGCCCTAACCTCCCGCGGCTGGGGCTGCCCTCCGAGTCGCGGCCACCACGGCGGGCGCCTCGGGCCTCCCAAACTGTTTCCAAACTGCCAAGACCGGAGATGGGCGCGTGGGGACACGGGAGAAAAGGGCTGGGGTTTTTTTTTGGGGGGGGGAGGGGGTGGTCGATTGTGTGTTTGGACACTAGGAGCCGTGGAGGGAGGCAGGAGTCGACCCAAGGCGAGTTGCAATCGAGGTATCTCCGCTCCGGTTTCCTCTTCTGCCCGGCGACCCCCCCTAACCCGCTCCTCCCTGGAGCCGAGCTGGAGAGGGGGAAACCAGGATTTTAACCACATTAGCATTCACATTCCTGGGAGGATGCAGCTCTCGCCTGGACTTGAGCGATAGAAGCCTTTTTCTGTTTTTATTTTTGGAGGGGAGCGCCCTGCAATTGTGAACACATGCTTCTCCACCTCCCCCCCCCCACTCCTTCCTCTAGCCACCAGCGACAGAGAGAGTCCCCCTTTTTTGCATTCATCTTTTCCTTCCCCTTTCTTTATTAAAGGTCCGGGAGTGGCGGCGGCCAATCAGCGCGCGGCTTCCATTTTGTGAGTTCAACTCCGAGGCTCCCGGGCTTCTCGAGGACGCGTTTGCCGCCCCCTCTGCCTCTCTTCTCGGGCGGCCGAGGCGAGCCAGCCGCCTCGCTGGGGCTTCGTGGTGGTGTATTTCATATTGGGGCTCTTTTCGGGGTTTGTAATTTGGCCGTGGGTAGGTAATTGGCTGGAGCAGGGCGGCAGGGCGCGGCAGCCAATCAGCGCGCGGCTTCTATAGGGCTTGAGTTATTAGACGCTGATCTCAAAACATCCTTCATCAGACACCAAGGAGAGGCCAACAGATGAGGGGAGCCATTTTTCTGCAATGGAATTAAATGGCCAAGTGGGTTTTTCCTTTGTTGCAAATGGGGAATGTTTTTCCTTTGACTCCACCATCCAGTTCAGGACGCCTGAATGTGGTGTTTAACATTTGTCAACAGGCTAAAGGACTCACAATTGGAAGAATGAAGACCTTTTAAAAAGATCTGGATTTTTCCTTATGACTTGGAATCCATCTTTGTCTTGTATAACTAGGTCATAGCACACCATTAATGTCAGCAGTTAACAGTTTTGAATTCCAAAAAACCTAAGTAAATGACATATTTAATTTTTTTCCTCTTTTTTTTTCTTGGGTGGGTGGGTGGGGGGAGCTTGGAGCTGTCTTAATCTGTATTCTCTTGACTGAACAATAAATTTTTAAATATAGTTTCCTCTATTAAACACTTAAACCTGGCCATCTTATTAATTCCTTCTCTCTTTTTTAACAAGGTAATGTTTTAAATGTATAGTTTTAGGATGAGCGAAATGGCAACAAAAAAAATTGCGAGCAGTTGTTACTCTTTTAAGTATTTTTTTTAAAACCAAACCTTTTACATTGTAAGTACCCAATCCATTCTGTCCTTACGCAGTGCAGTTTTATGTTAATGTTGGCTGAGATGTCCTTAATTTTCCGAACCTTCATCTGCATGTATGTCTTTGTTTCTTGTCTGATCTAAGCCAGTTAAAATGCTTTTTGACGTTTTTGCTTTTATAAAGCTAAGGTTTTTTAGCTTCAAGCTTTTGAAAATGTGTACAGCAATAAATGCTAGTCAGCTTTCTTCCCAGTAACTTGTACACTTTCCTTGAAAATTTGATCTATTTCAAGAAAAACATCTCTGTTTTTCTCGGCTTGGTTGGGGTTGGGGGTGAGAGAAAGGAAGACCTCTTTGTGTAAAAAACTAAAGCCGTCACAGGAAACTAGATTAAAACTGGAAAACAAGTCCTGGCTGGTTCGAGCCAAACACCAACGTTAACTCGGTGGTGTTTTCGATGATGGTTGGGGTGGCTGGTGAGCCTTTTGCCTTTTGTTTGACTTGTGTTTTCGCCTTTTGTCTCTTAATGACGGTCACACCATTGCTATATCCAGAGCAGTAAACTGTCCTCAGCGAAGCCGCCTTTTTGCCAACCCAACCCTGGAAAGTTTGCAGACGTGGAAGGAGCAGAAAATGCCATGAGAGTGTAACTTACAAAAAAGGTAACAGCAACAACAAAAAAGACAACACCATAACCCCAAATTTTCCCAACTAAACAATCAAAAACAATTTTTTTTTTTTTTTAAATAACATCTCCAAAACCACCAACCACCCAGCTTCATCTCCTCTTAGACACCATGGTACCAAGGCTGAGCGGGTAAGTAAAAAAAAAAAAAAAAAAAAAAGGAAAAAAAAAGAAGTGCCTTTTGCCCCTTCGAGGAAATCTATCGAGCAGGCCAAGGGTTGCAAATGTTTGGGGGCCGAGGGGAGGAGGTTTCTGGAGCTTTGTTTGGCAGCCGGGGTGTGGGGGACGGAGTGGGGGACAAAGAGGGCTCCCCAGGCCCCTTGGCCCCCGTGTCCGGGCGGCCGAGAGGACAGGGGCTCCCTACGACCCTCGAGCATCCCTGGGGCCGCCTGCGCTCCCCAGGTCTGCGCCTTGGTGGGGAGAAGACATGGAAGTGTGTGGTTCTGTAAATGGGGGGCTCAGAAAGCGTTGAAACCTCCCCACCCGGCCTAGGACTTTGTTCCCTTTTGATTTGTGGGCGTTTTGCACCCCCCGAAGCCGTCTTTTCGGGGCTCCAGGGCTGGCCTGCGCTTCCAAAGCAAGAAAGGACAAAAGGCCGGCGTCCATGTTGGCACCATGACGCAGCATCTCCCGCCAGCAGCCGGCTCTCTCTGTGCCCCGGCCGCCCTCGCTCCTCCCTCCCAAACACGAGTTTTATTTTCAGGTTTTGAGCCGAGCTTCGGGCCGGGTTGGGCCGGGCCAAGCCGAACCGAGCCGAGGCTGGGCTGGCTGACTGGCTGGCGGGCCCGGCTCAGGGAGGGCTGCGGCAGCTAATGGCGGCCGCCTCTCCTCTTCCTTCCTTTCTGCCTCCTTTCCCGGTTGTTGTTGGAAGCCCGGAGCAAGCGGCGGGCCCGGGCGTCAACAGCCCGCAGGGCACAGCGCCCAGGACCAGGGGGCGGTTGGCCGGGGCCGTTTCGGGGTCCGGGGGCCTCGGGGGCGTCGCGTGCCGCGGCTCCCGCGCTCGCCTCCTCCGGGCGCGGCGGCCAGACCGGCGCCATTTCGCGCGCCGCCTGCGGCTCGGGCGGTGGCGGTCGCCGCGCGCCAGGCGGGAGGAGGGGAGGCCGGGCCAGGCGGGCCGCCGCCGCCCGCGTTCCAGGCCGCCGGGGTCCGCAGCAGCCCCGGACCCCGAGGCCCACGCGGGCACGAGGAGGCCACGCTGCCTGACGGGCCGCCGCCGCCCTTCCTCCTCTCTCGGCGCGGGAGCCAGTAGCAAATGGCCATGGGGCCGAGGAATCCTAAGCCTCCCGGCGGCCCAACCCTGACCCCAGCCGCCCACCCGGGTCCAGGTGTCCGGCCCTGCCTCCCAGTGGCCCTTTGATAGGGGGCGGGTCTCCCCTTTTGTCCCCACTTGGAGCTTGAGGCCCTCGCCGTGGCCGCGGCCGCCCCGGGCACACCCACCCTGCAGCCTAGCTCTCGGGCCGGAGTGGGGGTTGGGGCCTGGGAAAGCCGAGTGGGCCTCCCCCGGGATCCCGGGCGCGAGGACCGGGGGCGAAGCCGCAGATCTCGGCCTTCCGGGGGAGGGGATGCGGACGGGGCGGGCCTTTGGAAGTGCAGATGAGTCGCCTCCTGCCGTTCGTCGCCCCGCTTGAACCTCCATGAGTCAGCCACCTCCCCCAACCCAATCCGTTAGAGTGAGGGCTGCCTTGGCAGCTGGGAGGGGGCGCATTTGTGAGGCTCCCTTTGGGCTAGGAGACCCTGTCTGTTTGCACTTGGCCAGTTCATTCTGTGACGACCTGCAAACTGGGGGCTGCCCTAACAGGTCATCCAAATTTTCCCTCAGGGCCTTGGCCGGAGAAGGGACAACTCGGTAACCCCGGAATGGATCATCTTCCCTTCTTTCTGGTGAACAAGAGAGAACAAACCTAGTTTGGCTGGCAGTCCTCCCGCCAAGGTAGGTGACAGCCCTTTTCCCAGGCTGTGAGGGCAACCGGAGGGGCTTTGGCTGGCCTGCAGCCCAGGGAGGGCAGGTCGGGATCCCCAAACTCGCTAGTCTGGTTCTGCAGCCCCTCCCCCCCACAGATGTGACGGCTGTGTGTGTGAAATGGGCGACCTGCTGAGTCCACCCAGTCCTGCCTGACGGCCTCTGTTGTCAGGCATTTGGGGCGGGCAGTTCTCTGCCGAATTTAGCAGCTTACTACAGACTGTGCTTGCAAGTATTTCCCAGTTGTGTGTTTTGTGATGGGAGAGTGGGGAGGGCCCTGGATCTCTCCTGCTTCTGAAAGGCACAGGCCACCGCCTGGCCAAGCTCTCCTCTTCTCCCTCCCCAGAGCGGGTGGCCCTGTGAGCTGCCCTCTTGATGTCTGGCTGCTGGGGAGGTGAAGAACAGAAGGACCTGAGGTCCAGGCCAGCTACTCCCAAGAAAGAAGTTTGACTTTTCTCTCTCTCCCTGACAGTCCCACGATTCCTCCTAGCTCTCAAAACAGGCAGATGTAGATCTTCGGTTTCTAGAATCAGACAGTCCTGGTTGTGAAATCTGGTTGGCTATTTACTGGCTGTGACCTTGAATATGCTGTGTAGTCTCTGAGCCCATTTCCCCATCTCCACAAATGGGCTAGATCAGTGGCTCTGAAACTTCAGCAAGCATCAGAGTCCCGAGGGGTGGGGGGCCTTATTAAAACTGACTTCCAGTCCCTGAGTTTCTGAGTCAGTGGATGGAACCTGAGAACTTCTATTTCTCACAAGTTCCCAGGTGATGCAACGTTCCAGACCTTCCGGGGTGTTTCAGGGCTTGGTCCCTAGCAGTTAGCATCATATTAGGGCTGTTCTCATTTTTGTAGTGTGAGCTGACCTCCTATAGCCTGCCCTCTTCTTGGTGTCCAAGAATTACCACAGCTGGAGATGGTGTGGCCCTTGATCTCTGCGCCCTGCCCATGTGCACTCTAGTCTGTGATTACTTAGAGCCATTTGGGCCCAGGTGGTTCCCCTATTTGGGCCTCAGCTTCCCAGGCTAATCAGTCTTGTCCCTTTCCTCCTCACCCCCAGCTTGAGAGCTGAACTGTGGATGGGGAGCCTGGGAAGCCTCCCGGACTGTTGCAGGTATCCTGGTGCTTAATCAAGGGAGGCGCCTAGTTGGGCAGCTCTGGACAGTGCTGATGACCTTGGGCAAGTGTGTCCCCTGAAGTGATAATGATGCATGCTGGAAAGGGTGGTGGGAGGATTATGTGTGATTAAGGGGGCCGTCCACTCTAGCTGGCTCTGCACTAGTTGGCCTCCATTGGGAATTGGGAATTTGCTGGGAGTGGCTGTGGGGGTGGGGGCTGGGCTGTCTCCAGGGCTCCTCCCCCGACAGCCCACCAGAAGCACGTGGCTGAGCCTCTGGGCAAAGGGGAAAGAAAACTGGTTTTCCTTTGGGAAGGCAGTCAGCTTGTTTTTTTTTTTTTTTCCTCCAGTGTAGTTAGAGTCTGGCTTACAGTAGAGGGCTTCTCCCACCTACTCATGGCCCTGAGAATTGACTGGCCCAAGGTCATGAGGTTACCACTAGCAGAGCCAGGATAGGGTTCCAGGTGTCTTGACTTCCAGCCCAGAACCTGGGCCCATAGCTCCCCCTTGCCCCAGCTGTCTGGGTTATTTTGGGCTCCCTCCCATGCCAGCTGTCTGCTGGCATCTCTGCCCAAGAGGTGTTTGGTTGCAAATAACCAGGACGGTGCTGTTTGTTCTTCCTGGTGGGCTGGCTGAGTGTCCAGTCCCAGCTGAGCTGGCCTTGGTCCTTCTCATCCTACCCCATCACAGTGGGTATTGACTCTCCACCCAGAAAAGAGAGCATGAGAACGGTTTGTCCAAGTAAATGTGATAAGCTCCTGCTCCATCTTCCGAAGAATTCCTTGAACCCTTTTGATCAGCCTGAGGGTTTTGCTTCCCTTTGATTAGAGTCCTTAGGGCTGGGGTCTTTATGTCCCTCCACGGTTGCCTCAGGATGATTACATAACTGATTTAAGTCTTCCCCTCCCAGCCATAACCTGGAGGACTACTGTAGCACTTCCACTAGCCCCAGAACATCAGGGAGCACTTAGGTGCTAAACTGTTCTCGGATGATTCCTGGAGGGAGAAGTACAGGTGTCTGGGACCAAACTAGGACAGTAACCCTCTCCCTGCTTCCCTGTTTAAGCTCTTTTACCTCTTTTTCCTTTCTTTGTCCTCACACCCATCCCATTCCCTCCTGGGGAATAGAGAGAGGCTCAGGGCAGTCTGCTGCTGTTGTTCAGCTCTCAGGGGAGCTCCGCCTACCAGTCACCCGGCCAGTGTGGGGCGGGACTGCTCCCGGCCTGCTGAGAGAGAGCCACGCCAGCGGAAGGGCGGCCTGGGCCTAAGGTGGATGGACTAGCCTTCCTACTGAGACACCAGTGCCCCCGCCTCTTCCGGTCCCTCCACTAGGAGCCTAGCTTGGAATATGACCTTTTAGACTCTGGGTGAGAACAGCAGCTTGGATTGGGGGATAAGAACCATCTGGGGTCAGCTCACCCCAGTGCTTTCTCCAACTGGTCTATGCCCTCTGGCAAATTCCTCCCTTCGTGAGCCAGGAGGAAGAAGTTGGACAGTAATCTTTTAGGCTATTTCTAAAATTATATTTTTAATAGACTGGTCTTGTTGCCCAGGCTAGTCTCAATCTCCTGGGCTCAAGCAATAGGAGTTACTGGGATCCTGCTCATCCCCCACCTGCCTGTAAGTGCTGATGGGCTGCTGAAGCCTGGAGGGAGTCCTCCAGCTCGCAGATTGGACAGCCCTGCACTCCCAGGCACCCTGGCCTGGCCACCTGCTTTCTCTGGGCCCTCAGGGAACAGCTCAGGCTGGGGTCTTTATCTTCCACTGCTATCAGTGCCATCAGCATTGAATGGCTACATAATTGATTTGTGGTACCTCAGAGCCCAGGAAGTATCCCCTCAGCATGTTCCTCAGCCCCTCCATCCTACCCTGGACTGACCAGACTTTGCCCTGAGAGTGAATTAGACCAGGCCCTGCTTCTCTCCTGGGTTCAGTTTCCCTGTTGGCCTCACTAATGACATAGTCCACAAATGAACTCACCTCATAGAGGCCTCTCTGTGTCCCAGCCTCTCTGTGGCAAGAACCAGCTTAAAGAATCTTTCTTGCCCTCCTAAAACTTTTCAGGAATTCCTGGTGAATAGGAGAGTGACAACTCACGTCCATCTTGAACAGGCCTCCAGGATGACAGGCATGCCCAGTTCCTGGCCTGGCCTGGCAGGCCTGACCTCTGAAGAAGCTTGGAGCAACTGGCTGGGCTCCTGGGTATTTTTAGCTACAGATCCAGTCCCACCATCACCACTGGAGCTGGGTCCAAATCACACATGCTCCAGGCTGGATGGGGTTGGGGTTTTGCCAGCCTCCTGGCCAAGCAGTGGTGAGTGGGTGGGTAGGCTAGGGCCAGTAGCAGCTGTTCTGCCTAGGCCAAGCAGGCCTGGAAGACTCACTCTTGCTCACTTCCTCCCTTTAGTTTTGTGCAGGCTTGCTCTGTCACAGATCGTAGCCCCATTTCTGAGGTAAAGAAAGTGGTAAGGATTTTGAGGAGCATCAAGAGCCCTCTGGGCATGTGTAGTAAACCAGGGTTTCTTCCATGAGCCTCCAAGTGAATTCCCACCCCAGGCCTCTTTCCGATGAGGTAGCTGCCAGCTAGGCCCAAGCCTGAGGCAGCCAGAGGGTAGAGCATGGGGCCAGCAGCAAAGGTAAGTGATCTTCACCTCTCCCCAAGCTCCCAAACCTCTTTTGTGGGACTGTCAGTCTACCCTGGCTTGACCCTTTTCTCTACTTGGGGTTCTGGGGACCTTTTTTTTTGTGTGTGGTACTAGGGTTTGAACTCAGGGCCTTATGCTTACTAGACAGGAGCTCTACCACTTGAGCCACTCCTCCAACTGTGTGTGTGTGTGTGTGTGTGTGTGTGTGTGTTTTGCCTATTTTGGAGATAGAGTCTTGAAAACTATTTTTTCCCGACCTAAAACTGAGATCCTCCTCATTAGTTAGGATTACAGGCATGAGCCACCAACGCCCAGGTGGATCCTTCACTTCTGACATGTATAGACCTGGTCTCCTCCTCTCTGCCAACTTCATCTGAGAGATAGTCTGAGTTCTGTCTCACCAGCCAGTAAGGGCTTCTTCCTAGTCACCCTGGAATAGCTTAGAACCTGACTTTGGCAGACTCTTTTCCTACTGAGGAGCCTCCTTCCGGTCTTCCCACCCCACCCTGGCAGCAGGCAGGCCCTCCATGATTGAATCCTAGTTACCTTGACAGCAGGTCTGGCTGCCTCACTCCCCAGCCACTGAGAAACTTGAAGACTGTTTTTTAGCTGCAGTGTATTTGCTCAGGCTGGGCATCCTCCCATGTATACTGCCTGCTTCCACACATCACAGCTTAGTTCAAGTGTCAGGCAACTCTCAGTCTTCTCTGAGCCATTGGTTGTGGTCTCTAAATTGGTCTCAAAAACTTCGCAAACTTGAACACAAATTGCCTCTCAATAAACCTGTTGGAAAAAAGGAATGGATGAGTTGCTGTCAATTTGTCTAGGGGGACCCTTGACCCAGAAGGTGCAGCTTCTGCCCAGTGATGAGAGAGTTTGTGTTTCTACCTAAGAGTTTGGGGTGGGTCCTGGCCTCCCCCTCCTGCTCTGCTGTTTTTGGGTTTCAGGGGTAGTCAATGCTACCCTCTGGTGGCCATGCCTTGTCTTCACTTGCTGGAAATAACCTGGCATTTATGGAACTGCCAGGTTGGCAATTTGCTCTACAAAAAGAAATTTACTTGATCTTTACTGAAAGCTTGAAAGTCAGGAGTCTGTGGGGTCAGAGGCAAGAAGATTCTGGGCAAATCAGCCCCTCTCTGAAGAAACCGTCATTTGTCCCATGATGCAGCGGACAGGGTTTTACTAGAAACAAGCTTCACCTACCCTCGATGGAAAGGTCACACACCATGCTTGGACCCCTAGAATCCTTCTGCCACCCCTGACCTGGCTTGAGTAGATGACACAGCCCAGGAGAACAGTGATCTCACCCCACAGCTGTTTGATCAGGGGTGAGAGAATTTCCTGGGAGGAAATACATGAAGTCGGTTGAAGAGAGAACACTTGATTACATTTCTTGGTGGGGGTACGGTTTTCAATCTCTCCAAACTACACGGAAGGGGACCCGGCTGATCTCAACTAGCTCCAAGGCCTACCCCGTCCCCAGCAGTGTCTTGCTAGATTCGCGTCTCTGGCCCCTTGTTGGAAGGAGTGGATTGCTCACGCGGTTTGAGCGGAGGCGGCTCATTGCGGCTGTCCAGCAGAGGGAGTCACCTGTCCGCGATGCGGTCCTAGGGCAGTGGGGGGAGTAGGTAAGCGGAACCGCACTGTTAGCCTGCGCACACCCACAGACGCTCTGAGGGCCGTGGTCAACCTAGGTGGGCAAGCACGACCTCTGTCCCAGCATCTTCCTGAAAACCACCGCAGCTACATCCACCCTACGGGGAAACTGAGCCACAGGCCGACTTGCGCCAAGCTACATAGCTGGTGGGACAAACTGGTGGGGGGCTTGCCTCAGAACTTGAGAACTGGCTCCTCGAACCCAGGTGCTGGGATGCAGTCTGCCAAGCAAGGATTCCCTCTCCAGAGGGTTGGGGGGCCGAGTCGGCCAATCAGAGGGTCTCCGCCAGAAGGCGGAGCCGTGCCAGCCTGGAGCTCCCGAGTGGAGCAGTGGCATCAACACAGTCTTGTCCGCGGCGGGGGTGGGGGGGCGCGCAGTGACGCGCAGGATGGAGATGGGATTGAGAGCTGCGCTTGAGGCTGAACACCCCTTCCCTCAGCTGCCTCAGTTTCCCTGGGAATGAGAGGTGCACATCCAGGTCCCCGACCTAGTAGAAAGGAACTGAAGCTAGGAGGTGGGCCCGGGAGCCTGCCTGGTGGAGGTGGCTCCCGCACCACCGGGGAGGGGCTTCTCCAGCCCCGCCCCGCAGCCCCGCCCCCGCCCAGTTGCTCAGCCTGGCTGTACCCGGCGCACAGCCTCCAGTGCTGCCGGCACCGGGCGATGGACGCCCCGGGGGCCCCGGCCCAAACCGCCGCCCCTGGCCCAGGGAGGAAGGAGCTGAAGATCGTGATCGTGGGTGACGGCGGCTGCGGCAAGACATCGCTGCTCATGGTGTACAGCCAGGGATCCTTTCCTGAGGTGAGGCCCACCAGTGGACCGGAGGGGATAGGATGGGGGGGGTGCGCGGATGACTTGGGACCCCAGGGGGCCGGAGATGTCCCTCAACCCGCGCGCCTTGCTGGATCCTGAGGTCCCTGGCACCCTAAGCACGCCGCCACCCCGGGGCTTCCCCTCGGGAATTCCAGAGTCCTGAGGGTTGCAGGGGCGCGGGGGATGGGGGCTGAGCCAGATGTAGTTAAGGTTTTGGGCAGTGGACCCCATGCCTCCACCGCTGTCCTCAAAAACCAATCTGACCCTCTCCCATAGCACTATGCTCCGTCGGTGTTTGAGAAGTACACGGCCAGCGTGACAGTGGGGAGCAAGGAGGTGACCCTGAATCTCTATGACACAGCCGGTGAGTGAGTCTGCGCACTGAGGGTCCCGGTGCTCAGTCCCAAGGGTCCCCCCTCACACTACACTAGGGCATCCCCACAGACAGCCTCTTCCCAGGAGGCAGGGAAGCCCTGGAGTCTGAGAGGACCCAACTGTAAGTGGAGGTGATTTGAATGGAGGGGTGAATTCCTGGACCACTGTCCCAGCCTCTGTACCCTTCCCCAGGCTTGTTCCTCTCCTGTGGTTCTACAAAACGTGGGCTGCATGTCTGCCTCCCATGGTTGCAGAGTGGTCTCTAATTTGAGTCCCCTGGAGCTAGTAGGATTGCGTAGGCTGTGTTTCTGGATCCTGAGGTGCTTGAGATGCTGGGGCTCCAGGATTCTGTGGCTGGCAGTTCTGCGTCCTAGGACTCCAAGGTCCTGTGGGTGTGAGTTTTGTGCCTCCTCCAGCTTCTGGGATTCTGTAGCTACAGTTGGTTTTGTGCTTTCCTGGTTTCCAAGGGGGAAACAAGACAACTTTAGAAAATGAACTGAGGAAGGAACCTGCCACACACACAGCTCCTCACAGGGAGGATTTGTGTAATTGTGTGAGTCATGAGTTGTGTTGTGGGGGTGGAAGAAACATGGTCCATAGGAAGACCCTGACTCCCTCTCAGCATTGGGGGACAAAGGTTGGAATGACCAGGTAGAGCCTCACCCAGCTCGGTGACTCAGTGTTTAGTGACCTGAGTGGAATCACGTCACAGATAGCTTTCCCTGCCAGCCCAGCCTGTGCCTGTAAGATGAAGTCTCTGACTGACTTTGGATGGAGCCATAATCCAGACATCCCTTCTGGAGAGGACCAGAAAAGGGGCTGTACCCACTCCAGACCTCTCCTACATTTTTGCCTTGGCCAGGGAGTTATCCACCCCTCCAGTGGCCTCTGAGGATCCCCCTTTTGGATGAGGGCCTAGGGTAGAGCCCTGCCTCCAGCCTCAGGTGAGCTGGGAAAGCCAGAGGCCTCAGAGAAGTTCCTAGGGCGTGGCCAATAGGGTAGTAAATGTCTGTTTGGGACACTTTTGCTTTCACACGTCTTATCCAGGAGCCAGGAGGAGCCAAGGTCATTAACCCCACTTTGGAAGATGCGCTGATGGGGCAGAAGTGCAGCAACCCACAGCCCCAGAGAGGACAAGGTGTCTGCTCTTTCCTCCTCCCTCTGTCAGCAGCCTCTCCTGTCAGGTCTCGGTGGGATTCCTTGTTTACAGCAACCTTCCCTGGCAGACTGAGAGCAGAGACCATTTCTGCACTTCCTGGCTTCATCCTGAGAAAGATGGTCAGCGATCGTGTCAGAGTACGTTGTCATGTAGGCTTCTGGAAAGCCACTTGGAGAAAAAGTTTGTGCCAAGAGCCCAGGAAGGGATGGAGGGACTCCCAGTGGTTGTCATCAGAATTTTGTAACCACTGTGCAGTGATGGGCCCAATCTTAGCTTCCCACCACCTGCTCTGGAGTCAGACTTGGGCTTTGATGCTGGATGTGTATCACTGGAGACATCTAGACCTCAGTGTCCTCATCTGTATCAGGGCTAAAATAGTCATGAGGATTAAACCAGATTAATTTGTATAACACATAGCACAAGAGGCTAGCTCTCAGAGGGTCTGGGTATATATTATCATTGTAAATTTTTCATTTGTTTATCTATTTACTTATGTGCTGTGCCGGGAACTGAACTCAGGGCCTTGTGCATGCTAGGCAAGTGCTCTGTCACTAAGCTATAGCTGAACCCTCATTGTGATTTTTAAAAACCTTCCTGCCACTTAGACCCAGGCCCCTGCATTGATGATAGAGGAGTAGGTAGTGGTTGTCCTTGAGGACACAGGACCTGCAGAGCTCTGTGCTGGCCCCCAGCTCCTGTTGCAGAGAGGACAATCATCTTTCCTGGCCATCTCTCTCTTCTGACCAGCAGAAAAGCAGCGCTGGGAGTCCCTAGGGACACAGGTAGCCTCATGGTCAACAGGCAGGGTGGACGAAGGAGGGATAGTCAGGAGGAACGATCTAGCTGCTCCCTCAAGGGTGTCCACTGTGGCTGGGGGAAGCCCTGCAGCAGGAGGAAATTCCCTGGTCGGTGAGTAACCTGTTGGTGAGACCGGGTGATTCCTCTTCTAGGAGAGACTGGAGTGAATGAACAGGGCTTCACCCAGAAGATAATTCAGCTCTAACCATGGGTGGATGGAGATCAGGAGAATGTGGCAGAAAAGGATGGTCAGTGACCACAAAGAAAGGTGGAGGCTAAAGGGGTGAGGGCAGTGGCTGAGCTAGAAATGGGTCAAGTAAATGCTGTAGAAAGTTCTAGAACCTCATGGGCTAGACCCAGTGGGGAGGGGAACATCTTCCCAGTCAGTGGTGATCAGAGCTTTGGGACAGGAGGGGTCCTGGAGGCTAAATTTCTCCACATCTAGGACCAAGTGATGGCCGCGGGTGGTGTTAGGACCTTGCCCACAGGGCTGCGTGCAAGGCCAGTCTGACTGCTTGTCTCCATCCCACGGAAGCAGTTACAGCCACCACAGCGGTCTGACGAGTGCTCAGTGCTCAGAGGTGGAGGGAGGGCAGGGGCCAAGCACCCATTGGCTCAGCAGCATCGTCTGTACCCCAACATCCTCAGAGACAGGAAGCTGTGGTGGGGCCCAAAGGTTCCTGAACAGAGGGGCGGTGGGGCGAGGGGGCTGTTAGGACACCAGCTAGAGCCAGCTCATTTGGGACATGAGGGGTGCAAAGTCGTGAGATGGGAACAGTAGGAAAAGAGAGGCCCCCGGAGTTGCTAAGACAAGGGGTCAGAGACAAAAGGGGTGTCATGGGCCCTGAAAGCCTCAGGCAAGCTGAGGTGGCCTCTGCTCTAGATCTGGAGCTGCCTGGACTCCCCTGTCTCTGGGGAGGAAACAGGTGGGTGGGCCCTAGCAGAGACAGTAAAAGTGGGTTCCTCCTCTGGCAGCTTCCCCTTCTCATGCTGCCTGCACTCCTTCCCCGACCAGCGCCCCCACTAGAGCTGGGAACCACCTTTGTGTGCCTCTAGCAAATGTGGGGACCACTGTGGCTCGATGACACTCCTCTCTCCTCAACTCACCTCCAGGCCTTAGGGACCCCTGTCCTCAGAGAGGACTGCCACGGCAAAACCATATCCCACAAAGGAAATACCCAGGGTGAGGTTAGAGTCTTACTTCCGCCCGCCCACAGCACCGCCCAGTGCAAGAAGATGGGTGACTTCAAGAAAGGCCAGGCCCAGAGACCTTTCCTCACCAGAAGCAAGTACATCCTTTTGCATGGAACCCTGGGGCTTTTAGAACATCGGAAGCCCATCATGGAGGCTGGGCAGCAGCCTGTGTGACTGTGGGTGGGTGACTGGGCTCTGTAAATCTTGGCATCTTTGTAGGCAAAAAAAGGAAGGTAAATAGTGTTACCTGGTGGCCAGGAGGCCCCGCAAAGCTTGTGGATCCTAAGACTCCTGGATTCCAACCCCACCCAAGCTATTAACTTCCCTTGGAAGTTTCTGTTTCAGTAGTAACTGCATTAGCAGTCTCTCAGCTCTGCCCAGCCTTGCCCAGCTCCAAAGTCCCTTTTTTTTTTTTTGGTATTACTGGGGTTTGAACTTAAGGCTTTGCGCTTGCTAGGCAAGCACTCTACTGCTTGAGCCACACCTCCAGCCCAGCTCCAAAGTCCTTTTACTTCCCAAATCAGGGCACGATCATCACTCCCTTTCCCAGATAAAGAAACTGAGGCCCAGAAAGAAAGATGCCAAGGTCCCAGAATGTATGTCCGAGTGGACTCTGCTGCTCCTGACTCACAGGGAAGAGGATATCCAGAACCCTCCAGTGCTCCCAAGGAGCCATGGTGCAGTAGTACCTGAAGTCCACAGCCTGGTCCCTGTAAGAGGCCCACACTGAATCAAGGGAAAGCTGAGCTGAGTGAGATCAAGCCAGGAAGGTAACCTGGAGGAAGACCTGGGGATCTGGGCTGGCCACCCATCCCTTCCCAGAGGCCCTCTTTCTTGAAATACCTGTGTTTGCAGTTATTTTTCTCTCACCTGGTCAAGGGTAGGGTGTGTAGGGTGAGCATCATTCCCTACTTTCTGGGGTAGGCTGAAGGAAAAGCATCCTGATCATCCACTGCCGTTTGCAAAGCTTCCCCTTGGCTGTGTGACCTTGCGTAAGTTGCTTCAGCTCTCTGTGCTTTGGTTTTTCCATCAGTAAAATGGAGATGACAGAAGTGCCTCCCCTGGAGGGTCGTTGTATGGAATGGCGAGTTCATGCAGATGAAGGGCTTTGAGCAGGATAAGTCTTCAGGAATGGATACTGTTCTTACTGGTCATCTTTATAATTACTCACCTGCTTTTCACAGCTCCATTTCACACATGAAGAAACTGAGGGCAGGGGGTTCATTCCTAATGAGGAAAGCCTACTGGGAGAACTGGTGTTTTTAGACTGGCCTGGCAGACAGCTGACCTTGTTATTGGGGACTGACCTGGTGCGCCAACTCACAGGGTGCCTATGACCTTGACAGAGGCCAGGCTCAGCCACTTGGGCTCTCAACAGGAAGAACTTTCCCTGGCCAGCGCAGTCACAGGCAGCTGCTTGAATGAGCACAGGTCAGGAAGTGAAATGCCCGGGTGAGCAAGGGCTGAAGGGCAGAGAGCTGGTTACACTTTATTCCTCCTCTCACTCGCTTGTTCCTGTGCTCGCCAAACACTTATTGAACTCACCTGGGTTACAGGGAGCACAGTGGGGAGCAGTACGGAGGTGGCCCTCTTCTCCCTTGGAGGAGAGAAACCAAAACCAAGAAAATACTGTGACGTCAAGTAGCGAGATGTGCCCTGAAGCAAAAGAAAGCCACAGTCATGAACAGGACACCTAGGAGGGTGTTGCTTCAGGAGGTAACATTACTGCAAAGACCTGAGCAAAGGAAGGAGCAAACCATGCTGTGACCTGTCAGAAGAACTTTCTGGAAAAGGGAACAGCAAGAGCAGAGGCCCCTCCTGAGCTGGCTGGCTGTGATTGCTCCCAGCTCTCGTGGTGAGACTTCCTCCATCCCGACTCACTACATCCACTGAGATCACTCCTCCTAATGTCACCACAACCCAAAATTGCAAAACCAGTGGCACATCTCTGCTGCGTTTGACAGGAGTTGATCCACTGCAAGACAACGATTAGCCAATATTTCCTGGATCTAGCAGGTGCCAGGAATTCTTTTCAAGGATAGACATGGTCCCAACCCTCATGGTATGAACTGCCTACAGGACAAAAGTCCTCTAAAAGACCAACAAAGTATAAGGTGTATTATTATGAAGGTAGAAGTAGAGAAAAAGCAGTTATCCTGGGAAAGACAATGATATAACTGAATATTTAAGAATAAAATGCAATGAAGAAAATAGAGGGGGGGAAAAAGAGAAAGAAATGAGGGGACAATATTCCAGGGCTGGGGAATAGCAGGTGCAAAGGCTCTGAGAGGCACAAGGGATTGGTGAGTTGAGAAACAGTTGAGTGACAGCTTTGGCTGGACTGCAGTGAGTAAGGGGTGGGCACCAGGCTTGTGGACCACGAGATGTTTGGACTTTATACAGAAGGCCACAGGGAGTCATTGCGAGTGTTTTCACTAGAGATGGGGCAGAACTGACTGGTGTTTTAGGAGCTGTCCAGCAGCCATGTGCAGAATAGACTCATTGAAGATGCTGTAGGAGACCAGAGAAGAGGTGGCACAAGAAGCTGACCAGGTTTTGATTGGCAAGCAATTGACAGAGCTTCACTGTCCATGGGACTTTCTGCAGTGCTGGGCATGCCATATACCTGAGCTGCCCACTAGGGTGGCCACCGACCCTGTATGCCAGTTGAAATGTAGTTAGTGCCTCAAGGGGCTGGTGGCGGCCCTATTGGACAGTACAAGCCAGAAAGACATGGACAGAGGTTAGGAGAGGGGACCATTTGGGGACATGTGGGAACATGCTGGGCCAGTCTCAGAGTGTCTCCACAGCTTTGTGGTGAGGAGGATGGAGGGGTCTGAGCCCCCACCCCTTCCTTACTGTTGGAAGGACACCGTGGATAGTCCTCTTCCTCCAGCCACCACCATAATGATGGCCCCATGTGTTTGGGGCATTGGTTGGTGACAGCCCACAAGGTAGGTTTTATTAAGATGTCCATGTTCCATGGTGGGAACACAGGCTTCCTTAAGTGCTCTTTGTAAATCAAGGTCACTGTAGCAAGTAAGAGGCAGAGCTGGGAATTGAACTCATGTCTTATCTGCCTCTAGTGCCTGTGAGCTTGAGCACTGTGCTGTGGTGGAGCTGACTGAGGACTTTCAGGGTCTCTGGGTTGAGGGGGACAGCCAGAGAGAGAGGATAGCTGTGCCTTGCATCAGTGGGGACAAGGAGGGTCAGGAGCAGGATGTGACATTGGTAAGGCAGCTGTGGAACGCAGGCTGGTGCCACCTGGGCACCTCCAGCAGTGAGGGGACAAGGTGGGGTGGGAGTTCCTGGGCCTCTGTGTTCCTTGCTCAGCGTTCAATGGAAGAACATCCTGGAGCCTTTCTGCAGAGGTGGCTGGGGTCGTAAATGAGCCTGACTCCATTCTCACTGCAGGAGTTAAAAAAAATACCAGAGCATAATAACTAAACACCAGTGTAATCCTGGCCTGCCCCTCACCCAAAGGACACCATTGGTGAAATGAGTGAAATCTGAATAGGCCTGTGGCGGGGTCAGAGGACAGGGTAGCTGGCTTCCTGGGTTTGACACACCACCTTAGTAGGTAAGGAACTCCCTCTCAGCTTTAGAGACAGTGTTTATATACAGATAAAGCAAGTGGGTGAAATGTAAACACTGGATCTGAGTGCTGGAGCTCTCTCTACTCTGCAGCAATTTTTCTCTAAGTTTGAAACTGTCAACATACAAGGTTACTTCCCCCGCCCAAAGGGGAAAAAAAAAACTTTAGAAAGCAGAAGAACCCAGCCATGGGCCTAGTCTCTAGACTCTGATCGGGTTGGGGTCTGAGAAGGACAGACATCAGATTGCTTCACTGTCCCCAGGTAGGAATGATATGCAGCTGAGTGGACAGATGCTGTGGGGTGCTGCCATGCTCTTTACTCCCTGCTGTCCCACCAGAATCCAGGAGGCTGGCCAGAGCCCAGCACGCATTCTGGACACCCACGGTTGCCCAGCCCCCAGATCTAGGGGCAGGCAGGGGGGCACATCACCGTTGACAGAACTGCTAGCAGTTTCCTGCTCTTACCCTGTAATCAGCCCAGCTCTAGGCTCTGCATGGGTTTGTTCTCGTGTAATCTATTATGGGCTGCCCCTCCCCTGTTTTATAGATAAGAAACTGAGGCCTAGAGGCCACCCAGCCCATCAGAGCCCAGAGAGTGCCCAGGTGGACAAGTGCATGCATCTCTCTGACCCTCTTCTGGTTTCAGGGCAGGAAGACTATGACCGATTGCGGCCCCTCTCCTACCAGAACACCCACCTCGTGCTCATCTGCTACGACGTCATGAACCCCACCAGCTACGACAACGTCCTCATCAAGGTGAGCTCCCCCTGCCTGCCTCTGGCGTGGGGGCCGCAGAGCTAGGGCAGCCCTAGCACTGATGCCCTGACTCCTCCCCCCACAGTGGTTCCCTGAAGTCACACATTTCTGCCGCGGGACCCCCATGGTGCTCATTGGCTGCAAGACAGACCTGAGGAAGGACAAGGAGCAGCTGCGGAAGCTCCGGGCGGTACAGCAGGAACCCATCACCTACATGCAGGTAGGCCAGGCCCCAGGCCTCACCTACCAGTCCCCAGGCACAGCCATGCCAGAAACCTCCCAGGCCTTTGTCTTCTGCAACTGGGGTGTCTTAGCAGCCTTTCCAGGAGCTGAAGCAAGCAGGACCCTAAGAATAATTTAAAACTACTAAGTCCACACCCCTTCCTCCACCCCATGGATCTGAGTGCTTTCCAGTACTTAGCTCGTTGAATCCGTATGCCTCTAACACAGGTACCGTTAACAACCCCCCCAGTTTGTGGGGGAAAATTGAGGCCCAGCTAGGTTAAGCAGCTTGCCCAGAGTTACACAGCAAACTTGAAGTGGAGACAGGATCTGAGTCCTAGTCACTCAGGTTCCCAAATCTGCACTATCAACAGCCATCTGTTCAGTCTGCCCAGGGGCACTAGAATGTTGGCCCTTACTTCAAAGTAGGCATCCACTGTCCCCAAGGGTCATGGGTAAAATCCAGACCCTTTAGCTTTTAGGTGAGGCATGGGAGAATACATAGAAGAAAAGAGAACACATACACATACATAAATTAATAAAGAAACTTTAATACAGGCGAGATGGCAAACACCGGTAATCCTAGTACTCAGGAGGCTGAGGTGGAAGATCAAGAGTTCAAGACCAGCCTGGGCTTATAATGTGACCTTGTGTCAAAAACATAACAAAAAAATCTGGTGCGGTGGTTTGCACCTGTAATTCCAGCTACTCAGGAGGCAGAAACTGGGAGGATAATGGTTCAAGGCTAGCCTGGGCAAAAAGTTAGCAAGACTTCATCTCAACCAATGAGCTGGGCGTGGTGGCACACACTTGTCATTCTAGCTACGTGGGAGGCATAAACCAGGAGGATCAGAGTTCAGGCTGGCCCAAGCAAAAACTTGAGACTCTATTTGAAAAATAATTCAAGCATAAAGAGCTAAGTAAGGCATGGCTGAAGGGGGAGAGCACCTGCTTAGAAAGTGCAAAGCCCTGCATTCAAAACCCCAGTATTACCAAAAAGAGAAATTTAATAAAAAGGAATAAGCATTAATAATAGTAAATTCATATTAAAAATAAAGTTTTTTTAAAAAAAGAAAACCGCTACTAGCAAACTCAGTGGTCCAAAGTGTGTCATCAGAGAAGGGAGGAGTGTATAGAGGTCCTTTCTGTCTTGAGGCCCTCCAGCTCTTCTCATTGGCCCGAGAGACACAACCCAGCCCCAGTTCTCAGAGCTGGAGAGAGGACAGGTGGGGACAAGCATGGGGCGGGCTTCTCCCAGAAACCAGGGTGCAGCCAGCTATGGAAATACCAACCTTACACTAGAGAGAGCCAGCACTGGAATGGAGAAGGGACAGGGGTGCCCATCCAAGTCTTCTTCATCTCTGGAGAGCCCCCAAAGCCACCTCCAAAGCCCTCAAGCCCTAAGGAGGTGTCAGGAGGCTCCAGGACTTCCCCACTGCAGGCCCCTCATCTAATGCTTTCTCTTCCCCCATCTAGGGCTTGAGTGCCTGTGAACAAATCCAAGCTGCACTCTACCTGGAATGTTCTGCCAAGTTTCGAGAAAACGTGGAGGACGTCTTCCGAGAAGCTGCCAAAGTGGCTCTCAGAGCTCTGAAGAAAGGAGATCGACAGAAGAAACAGCGGTACTGCCTGCTGGTGTGACCCCAGGGCAGGCAGCCCTGAGACAAGACTGACAGGACTTGGGAACCAGGCCCAGACCATTCCTGAGATCCCACCCCATCCCCAGCTCTGCATCACCTGTGTCTGGAGACAGAATTGTAGAACAGTCTGGAACTCTCCTTTTTCATGAACTCACCTTTGGGCGAACCCTGGAGTGCAGTGAATGAGGCTGCCAGATCCATCTCCTTCCACCCTGGAACCAGCATTTATGCCCAAATGGGATTCTGGAGGGCCCTTGTCCCAGCTCCCCCAACCCCCAGCCATGTGTGTCTCACTTTGCAAATCCAATGTGTACTTGAAACTTAGAACTACAATGGGAATATGGGCAAATGTGGACTTGGCAGTGGTCCACGTGGTGCCCCAAGCCCACTGCTCCTGTGTCACTGCCTCCCTGGGCTCCTGAGATAGGCGCAGCTGCATCCTCCAGCCTCTTCCTTCTTTCCCCGGGGAACTCAGGGGCCACCATGGATGGGCCCTATCTAGAGAACACAGGCAACAGCCCGGACATGGGACCGGTACCAGCCCCTCCCCATTCCTCTGTCCCACACGGAGGACCTCAGCCACAGCTTGGTCACCATCTTTTTCTGACTTGGGCCCATGTGCCTGGGGGAGAAGAATCGGTCTCTGAAAAGGTCTAAGTGTGCCCTGGGGCACCCATGTGATGCCCACTCAGGGTCTCACCTCTGAATACACATCTGAGACTTGGGATAGAGAGTGCCACCAGCTCTCTGGGGACCTGTTTCCCCATCTTCAAAGGGATAGGATTAGGCCATTTAAATGGTCAAGCTCTCCACATTCTGCCTGTCACAGACTGCTTCTGCCCTGATGTGGAGCTCAGGCCCATCCTGTCCTCCTTTCAGAACTGACATGCTCAACCCCCAGCACACGAGGCAATTTCTCAAAAGTGGCCCACAGACTGCCGTGTCACTGACCGCCAGATTCCTGAACCCTAAACTTTTTTCTGGAACATATAGAATTGGGGGTCCAGGACTTTTCAAACAAGTGCTGCAGTGGCTAATACCCACGAGAGAACTGCTGGTTCTGGGGTAAGCTGAGGAGATGGCTGGCCCCCGGCCTTCCAGTACCATCTCCTCAGCCCCTTTGCCCACTGCTAAGCCCAAGTTGCCAGGGAAAGAGACTTCTAAACCCCCTCCCCAGGCTCCCTAAGGCTCTGTTGTCCCCCGGGGGGGGGTATCAACCAAGGACCTCTTGTTCTCACAGAACCTGAGACCACATGGACAAGTGATGATAAAGGGCAGAGGTCAGCAAACCACAGCCTGGGGATGACGTCTGGCCCCTGTTTTGTAAACTGAGTTTTACTGGAACATGGCCTTGCTTTTGTTTTGCAGCTCTGGACTGGTGTACTCGCCATGGCACCACATAGCCCACGTATTTGCCACCTGGCCGTTGATAGAAAATGTCTGCTGAGTCCTAATCTGGGGCAAAACTCAGGTGCTTGCAAAGGGCAGAACAGGAGACTCAAGGGTGGACGACCCAGTGAGGGAAGCAGGGAAGGGACAAGGGGGTGGGTGCCAAATTGGAGAACAGGTGCCCTGTCTTGCCCAACTGTGGGAATGTTGCCAGGTCTTCTGGGGTTTTAGGGAAAGTTGAAACCTGTGTTCTTATGTGGAATCTCACTGTGAGGGAAGGGAAATATTATTTTCAAAATGTAACTAAAGAATTTAAAACCCTTGAGAGCCAAGCATGTCTGTGGATCTTCATGTTGGGTACCAGCTGTGAAGTCTTTTCTTCATGGATCTGCAGGGATATAGTTAAGGGTAGCTGAAGTCCGTAGGTGGAAAGGGGTTCCTCTGTCCTCCCCACCTGAGAACCTGGAGCTGGCTGGGTGACCAGCACACCTGCCCTGGCCTCACAGGGTGTCTCCCCTGTGGTAAGCCTGTTCAGGCTAGCCCTCCTTCCCTCATGGTCCAGAACCTCTGAAGTGGAGAGAGGTGGGGAGTGGGCAACCTCTAGATGGCTTAAGTCCCAGTCAGCACTGGGAGGTCTGGGTCCTACTCCCTGACGACTCACAGCAAGTTTGGGAAGGAGGGACTGAAGGGTGGCAGTCAGGAAACCCTCAAGAGCCCACTAGAACTTTCAGTATCAACACCAGCCAAACAGTCAAGAGGCTGGGGTGCCCTCTGGTGGTGGTCCTCCTTAAAACCCCGCTACCTCAGGGCCACCTTCTTCATGGTGACTCAGGAAAGCACAAAGCATGAGGCAGAGACAGGCAGTGGTTCTCTGAGAACTTAAATAAGCCCCAGCCACAGAGGGTGGGGACCATGGAGGGGCTTACAGAAGAGGCGGTGACCCAGGGAAGGGGGCTCCACAAGATGTGGTTTCATTCCACCTCACCCCTGGGACATAGTAAGTAGCAGGTCAGTATAAGTCCAACCCTGGAGGCACATCCAAACCCCACTGAGGGGTTCAAATGATGGGAGTGAGGACAGAGGGGCTCCCTGAGGCTTTCGGCCTCTCCCTGGAAGACTGACCAAGACTTGGTCATTACCAAGAGCAGCAGGGAAGGCCTCAGTTTCCAGGGAAGCTGGAAGGACCCAGCATTAAATAACATCATAAATAGGCTAGGATGAGTTAACACTGTGCGCACAGGTGGGCTTCACATTCCTCGTGCCTGGGGACCAGGGCCTCAGCCCTTCTCCCAGCGATACCGCTGGCCCCTGAGATGATGCTGCCCGTGGACACCGGTGACCAGCAGTTGGGGTGCTGACTGGAATCCCCAGCAGTCTCAAAAGTCCTGAGGTTCACGGCTGCTTTGTCTTGTTTCTGTTCTTCTGGAGTTTGGCATGTACAACTTTGAGTGTGGTCAGGAAATTGCCAAGGAAGAGGACCAGGAAGGTGAGCGCCAGCACGAACACCTGGGGGATCCCGAGACACAGTGCCAGTTGTGCCCACGCAGAGGACACAGGGTAGACAGGACAGGAGGGAGAGGTCAGCTCAACTGCCATTGAAGAGCCTGCCCTCCTCCTTACCCCAGGAACCCAACAAAGCTACAGGGATGGCCAGCAGAAGGTAGAAGTGGGCAAATGGAATGGAGGGACCCAGGGTCAGGCAGGGTCCTAGGAGAGCATCTGGTGGGGTGAACCTCCTCGGCTCATAGACCCTGAGGGCCTCCCTGGCCTCCTGAATTTCCTCCCTCCGTCTCACAGACCCCAGCAGCAAAGAAAAGGAGGTAGCTGAGTACAGAATTCTCCCCAAGTCAGCCCAGCTCTCCCCAGCTCCCCACCCTGTGCTAACACACACACACATCACACACACACACACACCATACCTGCCATTCTCTGCATTCCTCATGGCTGGAGAGTTCAAACAGTGTTACCGCATTGTAGAGCTGCCAGAACTGGAGACGGGAAGACAGGCACAGCTCACCCACCCATTCTCCTGCGACCCACATGGAAAGCCAGGGAAAAGGACCAGCCCCCTCCCCGCCCCAGCTTTAGGTATCGGCAGTCCAAGACACCCCTCCCCCAGGACCCTCATCCCCCCCTGCCCCGCCCATGAAACTGCAGGCATCTTAGGTAGAGCAGGTCTAAGGGCCAGTTCTGTCTTTTATCCCTAGTGTCCCTGGACCCAGAGGAATGGGGACGGAAGAGATCCCTGAGGCTTTCTGCCCCTTCTCCAATCCCAGTCAGGAAGGAAGACTGACTCAGATTTGGCCACTGCTCTGAGCAGCAGGGAAAGCCTCAGATTGCAGGGAAGCTGGGAGACCCTGGCACCGAATGTATCTTGAATAGTGAAGCTACGATGGCTGATACTGTGGACAGGCTTGTGAAGGAGGGAGAGGCCTGAAGACCTTCTGTTCCTGGGAGAGAGCCCAGAGAAAGGCACCCACAAACTGCAGTGAACTCACATGACCACAGAAGAGGAAAGGCAGGAGGAAGGTGAGACCTCGCCACATCCAGGACTGGAACCCTTCTGTGAAGAGGAAGGAGGAACTCAGGGTCATCAGGTACCACAGCCCAGCCAGAAAGGCACCCTAATATTAGCTAGGGACAAATGCCACACAGGTCGTGTTCACCTTCTATAGGTGGGTGAATGGTATGAAAGGAAAAAAAAGAAAAACAAAACCCAGACAGCCTGCACAGCCCATGCCACCAGCCCAAATGTTCTTTCTCCAGCCACCATGAGTCAGATGGCCTGGCAACACTCTTTTTACAGTTTTACAGGAACTGTCTTTTTACTAATTTCCTCATTTGAGCAGGATTTAATGGTGTATTTTAAAATGGACACTTGCACAAATCATTTCAATCATGTCTTGTTAAAGTAGGGCCTGTTTTGCAGAGCAATTGGATGGCCACCTGAATAGGCATCCGGAATGATAGCAGAGTTTCATTTTTTTGGCAACACTGAGGCTTGAGCTCAGGGGCTTCACACTTCCTAGGCAGGTGCTCTACCACTTGAGCCACTCTGCCAGCCCAATAGCAGACTCTTCTTAGAATAGTTTCCTCTAAAAGTTTGGATGAGGGGGTCTCTAAACCCTTCTGACTGGACTCCCTGTGTGTGAAAACGAAGCATATATCCCCAATGGATATGTTTATCTACTTACATGTAGATATGTTTACCTAAGTTATATGTACAACCAATACTAGGTGTGTGTGTGTGACTTTTCTCTTCCTGAGATGGAGGCCTCACTCTCTTGCCCAGGCTAGCTTCAAAACTCCTGGGCTCATGTGATCCTCTGGCCTCAGCCTCCCAAGTAGCTGGGACTACAGATGTATAACACAGAGCCCCATGTTATGTCTATTATAAAATGAAGAGAAAATTAGGTACTTAAAAAGGTTAAGGTCAAGGCCTAGCTCCTAGGGCCTGGCATTTAGCCGGCCTCACACCTGGCAGCTGAAACAGAACCTATAATGGATTATGAAGAACAACTCAGGGAAAGGAAGGTGGCCCTGGCTTTGCTGCATGGGAGTTCTTACATTCTTGCAGGGACATGCCCCCAGTGAGGACTGCTGGGCGGGTCCAGGGCTCCTCTCCCCCTGGCCAGGTACTCACCCACCGTGAGGTCCAGGTGATTCCTCTCGCCCAGGGCCCGCAGCCTGTAGAGGCAGCCCCTCTGGTAATAGTATTGTAGGAACTGGACGCAGCCTGCAGGGGGAGCACAGTGCCCAGGCTCAGGGCTGTGCACCCCAAGACAGGGCAACCATGCCTCTCTCCTCCAAGTCCAACAGACCTTACCAAACTGCAGGCTGGTGGGTTAGCAACAACCCTGTCCCACCTTCTACCCCTGACACACACGCATACACACACACACACAGTCCTTCACACTGGTCTGAACCTGCTTTATCCCTATCCAAATACAGAGTTCAGAGGACCCATGTAAGCCTCAACTAGATTAGAAACTTCTAGAGGGATGAGGGGGAGAGACAAGGGGAGCAATGTAACTAATATACAATACAAGTCTAATCAGAATTGTCACTATGAATCCGCCCAACCCTGTATAATGAATATATCCTAATTTTTAAAAAAAGAAAGACAAAAAGAAACTTCTGGAGTAGGCACTCAATGTTTTCTGGAATGCAAGATCTGCAAAGCTGGGAGTTATAATGCTAAGACATACAAGAGATAGTTCCGTACGGAGGGAAGTTCTGCAGCTGTTTAACAGCAGCAGGTCATAGGCCAGGTACCAGGACTCACACCTGTAATCCCAGCTACTCAGGAAGCAGAGATCAGGAGGATCACAGTTCTAGGCCAGCCCAGGCAAACAGTTCATGAGACCCTATCTTAAAAAAACCCTTCACAAAAACAAAGGCTGGTGGAGTGGCTCAAGGTGTAGGCCCTGAGTTCAAACCCTAGCACCACAAAAAAAAAAAAAAGGTTATAATAATACAATTCAAGGTACAGAAAGATGACATATTTGTAAAATACACACTGCAATACACATATATGTATATTTATGAATAAAACATTTGAAAGAACAGAGTTCTTTTTTTTTTCTTTTCTTTTTTTGTGGTACTGGGGTTTGAACTCAGGGTTTCACACCTGATAGGCCAGAACTCTACCATCTGAGTCACTCTACCATCTGAGTCACTCCACCAGCCCTTTGCTGTGCTGGGTATTTTAGAGATAGGGTCTCTCAAACTACTTTCCCCAGCTCAAACTTCACTCCTCCTGATCTCTGCCTCCTGAGTAGATAGAATTATAGACGTGAGCCACCAGCGCCCAGCAGAATGGAGATCTTAACATTGATCACTCCTAAGGATAGGATTATATGCAGCTTCCAGTTTTGGCCTTATATATCTATATCTGTTTGCAAACAGGCTTTTATTTAAAAATTAAATTATGATTTTATGGGACTGGGTATGGTGGTCCCAGCTAAAGAAGAATGATCCTTTGAGCCCAGGAGTTTCAGACCAGCTGAGCAACATAGCCAAGACCCCGTCTCAAAAAAAAAAGGAGGTAAGGAACCGAGGGGCAGCTAAATGGTAGAACAAGGCCCTGGGTCCCATCCCCAACACTAAAAAAAAACAAAAGGCGGGGGTAGGAGGGAACCCTTGGAACTGGTTGTTTTATATGAATCCAGAGCTATTCTTGAATGAAAAAAATATGTTTTTTTTCACTTTAAGGATTTATTTAAAACTGAGAGGCAAGGTTCACACTGTCAACATTACTCAATTCCCAAAAGGTGCACTGGGTCCTGCCTCAGCAAAGCTGGCGGGGGGGAAGGGGAGGAGGCTCCAGCAGCTGGTGTGGGCTGGGGTCAGGAGGGTAGAATGGAGTTGATCAGGGGGAAAATGACTCTTTTCTGGGTTTCTGGTCAGGGGCCTCTGCTTCCCCAGCCTCACTTTCAAGCAGGCCAGCACTGATATCCACTGGGGATGCCGTTGGGGAAAGCCCCCAGGATACCAAGCCCTCCCCCAAAGCTGAGTTCAGAAGACACTCACTCTGAAAAATTGAAAATGCTAAAAACTGATTGCGAAACTTCTGATAAATTAGTCCATTAGGCCTGGAAAAACAAAAGAGCCATGTTGTGAAATCAGACATTCATCCCTGTCCCATCTCTACACCACCCAAGAAAGAAAACATCTTAAAGTTCAACTGAGGTCCTGGATTTCTGCCTGTCTTTGTCCTTGGGGCTGGACCAAGTCACGACCACCATCCTTTCTTGAACCAGAGGGGCTCACTCAGTCACTCTGAAGCCTCGTGCACTCCCTCCAGCCTTGCTGCTCCCTGTCACCTCTGCCCCAGCTAGCAAGGACTGTGTAATATTCCCCAGAAAACTCCCAGGTGGCTTGGCAGGGCCTGGGAAGCTGGGCCTTTGGACCAGTTTTTTAAGTTCACACTCGCCTTCCAGACCCCAAAAGTCAGTTCTGGAAGCCCTCCCTCCCCAAATCTAGATCAGCTCCTCCCCATTCCCCAGCCCCAGCTCTAGTTCCCAGGACAAGTGAGTGATGACTCACCAGGTCAGCATCACTCCAGACAGGAATGCAGAGACGTAATGATGAGACACCCACCAACCTTTAATTCTCGGGGGAACAAGAGAAGGAAAGACACTCAGGCAGGGAGAGAATCGCAGATGTCACTTCTCTACTTCTCAGCCGTGCAGGCAGAGGACATGCTGCAGCTAGAAACAGCCTCTTGGAGTGCAAGGTGGACCCAAGCCATACCTTGCCCTTCTCTCAGTCCTACAGAGATATATAATCCTAAACGAACTACCTCAGATTAGCACAGAGACCCACTCAGGCTTTCAGAGGCTTCTGTGACACTCAGAACACATCCCTAACCTCACCAGGCCTTAAAGCCCACCTCCCTCCTCACCAGCACTAAGATGCTCCAAGCATCCTTGCCTTTCCTTGAACTAGCCAAGCCTGTTGCTACCTCAGAGCCTCTTACGGACTGAACTGTGTCTCCCAAAATTCCATACTGGAGTCTTAACTCCCCAATACCTGAGAATGTGACTGACTACAGTTGGAGATAGGACTTCAGAGGTAACTGAGGTTAAGAGAGGTCACAAAGTGGGGCCCTAGTCTAGTATGAGTGGTGTCTTGGGAAGAGGAAGAGGTACCAGTGATGCTTGTGCACAGGAGGCCATGTGAGGACAGGACAGGAAGGCAGTGTCCACAATCTAAGGAAAAAGGCCTCAGGAGAAAACAGCTCTGCCGACACCTTGACCCTAGACGTCCAGCCTCCAGAACCATGAGAAAGAAATATCTGTTGTTTAAAAAGCCTAGTTATGACAGCAACCCAGCTGATTAACACAGGGCCTTTGCACTTGCTGTCTTCTCTGCTCCAAGACTTTTGCCTGCCTGGTTCTGGGTCCAAATTCAGGTTTCAGACCAACTGTCACCTCCTGTAAAGGGCCTTCCCTGCTCACCTTACCTAAAACAGCCCCACGGCCCCACTCCAGACCACATTCCTGCTTCATTTTCTTCATAGTTCTTACCTGGCAGTGAAGGAAGTGTGGTTATAACTTCTCCTCAACATCAGGACCAATCTAGGAGGAAAGGAGTTGGATCCTCCCCTTTTTCCCTTCAAAGTCCTGGGGTCTGTCCCTAGCCTTGGCTGGCTTCCCTAGCTCCCCTCAAGGAGCTTCTATCCAAACACATGGCAGCAAAATGCTTTGCCAAAAGCACTCTGGGAGCAATCAGGCTCCTCTCTCTAAAGACTGGGCAGGAGGGACTGAGATGCCTGTGTGAATAGTAATCACCTTGGACCCTCCAAAACTCTCATTCTCATTCATTCATTCTCTCTCTCCCTCTTACACACACACACACACACACACACACACACACACACACAGGGGCAAGGCTGAACAGGGAGATGGATCCAAGGTATTACCTCCCACAAGAAAGGGGAACCACGAGGACTGCCAATGGGGCAGGGGATGCTAGCCAAGACTTCCTTTCTAAATTCCATTTTTGTTTGAAAGCATCCTGTGACCTGTTCTCTTGTCCTAACTGCCAGATCAGTCAACAGTTCTAGACATGTCATTCTTAAATGTCACATGACATTCCAAAGTATGGGTCTGCAATAGTCTACTCAGCTCTTCCACAACATCATTATGCCTTTCAAAGCTGTCGTGACATCCTTGTGGAAGTCTCCCAGTCTCCATGGTGGCTCCAGGAAAGTGGCTGGGTGAGGGCACAGTGCATTGTTACTTGTCAAACTACTCTCTAAATGAGCTCTACGCCAGGCACCAGTTGCTCATGTCTGTAATCCTAACTACTGAGGAGGCAAAGATCAGAAGGGTCGTGGTTCGAAGCCAGCCAAGGCAAAATAGTTTGCAAGACTCTATCTCAAAAAAACCCTTCACAAAAAAGGGCTGGTGGAGTGGTTCAAGGTGTAGACCCTGAGTTCAAACCCCAGCACTGCAAAAAAAAAAAAGTAAACCAGCTCTGCTCTTACACTCCTATGAGCAGTATGGGACCATCTGGTCCCCCAAACCTCACCAACAGTGAAGATCACCTTTTAAATTTCTGCCAATCTTATTTGGTGAAAATTGGTATGTCATCGAAGTGATTTTTGTTTGTTTTCTTTTCTTTGTGACTCTGGGGATAGAACCCAGGAACTCGTGAGTGCAAGGGCACCCTACCACTAAGCCAGCCTCTGTCATTGAGGTTTTTTTTAATTTGCTTTTCCTTAGCAAGCAGTTTGGATCTGTCTTAGAAACTTCCCATCAGAATAAGCAGATCACAAGAGCAGGGGCTAGATCTCAACCATCCCCGCCTCTCTTCACAGCACACCCAACACACTGGACATAAATTAGCTGTTCAGAAAACAGCCTGCACACACCTCAAGAGTTACAGTAACACAGGCTTTATGTGGCTCTGTATTCCTAGCACAAACAGCACCAGGTAAACAACAGGCACTTAATAAATGTTGACATGAATGTCTAGGTCATATGGCTATTGAAAGCAGCAGCTAGTCTGCATGCCACAGCACAGAGATGACACAAAGGACAGGATAAGATATCCATCTACTTCTTTGTTCCCAGTACTCCAGCCAGCCCCAAAGTCCCCCTCTTGCCTGTTAGAGTCTAAGAGACTCTGGATCCAGTTTCCTAATAGCAAAGGCAATTGGTCAGACCCTCGGACTTGCAGCTTAAAGAGTGACCAGAGGTCTTGCTGCAGCCTCCTCAGAGCTCTGCAAACCCTAGAGCCCTCAGGTCTCAGCCGCCCCCACACTCCTTTATCCTGCTCCCTGTGGAGGAGTGACTTGAGCTAGAGGCTTGAGCTAGACGCAGACTCTGGGCAACAAGCTTGACTGAGCAGCAGCTTTTAATTTCACAGCCGCCGTAGCCAGAGCCCAGCTCCAGCAGATCCCACCAACCATTGTAGCTCAGTGCCATCAGTGAAACTAGAAATCACTTCTCCCTCACACTGGAATTCATGATCCCCATCCTGCATCTGCAGGCCCCAAGGCTCTGGGCTGGCTTTGTGCAGTGTGTGTTTATATAACAATTGTTATTGCAATATAATTCAGATACTACACAATTCATCCATTTCAAATACACAGTCCAGCGGTTTTCAGCATATTCACAGAGCTGTGCAACCATCACCATAATCCATTTTAGAACCCTGGATCACCCCTAAAAGAAACCTGCACCCCTACGTAGTCATTCTCTGGGTTTCTTTGCCCTGGAAATGAAGCTTGCAGGGGCTTGTGTTTTTTTGTTTTTGTTTTTTTTAATGAGCAGACTGTAGAGGCCCCAAGAAGAACAAGTGATGAAGAGGTAGAAACAGCACATCCCTGGTCTGGGGGCGAGGTGGGGTGTGTTCTAGAGGATGGCTACTTACCCATGTTTGCTATGTGCAGAAGAGATGTGCACCAGGCACTATTCAACCCATCAGGTTCTGGCCTTGTCCTTTGAGCTCTCAGGACAGTGGGGGAATGGCTTCTACACTGAGGACTCTCCCCTGTCTGGTCTGCCACCCTCTATATATTTGTTCCAAGGCTAACACCTAAAAAAGCCAGTGAGAGCCAAGCACCATGGGTTGGCGCTAGAAAAGCCAACATGACTGACAATTCATGATTCATTCTGGCCTAGATGAACTATAATGGACAATGGACATTGGGCAACTGTCAATCACCATCTATCCTGGTTCCCAGGGCCTCTGCTTCTTTATGGGGAACCACCGCACCCGTAAAGTGGTTTGGATGAAGCTAAGGAATATATCTGGGCACGTGACTACAGCTGGCCAAATAATAGAGACTGGCTCAGAGGTCTGTAGGGAACCCAAGACTAGGCAATCATAAGTCAGTCTGAAGGTGCTGCATCTGTAGTAATAAAGGACAAGGTTCTTTGCTCTGGAGTTACTGATCTGGTGGGAGGCCAGCCTGGGCTGCAGGAAACCAGGCAGGGGAAAAGAACAGGGAACCAGAGGAGGGGGCTGTTAACATTGTTGGGATCCTTTTCACCACCTTCAGCTTCCCAGTTACATGGGCTGTAAGTGCCCCTTCAGATGTAGTCCCTATTGGGTGGGTTTCTGCCATTTGCAAAATATGCAAGGGAAGCTGACTTGTCTGTTGAGCTACAGCTCAGGTAGGAGGCATCAGACACACATCAAGGGTGGCTCTGTCTCATAATGGGGAAGTTCCCACCTCTGTACACCCAGACCCTATTCCCTGACCACTTCTCCTGACCCAACTCTGATCTCAGGTACAACTGGAAACTGGACATCAGAGCCTCAGTGAGATCAAACAGGGCAGCAAGCCCCCAGGAAACCCACATGGTTCAGTCCTGCTACCCCAGGTCACCAGCATGGCCCCAAGGACCCCTCCTCACTACACAACTTGGGTTCAATTCATCTCAACAAGATCTGTAGAGTGTCTACAAGGTGCCAGCCAGGAGTTTCTGAGCAGGCTCTGGGATCCATAAGAGATGCCAAAGGGAAAGTTCTTCAGAACGTGGATCCCTCCCAGCACCTCCTCACTGTGCTTTCTGGAAAAAGTCTCTTAGCTGTTCCCTGGTAAGGGGCTGGAGTGGGACAGAACCTCCAAGTTTCTTCTCACTGGCAGGGTAAGTCAGCCCTGACTGGGAGCCAGAGGAGGATGGAGGCTAACTCTCCAACAGATGTTCAGGATAAGTCATAAGTTTTAGTCACCCAGATTCAGCCCACCTGCCTTGCAGACAGACCCCACAAACTGGTCTGTCTCTGTAGTCATTCTAAAAGCTGAGGCCCCTATTGGGCTCACCAGCTTCACTCCAGACTCCCCCCTCCCAGGTCATTTTAGGGAGACAGGCCTGGAAGAATGGTTCTGCTGCAGCTTGGAACTGCTTGGTCAGTGTTGGCAATGAAGGGCTTTAAAAAAAAAACAAAAACCAAAAAACTCTGTGGGTGCCCCCAAGAGGCCCAGTGTGAGTTCTCTCATAATCCCTAACTCAGCGTCTAGCACAGAGGAGAAACTTAGTAAGTGTGTGATGAAGGTATGGAGCCCATCTGCACGGGCTCCAGGGAACCCAGAAACTCTTGCTAAACTGTTAGGCAAGTAAGGCTTGGCTCTGAACTCCAGCTCTCCATTTAGTCCTCCCGCTGAGCTCCACACTGTCAGGGACATACTCAGAGTCCTTACTCCTTTTCGCTAATAACTTATCATCCACTGCTTAACTGAGAGAGAGACACACAACAAGCTATCTACACTAACTGTTACTGAAGCGTGAGTGACTGCTAAAGACAGCATGCCCCCTAAGCACTCTTAATAAGAGTCCAGCAGATGGGTGAAACTCCAAGACTGAGAGTGAGCCCATGGGTGCAGGAAAAGAACAGGCAACAAGGTGGCCTTGTCAATTGCCCCAGACTGATTTTCTCACCATACACTATCTTGGCTTCCTTCCAGCCACACACCAAAGCAGACACAGACTGTCCAGTCTAAAATTAAGGGAAACTGTGAATGTTATTTATTTATTCAGTAAGGTTTTCTACTTTAGTGTTTCCCAAAGCATGGGGTACAAAGCACTCAGTTTTAGCTGATGCTAGAAAGTGAACCACATGGGAGGAGGTCAGTCATTTAGTTCTCTTTCCATCCTCTGGATTAAGTCAAGGAAAGAGGCTCAGCTAGCACAGCTTTAATGCCTCTTGAGATCTGCTTGTCTTCCTTTTTCTATACACACACTCACACACACGGAGAGAGAGCAGATCTTAAGCTCAGAAGCTCAGGACCAAAGAAGAGCTGAGTTCAGTAATTTCTACTACAAAAAAAATGAAAGGATATTTTTACTGGTGATCTCTTTCTTGCAACTGATGCTGGTTTTCCATGGATGGTGGTGAAATAAGGGTTCCTTTTAAATTAACATTTACCAAAGTTAAAAAAAAAAAGAGAGAGATGGGCACGGTGGCACTTCTGAGTGCTTCATCACTCAGAAGGTTGAGGCAGGAAGATCTTGACTTGAGGCCAGCCTGGGCTACATAGAGAGACCCTGTCTTAAAAGACCGAGAAAGGGGTGGGGGTTGATTTAAAATGTGAGCAAACTGTCATCCAGGTGGAACACGGACATGGCAAAAAAGCAAGGATAGAGCAAGCATGAGAATAGTTTGAGGAACACCAATTATCTACACAGCTACATGCCACAGACTGCATTTCTAAGAGTCCTACCATGCCTACCAGCAGGTCTGGCAAGGGGTAAGCACTAGCCCTTACATAACTCTTGGCTCTAAGTTCTGGGTGAGATCCAGCAGGGCAGGCACCTGCCATAAAAGACCACTGGGCAGAAAAGTGAGAAGGGACAGATGATTGAGGAGGTGGGGCAGGTGGTAGACATCCCCAATTTTTAGACACTAAGCTCTTGGCTGAACCTCACTAGCTCCAGGAGGGGGGAAGTGGGAGGGGTTGGAAGGGTGTTAATGGTTGCCCTGAAAAGGAATCAGACCTTCACAAAATTAGTCCTCTGAGTGAAAAGTCACAGATTTTTTTTTTTCTTTTTTTCCAGTGCTGGGGACTGATCCCAGGGCCTTGTGTATGCTAAGAACCAGCTCTACCACTGAGCTATACCTCCAGCCCCCAAGTCATGGATCTTAACTGGGCCCCAAGATTCTGCTCGTAGGCAGGCAGCAAAGAAAAGAGATTAAGAGAAAATAGTAGGATTTCTTGAACTCACAATCCTTTAGAGATGGAGGCCTCCAATCATGCCTAGACTCATTCAGTGACACTGTAACACAATCACTCCCCTAGGACTCTGAAACAGCCCAAAGAGGGAATGGCCTTCCCAATGTTACATAGCTTCTCAATGACACTCCTGGCAGGGCAGTTTTGGCCCAAGACCCTGATCCCCTCACTCTTCTTCCCTGCTTCTTGCAGGAGATCATCTGCTTTTGTCACCAAAATCCATCCATCCTCCTAGTAACAATAGCCCAGTGTCCCCTCCTGGCCAATCACAGCAATGCATACACTGGCAACAGTGATTGGTTGAGAGATAGGCATGTGAGCCAGACACCACCTGGACCAGCCAATGGAATCCCGCCAGTGATACTCTTGGAAGAGAGGAATGACCCCTGTCTGCTAAGAGTAATGATCTGAGCCAGGAGCTGGTGGGAGCCTACTACCTGGAGACTGAGAATAAAGACAACAGAAGGCAGAGGCAAGAGACAGACAGAAATTGCATCCTGATGATACCGTCTGAACACCTGGATTAAGCCATACCTGAAGTCAGTCCCTATAAACCCATTCTCCGACACCACAGAGTTCCCATTACACTAAGCCACTTTGAGTTAGGGCTCCTGCTGCTTGTCAGCAAGAGACTGACTTGTAAATAAGTGATACTGCACCAACAGCATCAGCACCTCCTCCCAAGAAGGAAGGGAATGCAGGTTAATGCATCAAACCTCACCTGACCCCTCCATGACATACTTCCCTTTGGCCCCCTCTGCACCCCCCCACGAGCTGGGACCCCAGTTACCTCGAGCCGTTGCTGATGAGAATACTCTCCCGAATGGTAAGGGTGCAGTAATACCACACGAGCAGGAAGTTAAAGACTTCGTCCGTCACCCTGGCGTGAAGAAACAGCCCCCGGGGGTGGGGGGGCAGTGTGAGATCCAGGGACAGCTAGACCATCCTCAGCCCAACAGGACAGCAAGTCAGAATGAGAGCTGCCCAGGGCAGGCACACCTCTGGAAACCGCTAGTACCACCCCAGCAGCAGAGTCCAGCCCTCTGCACCTCCTCTCCCCATCTTATGCCCAGGTTGCTGCTCCCCTCTACCTGGCAGAGGCTCCTCTCCTCCCTACATGTCAGCCCAGGGCAACCCATCTCTCCTGGAAACCCTTCACTTGGGGTTGATATGAAGTTTCTGGTGATGGTAACAGGACTGACTTTAAGAACAGGAGCCAATTCTGTTTTTCAGGTTGTCTGCAGTGGTAAGAGGTACTCCCCCTCCAGCCCCTAAAACCAGCAGGAAACTTTGGGTAAACTTTGTTACACATATGGCCTGTATGGAACGTAAGGCTAACTGAAGAATGAACCCCAATATTTCCTCTATAGTGACCACAGCCACAACTGATCTGAGTTGGCCTCCAAGGTAGACAGAGTGGGCTGCTGGAGCCTGTGGGACATGGTCAGAGTGGAGAGCTTGTCAGAGACCCACTGGTCTCAGTCTGCCATCTGACACCCTACAGAGTCTCCCTGGGTACAGGGTCCTGGGAGAGGGCAGTGATGGACACCCCTCCAAGACACCCACCACTGCTGGTCTCTGAGGAGACTGTGACTCCACCAGAGAAGCTCCTGAGCACCTCTCAGTATCACAGACTCCCCCAAAGACAGCATAGGTACGAGCTGTCTACATGGAGAGGTGGGATATACCTGTCTCCATTTCTCTCCCTGACCCAGAAGACCCATTTCCCTGACTATAACAGCCGGGAGGCAGGGGGGGAAACGGAACTTTAATAAACAATAGAACAATGTTGGAGGGTGTCTCTGAAGCTATAATTGTTTTGTGGCGGCAGATTGCAGTCATTCTTGCCCACAGAGGCAATCTTGCGGTGGTCTCTCAAGAATCAGAATCACACTGGAATCCCAGGACCTGAGTTCAAATCCAGACTTTGCCCCTTCCCAGCTGTGGGGACTGAGGACGGGTGAGTTACTCCTCCAAACCAATACTTCCTATCTGCACAGTGTGGATAAAGTCACCTGCCACGTGGAGCTGCCTGAGTTTAACACACAAAGTGTCCAGGACAATGTCTCCAGCATGGCAAAGCTGAACATCTTCCCCATTATAATTCTGGGAGCAAAAGACTGTCCACAATCTGAGACCTGAGCTCGGAAGCCTACAGCTGAGGAAGCAGAGGCCTACAGGACTCTGGCAGGAATCCAGGGTGATGGAGAACAGCCCTCCCCAGGCAGAAGGCCACTTTCAATTCCAACCTTCCAGCTGACCTGGAAAGAGGCAGGAAGCAGGCCTGATAGTCTGTTGTGGATACCAGGATATTTTTCACTGGTCCCTTCCCAAGTGTTCTGGGGGAAGAGAGTAGTGAAAACAATTTCTGTGGATCTAGCCCTTGCTCCAACATGCATGCGGTGCTGGTCTTAATCTGCTCTGCAGAGCATGTGAGTTTCCAGTGGCTGCTATAACAAGTCACCTCAAACTTAACTGATTTAAAGCAACACACGCTTATTCTCTTACAGTTCTGGAGATCAGAAGTACCAAGCTGTTGGCTGGGCTGGTCCCTTCTACAGGCCCTAGGAGAGAATCCTCTTCCTGGCCTTTCCAGATTCTAGCGGCCACTACATTTCTTGTCTCTGGTACAGACCGGAAGGAGTAGGTGTCTCAGCCCCATGGGAAAGATGAGGAAGCAGACACGAGGAGGTCAAGGGTTCTACTCAAAGTCAACAAGAGCTGGAACTAGAATCCAGAATTCTGAAGCTGTGGACTTAGAAGTACCAAGAAGGGCTTTTGGGTGGGGCATACAGCAAAGAAATGACCCCAACTGAGCAAGAATAAGGAAAGGGAATCCTACTAGTTGGATGCAGTGGATATTAAGCTGTGATGTTTTTCCTGGCAGCAAAAACAGGAAATGTTAACATGTCAATGGCAAGCTTCCCTGTGGGTGCCAGAAGAGAGATGAGTGGCCCATCCAGTCCTGCTACCAAGCCAGGACTGAATCCAGGTGTACTGGATTCAAATAGTGTCCCTTCCAAAAAATTCATGTCCACTAGGACCTCAGAATGTGACCTTATTTGGAAATAATGTCTTTGTAATTGTGATTAATTAGGATGAGGTCATGCTGGGTTAGGGTGTGCCCTAAATCCAATGACTGATGTCCTTATGAGAAGACCATGAGTGAGACCTGTGGGAAAAGAGGCTGTCAGAGATGACAGAGGCAGTGATTAGAGTAAAATAGCCAAGGAACAAGGACTGCCAGCAACCACCAGAAGCAAGTAGAGTCAAAGAAGGATTCTCTTTAGGGCCTCAGAGCCAGCCTGGCCCTGCCAACAGCTGGATTTCTGACTTCCGGCCTTCAGATCTGTGAGATAATAGTTTCTGTTGTGTTAAGCCCTCCAGTTGGGGAGACTTTGGGTGTTTGTTTTGTCTTTTGGCAGTACTGGGATTTGAACTCAGGGTTTCACACTTACTAGACAAGCACTCTACCACTTGAGCCATGCCTCCATATTTTTCAGGTAGGATCTCACGCTTTGCCTGGGCCAGCCTCAGACCTCAATCCTCCTACCTATGCCTTCCGTGGAGCTGGGATTACAGACATGAGCCACTGTGCCCAGCCAGGGGGGACTTTGTTATAGAAGCAATATGAGACTGTCACAGAAGGGGAAGGGGAGAAATAGGAATATCCAGGTCCTGGGTAAAGCTGAGAACTTGGCAACACATCACAGGCTGTCCCTGGAGGGCTCCAGGTCACCAAGAGGGACATGTGAGCAGGCATTACTGGTGAGCACAGCCTTTGCCCTCAGGGACAAGGACCAGGCCCCAACAGAAGGCTCTTGCAGGCCCAGGGCACCTGGGATATTCGAGTGGCTGGGCCAGCAGCTGGACTCTTAGCAAAGCCAGTAAATACACCCTTGACACGTGGGCCAAATGCCCACGCCATACTTGGCTGTTTTCCCTAGGGGCAGAAAACTCAGGGCAGAGGGAGGAGTAGACACTCTAGGCAGCAAACTCCTGCCTCCCTCCTCAGCGCAGTCCAAGCCTTTTTTGGGGGGAGGAGGCACAGTACGGGGTTTGAACTCTGGGCCTTACACTTGCTAGCAGATACTCTACCATTCGAGCCATGCCTCCTGCTCAGCCCATCTTGCTTCTGTATCCAGCACGTGGGCCTTGCACAGCCATGCATGGTGTGAACTCAGTGAATTAACTGCAACAACCCTGTGAGGTTCGGCCTGATGGCACCTTGTGTGACACATGAGGAATCTAAAGCTCCCAAAGGGAATTTGCTCATGCTAATAGCCATTTGGTCTTAAAGCCAGGATTTAAACCCACTCCTCATCCCCCAGCCCCTGACAAGCACTGATCCACTTTCTGTCTTTATGGACTGCCCATTCTGGATATTTCTTATCAATAGAATCAAGCAGTACATGGCCTTTTCCATCTGGCTTCCTTCACTTAGCATGTTCACAAATATTGAAGCTATTTTATGGCTAATAGTCCGTTGACTAGATAAGCCAAATGGGATCTTTGTTAAGTTGTCATGAGGCCCTTCCAGATGCCCTTTAATACCCTTGCCAGAAAATGGCAAGAATGCCATTTTTCAAGAGTACTAGTCTTTCCCTACCTTACTCGCTACTGCACCACTCACCATGGATGTAGGAGAGATCCTGCATCCCTTGGACCCCACTCTCCTGATCCCATGCCCACACCCACACCGCCATGCCCACTACCTGTAGTGAAGAACAAAGCGACACGCCACGGCACCCAGAAGCAGGATTATGGTTAGGTAGAGCTTGAACTTCTCATACTCGTCCTTGTAGGCAAACCTGCCATGACAGATAGCCAGGAAAGGTCCTGTATTACTACTCCATGCCACCCTGCCTGGGGGCTGGACCTTCGGTGACATCAGACCCTAGACCTACTACCACTGTTTCACCCACCCCTCAACGAACTGCTCATCTGCTAAAGGGGAACCTGGCCTTGAATTAGTGATAACTAATGAAGGACAGAGGCCCAACTACAAAAGTTTCCCGTCCCCGGACTCCTGGGTCAGTAAGGGCTCTGGACTCATGTTGGGGACAGGTAGGGCTAGAAAGGGACTCCTTCCTCAACCAAGAGCTGCAGCAGAAACACCAAGGGCCAATGTCACCTGGAAATGGATAGGTTTCGATAAACAGGACTCCCAATTCCTATGAGAAATGCTGTGATGAGGTGTGAAATAGAGCAGAAGACACTCCACTCATGTATCAACCCATACACAGATGGCGGACAGAGTCATAGCCACCCATATATTGGCACTGGGAAAGGAAGGAAAGTTTCCCCATGCAGAGGAGGACAGAGTTTAGAAAGAATGAAAGTCAGAACCCCAACTGCTAACAAGCCTTGATTTATGCAAAAATTCTACCTTGGACCTATCTTCCCTGAATGGAAAGAGCAAGACGCCTGAATTCCTTTGTACCAGTAAGGGTCCCGGCATACTCACTTGGCCTGGTTGCTGAGGAGGGTCACATTCACATTGCCAAGGACCAGATTCAAGTACAGCCTGGAAGGAAAGAACTGTGAGGACGCGTTCCTTAAGCGCCCTGGGAGCAGCCCCAACCCCAACTATCTGAGCTTAAAGAGTGCAAGTTGAGCCCCCCACATGAGAAAACAGGATGCTAAGATGGCGGGCAAATGGGTCTAAGAAAAATGATTAGCGAACAGAACAACTGTGATCATGACAGTATGATTATCCAGTTCCCCTCCCAAAGCTGGTTTAGAGACCACAGTTCCCAGTCTTCCTTGCAGCCAGATGCAAGCATGTGACTACGTTTCAGCCGATGAGGAGAAAGCATAGGTCCAAAGCATGGGTCTCTTTAAAATTGCTTTATAATCTTCCTACGTGCACGTATCTTTTATGTAAGCAAGATGAATTTTTACATATTTATACATTTAACTAGCAGCCAGATCACAGAATGAAACATTTCCAGTCTCAGAAGCTCCTTCATGGCCACTTCCTACCCAGGACAGCAGCCTCACCTCACCAAAGGCATCCACTGGCATGCCTACTACCATGAATCCGTTCTGCCTATTTTCTAACTTCACATAATGTACACAGTGTGGAATCATTTATGCCTGGCTTCTGCCCCTCACTATTTTGTCTTAGCCACACCCGTGTTGCCAGAACTTTTGGTAGCTCCCTCTTCATGGTGTATAGCATTCCAATGAGTGGACAGACCACCACTAATTTATTTCCTCTACTGTTGTTGAACATTTGGCTTATTTTCACCTTTTGGCTTTTTGTTTTTGCAGGACTAGGGAATTGAACTCAGGGCCTTGCACTTATGAGGCAAGTGCTCTACCAACTTGAGCCACAGCTCCAGCCCCGTTGTTTCCTTTAGTTTGTTTTTCAGATGAGGTCTTTTACTACCTTTGTCCAAGCTGGCCTCAAACCCTCCCACCTCTGCCTCCTGCATACTTGGCTATTTTTCTGTGTGTGCTAAGACTACCAAAAATCCACTCTCAGCAAATTTCCAATAAGTAATATTGGAAATTTTTTTTTTGGCTGTACTGGGGTTTGAACTCAGGCCCTCATGCTTGCTAGGTAGATGCTCTACCTCTTGAGCCACTCCGCCAGTCCTTTTTTTGTGTTGGGTATTGTTGAGTTAGGGTCTCTGTGACCTACTTGCCTGGGATAGTTTCAAACCACCATCCTCCTGATCTCTGCCTCCTGAGTAGCTAGGATTACAGGTGTGGGCCACCGGTGCCCAGCTAAGACAATATTCTTGACTAAAATCCTCATACTGCCCACTAGTTCCCCAGACTTACTCATACTACTCAACTGTGTTTGTCTACTTTGACTGACACCTCCCCATCTGCCCCTGGTAACCACCAAGTCACCCTCTCTTTTCCATATATTCATTTTTTTCCTATTAGATTACAAATACAGGTGAAATCATGCAGTCTTTTTCTTTCTACATCCAGCTTACTTCACTGAGCCCAATGTCACCCAGGTACATCCATGTGTCTTCAGTTTTAGGCTAGCTGTGAACATTCTTCTTTTTTTAAATTGAGACATAATTCATGCTCCATAAAAATCTCTTTTAAAGTGTACAATTCAATGCTTTCTAACACATTTACAGTGTTCTATCACCAACCATTATTAAATTCCAGAACATTTCTATCACCTAAAAAGAACCCTGTACCACCAGCAGTCACTCCCTACTCCACTCCCGAGTCCCTGGAAAACAGGACCATACAATATGTAACCTTCTTTTTTTTTTTTTTTAAGTTTTTTAAAATTATCATATTAATAATATTATCATATTATTGTTGTACTGGGGGGCACATTGTGACATTTACGAAAGTTCTACAATATATCATAATTGAATTCACCCCTCCATCATTCTCCTTTACCCCTTACCCCCAAAATATGTGTCCTTCTGTGTCCAATTTGCTGTGAGCATTCTTTTACAGGACATAGCACTATTTCCACTGGGTATAAATTCAGGAGTGGAATTTCTGGGTCACAGTGTATGTACGTGTTTAGCTTCCATAGGAAATGGCAAACATTTTTTTGTAAAAAAACCTTTCCTGATTCTCTTTTCCCTTCCTGAGAATGCAATGGTGGGAGTCATCTTTGTCCATGTGGATGAGGATAACTCCCACAGGGTGGAAAAGCAGGCAGCTGGAAGTACCCTGGGCCCCCAGATGACTCATGAGCCCACCACTCTTGGCCTCTCTTGCTTGAGCCATAATATGGTTGGTCCTGTTACACTAGACTCTCCTCGAACCACCAACAATGGTGCAAATACAAGCTTGTGAGAGCTCAGGGAAGAAGGGTAAATTCCATGGAGGGACAAGGATTTGGAGAGGCTTCACTGAGATGGTGATATCAGATACCTGAAGCTGGAGAGGAGAAAACAGAAGAGCATTCTTTCTAGCTGTGAGTGAATTCTCGGGCATTGCAGTCTGCAGAAGTAACTGCAGCTGAAGTGTAAGCAGGATATCTAGCATTAAGTCCCTACATCCTGCAAGGGTAATTGCAATGCTCTTCAGAAAACCACTTCCCCCACGGGAAGACACATGACCATGGCTTGGCCAATAAAAGCAGTGCATCCTATTGATTGGTTTAACAGTGGTCATTTGCCACTTAATCTAGGCCAATGAGAAACAGCTCTGAGATTTCTCCCAGAACCAATGAGGAATAGACTTTCTCTGCTAGAATTGCTAAACAGGTAGGATGCAAGCCCAGAGCTGCTGGGGGACAGTTCATAGAGAAACCCTGTCTAAGAATAAAATGTAACTGAGTACCAATGGCTCACACCTGTAATCCTAGCTACTCGGGAGGCAGAGATCAGGAGGATCGTGGTTTGAAGCCAGCCCAGGCAAATAGTTCACGAGACCCTATCTCAAAAAAACCCTTCACAAAAAAGGGCTGGTGGAGTGGCTCAAGGTATAGGCCCTGACTTCAAGCACCAGTACTGAAAAAAAGAAAAAAATGAATGAAATGTACACATTGGAAAGTAAAGTAAAAAGAAAGCTAAATGAGAGACAGGCCTTAACAAAATAATTTGAACAGCAGAATCCAGCCATACCTGAAGCTGGATTCAAAATGGGGGGAAAAAAATCCCCCATTTTTTCTTAGGCAACTTTGGGATTCCTGACTAAGGAAAATGCACAAAAGTCTAGGAAAAGAGAAGATGGGGAGGTGGATTTGAGCATCATTGTAAAGAGGAGTCGTGAATGTTGGGCTGCTGTTTCATTCTGTAGAAATTATTGCCAAAAAAAAGAAGAAGGAAGAGGGAAGAAAGAAGGAAGAATAGGGAAGGGGGAAGGGAATGCAAGGGAAGGGAAGAGAAGGAAAGGAAGAAAATGACTGCTAACTAACTGGAGGAGTTTTAAACACAAATACACTAAAAAAGAAGCCAAGAGGAACAGCTCAAAGTGTAATAGGGCTACCAAGTCACCTCCCAGCCCACTGTGGGTCTAAAAGGGATTCCCCTTTCCTCCTCCTGATGGAGGCGCTCACCCAGTTCCAGTCTGAACCAGGAAATGGGGTCAGGGTCAGAATGTCTCATGTTCACATCCTGGCCTGACCAAAGTTGGGCTGAGCCCCTGTGGATGCATATCCCTTAATGTTTCTGAATCTCATAAAAATGGGGATACCTTAATCTGATACACTGGGTTGTTGAGGACAAAATAACTGAAGTCACAGGAGTGTCCAGCACAATGCTGGGCATGCAGTAAGCACTCAATAAATGTTGGTACTTTTGGGAGAGTACACTCCTTCCCGACCCCAGATGGCACACGCACAGTAGATGCTGACTTCCCACTAGAATTCTCCCAGGAATATAACTGCCACCAAGCAGGAGTTGAGGCCCCCTCTGGGCTCAGAGGACCGAATGGGTAAGCATCCTCCTCCTTCCTATCCTTGCCCTTCACTTCCTCTCAATGTCGGCTCCCAGCAGGGAGGTATGAGCCCCGTATGATGGGTGGGTGGGCTACGGCTCCTACCCGTTCTTCTTGGGCAGGTAGGCCTCCATGTCGAAGAAGACATTCTGCCGTTCCTTGATGTGTGCGCTCATCTGCTGGACGAGCTCCGCCTCCTCCTGACTGGCATGGCGCTTGTACCTGTGGTGGGAAGTATGGGTGAAGAGGCAAGGGCACTGTTCAGTAGCAGGAAGAGCCTGAATGCTCTGGGCATCACCCTGGGTGTATCCAGTTCAATCAACACCTCTCACAACCTCAGTACCCCATCTGTCCCCAGGTGACCTGTGACCTTAGCAAAGTCTTTGAACCTCTCTGCCTTATTCCATAATAGAAAAATAGGGACAGCATCAGGGTACCTCACAGACAACAGCCTGCAGTGAAGCTTCTAGAATGATACTAGACACATGCTACAGACTCAATGAACATTAGCTGGCAAAACTATTTTGCTTCCACACTACAACAGAAGAAACTGAAGATTACTAAAAGGATGGACCTAGAGGCATGCAAAAGTATACACAATCAACCAACCAACCAACCAATTTCCCTTCAGTGAGATGAAACACTCAACACCAGAAATACAAGTCGGAAGACGCAGCACCCTCAGAGCGGGAGAGATCCTTGGTCTAGACACTAACTCACAAGTCAACTTTTCTACCTGGACCTTCTCAACTGGGGACACTGAACAATGTCTGAGGACATCCTGGTTGACACCACAGAAGTGGCAGGTACTCTTGGCATCTAGTGAGGTGAGTCTAAACATCTTACACTGCTCAGGCAAGTCCTCCATAGCAGGGAATTACTAGCAGGGCAGACCGTGAAAACCCTTCGCCGAAATCAGCTTGCAACCCTAGAGGCTTGCCACAGGAAGATGTGCTCTGCCAAGGAAACCATCTATACTCTCTACCCCATGACTAATGGGCCCCCATTCCCAAAATGAGCAGCCAAGGCTAGGTGTATAATTTTTTTATTACTTTTCCCCAAAACTGTCCACAAGAGAAGGGAAAAACTAGAGGGAGTCACAGATTATGGAATGAAGGCCCAAGTAAGTGATGTGGATTACGTCACTCAGCCTTAGTTTCCTGCCTGCCTAGAGGGGATAATAACATCTACTGGATTCCTTCAAGGGTAAGAGAACTTCCCAATCCATGAACACATGAAGATTAGGAAGCACACACAATCCAGGATCAGGAACCAAACTAAGTCATGAGCTCAAGTATGTTCGTCTCCACCTGGGATGCCAACCCGACACCAGAGACCCTGGTGGGGCGCACCCCTCCACAGTCATAGGAATACCTGCTATTCATGTGGGCAGCAGGAATTCTTCTTAACAGCACCTCAACTTTCACCTGAGAAACTGCCCCTCATCCTCCTACACTTGGATCAGGTATATTCCTTCCACCCCCAAGGTCCACACACTGAGCACAAGAGATGATCTTGCCCAAGCAGAACTTCAGTGATTGGTTCACATGAACAATCTCAGCCAATGAGGACCATACTCAGAACTTCTGCTAAAGTTGGGAAAAAGAAGTTCTCATTCTGTTGGGGTGGTCAAGCTAGGGGGAAGGAAGGCTGGAGAATCTAAGCTTGGCACTCCACATGGCCACCTCAATGACCAGGAGGGACAGTCTGAGGGCAAAGCCACTCTACAGGAAGGCAGATTTAGAGGAAAAAAAAAAAAAAAACAGAATCCTACAAACACCCTTTGACCCCTTGGATCCTGCATGCCTCAAGCAACTCCTGGTTTTTTCCATTAAAATTTCCATTTTTTGCTTAAGCTAGATTTTTCTTTTGTAATCTATTTATTTGTTTATTTTTTTTCTGACCTCCAACTCATGATCCTTCTGCCCCAGCCTCCCAAGTGCTGCGATTTCAAGAATGTGCCACCATACCCAGAATTAGGCCAGTTTTGAAATCTGTCCCTTAAAACCAGGAGCACTTTTAAGTCACAGCCCTGCTTACCTCTGGAGTGTATGCTTCAGATCCCTGAGGCGCTTCTTCTGCTTGCTGATGGAACCACTACACAGCGTCTGCAGAGCGGTCAGCTCCTCCAGCTTCTGCTTGTAGATCCTGTGGGTCTCCTAAAGCAGCCGGGATGGGGGTTGGGGAAGAATGTGAACAGGTCATTTTCATAGGTCAGGAGATGGTGACTATACAGGTCACAGTTTGACAGCTAAAATGGTCCATCTATCAAAGATACAGCTGGGAGAATTGGGATTGCAATTGGGAAAGGCAACATGACACAGTGCCTGTATAATAAGTACCTGCTGCTTTTTCCTACCCAGGTTTCAGTCTTTTTTATTATAACAGCAATCAGATACGCCACTGAGGGGCATATTCATGTCAATTTTATTTTTTATTTGAGTGCAGTTTTTTTTATTTATTGCAGCTATTCACAATAGCCAAGTTATGGAAACAGCCAAGATGCCCCACTACTGACAAATGGATCAAGAAAATGTGGTATCTATACACAATGGCATTTTATGCAGCCATGAAGAAGAACGAAATGTTATCATTCGCTGGTAAATGGATGGAATTGGAGAACATCATTCTGAGTGAGGTTAGCCTGGCCCAAAAGACCAAAAATTGTATGTTCTCCCTCATATGTGGACATTAGATCAAGGGCAAACACAACAAGGGGATTGGACTTTGATCACATGATAAAAACGAGAGCACACAAGGGAGGGGTGAGGATAGGTAAGACACCTAAAAAACTAGCTAGCATTTATTGCCCTTAAGTCAGAGAAACTAAAGCAGATACCTTAAAAGCAACTGAGCCAATAGGAGAAGGGGACCAGGAACTAGAGAAAAGCTTAGTTCAAGAAGAATTAACTTAGAAGGTAACACACATGCACAGGAAATCAATGTGAGTCAACTGCCTGTATAGCTATCCTTATCTCAACTAGCAAAAACCCTTGGTCTTTCCTATTATTGCTTATACTCTCTCTGCAACAAAATTAGAGATAAGGGCAAAATAGTTTCTGCCGGGTAATGAGGGGGTGGGGGGGAAGGAGGGGGCCGGGGGAGGGGGGAGAAATGACTCAAACATTGTATGCACATATGAATTAAAAAAAATAACATTTTTGTTACAAAGCAACATATGATAAAAATGTAGATTAAGAAAAACAATAAAACAAATTCATCCTTAAAAAAATAAATAAAGGGGTGGAGTGGGTGGTAAGGGAGGGGGTGGGGGCAGGGGGGAGAAATGAACCAAGCCTTGTATGCACATATGAATAATAAAAGAAAAATGAAAAATAAATAAATAAATAAATAAATAAATAAAAAGGTTTTTTTAGGGCTGAGAGCTGGCTGCTCGTGCCTGTAATCCTAGCTACTGAGGAGAAAGAAATCAGGAGGATTGCAGTTCAAAGACAGCCTGAACAAATAGTTCTCGAGCCCTATCTTGAAAAAAATCCATCACAAAAAAGAGATGGTAGAGTGACTCAAGGTGCAGGCCCTGAGTTCAAACCCCAGTACCTTCGCCTGGTAGCGAAGGGGTGGGGGGGAGAGGGAGGGGGTGGAGTGGGTGGTAAGGGAGGGGGTGGGGGCAGGGGAGAGAAATGACCCAAGCCTTGTATGCACATATGAATAATAACAAAAAAAAAAAAAAGAATTGAGAGATGGTAAGAGACAGAATCTCACAGTATCTGCTGTGGGGCCATATATGGTTTGTCTCAAAGTTCTATGTGCTAGAAGTTGGTCCCCAAGGTCATGGTATTAAGAGGTGGTGGACCTTTAAAAGGCAGGACCAAGTGGGAGTTAACTAGTCCCGGGAGCACCTTTGGAAGGAATCCATGACTCCCCTGCAGGAGTGGGTTAGGTTTCCCAGGACTGTATTAGTACTCATCAGAGTAGCTAGTCATAAAGAGAGATTCTCCGCCTTAATCTCTCTCAAACACCTGCTCTTCCACATGCACCCACTCCACTCTTATGTGCTCCTACCATGTTATGACACAGCATGAGGCCTTTGCTGGACATGGCCACCTGAGCTTGGACTTTTCAGCCTCCAAAACCATAAAGAACTTAATTTCTGTGCTGTAACAACACATTTTGTAACATCATTTTGTAACAACACAAAATGATTTTCAGCTTTGGTTTAAACAAGTCTGAATGGCATGCTATGTAATACCCTAGTTGTATGAATTGACAACTTTTTTTACTTTGAGTTGAATTTCTGATCCTGACAATGAAGACAGGTCTTGCTAAGTCAACTAGAAAAAGCACATACCTCATCCTTGAAGCCATCTTGCCTACCCTAGTCAATAAATAATTATGATCACTCATTCTTAGAAATAACCATTCAGGACCATAATAGGAAACTTAATCCCAGTGCTAGAAGGATGGAACACAGTGAGTTCTTGAATTGCTGCCACAGCACACCTCTCAATAAGTAATGCCTCTGCAGGCAAGGGAAGCAACCAATACAGAGGAAGAGGAACATGAAACTAAAATCAATAAGCCAGTGGACATACTTTAAATAGCTGTTTCCTCAGCTGGCAAAGAAATATATTTAGCAGAGGAAGAGAAGAAGGGGATGGTCACACAGTGAGGACACAGCTTAAACTCTCATGTCTGCCAAGCAGCATTCCTAGATATGAAGCTGCACCAGAAAACATGGAAGAAGTGAAGGCAGAGAAGTGAGTAAATAACAATTAGGGGGAACATCCAAGAATACGTAAGTGAGCCACCCTGGTCCACTTACTTGGAAGAAGGAAAGGACCAGTAGCCTCCTCCTCTCCTTCCTTGGCTACCCAGAGAAGACAATCACGTTCTTTCTTTTCATATTTCCATTTATTTAATTTTAAAATAATTTTAAACTTGCAGAATTATGAGAACAATAGAAAGAACTCCTCTGATACCCTTCCTCCAGAATTAACTGACTATTCTATTTTCATTATACTATATCTGCTTATCTCTTGTGTATGTACATACACTTTTTCTACATTAGGCATCAATAACCCTCAGGCCAAATCTGGTATCTAATTCCGAATGGGCAGTAAGATGGAAATGAGTTATTTAGGGTTGAAAAATCATCGAAAGAATATTTCATGATACATGAAACTTACGTGCAGTTGGAACTGTGGAATACATACATATGATGTAATTGGCCCCCACATTTACATGTGGTCTGTGGCTGCTTTGGCCTGCAATAGCAGAGTGGTTGTGACAGACCATATGGCCTCTACAGCCCAGAATCGCCACCGTTTGGCCTTTTACCAAAAAGGCTTGTCGACACCTGTGCTACTCATTTGGGAGTTAGCTGTAGACAGCATGCCTCTCCACTTCTAAGTGCTCAGTGAGCCTCTCCAAGGAACAATGATATTCTCATGTCCAGAATACAATCAACATCTGACCACTCTACAACATCTGAGCACACCCACCATCCCAGTTCACATCTGGTCAACTGTCTCTGCCACTGTACTTCTTCAGATCCTGGGTCCTGTTTGGTTTCATGTCGTGTATTCCTGCTCATCTCTCTAGTCCCCTTTAACTCAGAACAGTGGCTCAAACTTTGGCCTCCGTGAACTGACATTTTAGAGAGTTATGTCCAGTTGTTTTGAAGGACAACCCTCAGTCTGGGTTTGCCTGATGTTTCCTCCTGTTTAGATTTTGTTTGTGCATTGGGGCTGGAGTGCCACGAAGGTGGTGCTCTGTCCTCTGAGTCTCCTGTCAGGAGGGACAGTGTCCCTGATGTCAGTTTAGATCACTCAGAAAAGATGCCCATCTGATGTTGCCACTGTGCAGTGACCAACTTTTTCTATTGGTAATTAGTAAGTTACCTTGGGGCTGGGGCTGTAGCTCAGTGGTAGAGTGCTTGCCTGGCGTGCACGAGGCCCCGGATTTGGTCCCAAGCACAAAAAATAATAAATAAATAAGGGGAAGGGCAATAAGGAGTAACAGAGGGGGGTGAATGTGATTAAAGTATACTATGTACATGTATAGGCATATCACAATGAAACCTCCTGTACAGTTAACATATGCTAACAAATTTTATTAGATCACAAACAAAAAAGGTATTGGGTGGAAAGAGGCAGAGTATGAATCACTTATGAATTCTTTGGTGCTAGACTGCCCTCTAGGTTCAACATTATCTGTTGGTGACAAAGGAAACCTTCTGGGACAGTCCAAGGAGCACAGAAGCAGAGATAACCTTCCAGAAGGTGTGGCCTTTGGATAAAAGGCTCTAGGAAGATAAAGGGTGCACCACCAACTGGCACTCTTTGGTGTTAGGTTCTTAAGACAGAGAGATAAGACAAAGCCCGCAGAATCGGCTGCCAGATGCTCACCAGGCCCTCTTCAGTGTGAATTAATATTTAATTTCACAAGTAAAACATGAAGACATTATTCCTGTTAAAAATTAAAACACTACAGCTGCAGCTAAAGTCTGCTTTGAATATACCTCTAACCTATATCCTCCCTCCTCCCCAGAAGTACCCATTGTTATCAATTTCTTCTTCCAGACCTTTTGCTATGTATTCTTCCAGGCCATAATCTATATATCTGTGTATTTCTAAAGAACTTTATGTTTAGCATGGGGAAGGGTGCAAGGCCCTTAGTTTAATCCCAGAACCCCCCAAAAATGAGAGAAAAGAAGAAACCTTGTGAAGTATGACTAACATACAGTAACTGTAAGGTCTACAGATTTAATGTATACAATGTGATAAGTTTGAAGACAAGTATACAACCATGAAGTCATGCTATAAACCTATTCATCACCTGCAAGTATTTCCTCCCGCCCTCTTTCCTATTACTTATTTCTGTGTAATAAGAACACTTAACATATTTTAAAGTATACAATACAGCACTGATACCTGTAGGCACTCTGCTGTACACAGGCCTCTAGGACTAACTCAGCTTGATTGATTTTGCTCTTGTTTTGTTTTGGTTTGGTTTTCTTTCTTTCTTTTTTTTTTGCAGTGTTGGTGGTAGAACCCAGGACCCACACATGCTAGGCAAGCAGTCTAGCTTACCCCTGAGCTATAGGCCCAGCCAGGCTTCCTCTTACATATCTGAAACTCTGTACCTTTGACTAACATCCCCACTTCCTTCTCCCTTTAGCTACGTATTTCTGTATTCT